AACATATTGGCTGAGGCTTACAATGCCACATTTATGATAGCATTCAATAGGTTTCAAATGTGTCTTTACATTTCCATTTTTGGTCAAACTATAACAAATGTACATGAGTCATTTGGAATAGACCTGCTACCTTTACATATTGTGTTTTAGCTACGACTGTCTTGAAATACAGCCAATGAGTATTTCTAATTGTCATCTCAAGACAACAACTTAAAAACAATTTGGTAAACTCTCAAAGGTTAGGACACCTACTCATATAAAATAAATGGGTGAATGATCAAATTAGTAGATTGTAATTGGCTAGAACCTCTCAACTGTATCTCTGCTTTACCTTTAGATGACATTGTGATTCATCAATGTATGAGTTGAAACTGAAATCAAATCAAGTCTTTCTTTCTTCTGAACAGCAACAGTTACCAGTCACCCTGAGGCTATGTTGGGCTTAAAACATTCACTCTGGAAATAAAAAATTCCAAGACACTGTATAGTGGAAAACTATGGGTTCTTTTCCATTAGTGCCTGCTCTGCCCTACATGGTCCGGCCCAGGACGGCATTGGATTGTTTGGGTTGGTTTCCATCGTTTTCCTTGTTGTTGGATTGCGGTGTTGGTTGGGTATTTGGGATTACAAAATGTTTATGACCACAGAAATGATGAAATTGGACGTTTTTAAAAATGGGCAGAGAGCCTGTGACAGAGTTGCCGTTTACTACAACTACGACTACATGGCCAATCAGGGCCCGGCAGTCTGCTGTTGGCTCTCCTCAGCCCGGATCAAACCCTGGCCGAGTAGGTGCTAAAGCAGTGATTGTTTAGGTGGGACAAGCCTCTAGCGGAAATGCCCAAAAATACCTTGAAAAGCTGTGCCGTGCCACGCCGAGTAGGTACTAGAGTAAAAGCCCCATTAGTACTCTCTCTGTCTACACAAACAAGGCTGGCAGTCAGATCACATGCTAATGGATGACCAGAAGGGACACAGTGAGGAAGAGCTTCACAGTACCTTGGCCAGCAGCCAGTTCACACAATAGCCAGAGAATCCGTGCTCTCATTATGGGATCCATGAAACTACATTTACTGAGCAAGTTGCATATTTCTCTTCTTGAAAGATTGACAGCATGTCTACATGAGTTTCTTTAGGAATGTAAGTAAAAAGAAGCCTGACCAGAGGCTTAATACCCTAGAATATGCAGGAGTGTATAATCTTCAGTACCATCAATGTATTTGAATGCTTTGACTGTCTTTTGGACGCCAACTGGAACTCAGTTCACTCACCATTTACAGCATTAATTTATCTTAAAGATGACTCAAAATGACTCAAAATACTGCATGGCATTTATAACTACTCCTCAGGGAGACAGAAACTCAACACGCTTGGAAAGGTATCTTGTCCATGAATTTGAAAAAAAAGGACTGCACCTTTTTCAAAGAGCCTGCAGGCCCCGACCTGCACGAAAACAAGAGAGTGCCTCCGTAACCGTTCTCTACTCAGTACCAGTTTCTCGGAATTCTAAAATGACAGTATGTACATGTAGTAAACAGGACATACATGGCTATAATTTTCATCTCTGCCTCTGCCACTACTATCTTTAAGATTTCAGTATAAAATATGACAATCTCAGGCTTTCCGAATTTAAAAAAAGCTTACGCTTTTGTTCTTTTACTCGCAGTCACAAATTAAATCAGTGCCAGACAGAAGATGAGTAAGGACATGCTATCCACTGGAAGCTGGTGAGAAACGTGGAGGGAATTTTACTTTTAAAATATCCCTAAAATAAAAGAAAAAAGTAAACGTCTGTCTTTGGTAATGGAGGTGTTGCAGCCAGTCTGGCCATGCCCACATCTTTTTTTCTTTAAGTGTACCAGGCTAAACTGCTGACATTTTTGGGAAACTGTGTCACTTACACTGGAAAAATATCTGGCATGGATTGCAGAAAGAATAAATTCCAGTAGATGAGCCAGATGCTTGACATGCCATTCGCTGAAATGGATTTTATTCTTTAAGGGAAAAAAGTAAATAAAAATAAAAGTAATTTTCTGTATATACTTTGGCATCTAGGCTAAAAATATAACAAGATACAAGCAGGGAAGGTCAAAGAAAAAATAAGACTGACAGGGTGGGATGACCACGAGTACATTTAAACCATGTAAATTGATCCGTTTCTAAATGTTTAGGTAATACAGTAGTTAAACGCCTAAGATCTCAATCAGACACCAACATTTTTCAATCAAATGTTTTGTTTTTAATTTGTGAATATCAAAAATTGCAGCTGCAATTTTCATCTCTGTTACATTACTGTGACATTGCCTCAATACGTCATTGCAACATTTATGGATTTACTAATCCCACAGGGCACTGAGGTTCATAACAAATATCAAATCTGCTTAAACCACCATAGTTTGTTTATATCATGATCAGGTTATATCATTTTGATCCATGTCTAGACTCAATTGTTAGTATAATACAAAAAAGAAACCAAAAAGGCATGGTCATTCTCAGGATTTACTCCTGTAATCTGTTCCGAAAGCCCATACCGAAAACAGAAAAAAAAAAAAGGTATGCATCCATGCTGCTCACTTTTTTTATCTCTTTGAATCTGCTTAAAAACAGTTTGAACTTTCTTTTCTCACTACACATTTAAGATCTCAGGGACTATGTAACACGACAGTAATGACGGGTGAGGGTTGAACTTTGAGTTCAAACAAGAATACCGAAATAGCCCATGACAGAGCAAACACAAGCGTAAAAACCTTCAAACAGAAAAAAACAAAGTTCCAGTACTTACTCTTAAGCGAAGGAACTAATAGGTCAAAAACTGGGGCTTAATGGAGGCTATATGTTAACATTTTCCAGCTCATACACACATAAGTCGTCCGATATAACCTTTCTAAATGATGTGCTAATTCAAATACAGCACATAAACAGAAGCTCGCAATCCACTAGTAGAAAATTAACCAGTAGTAAATTAACCACATCCAATGTTCCTTGAATAAATGCTTAAAGAAAGAATGGAACCTTTGTAGAATTACATGCGTTTTCTACAAAACAACCTGTAAAGTAAAGGATAAAACAATATACGAGTTGCAATCTAGTTGGAGCAATGGTGATGGAATCCAGTGGCATAAAGGACATGTGTACAGGCAACCTTAAAAAAAAAAAATCTTTTTTTTTAATTTCCTTTGGAAGGTATGGTCCTGTTGCAAATGTACTAATGGCAGCAATTAAAAAAAACATATGTATGTAAATAATTAATGCAGAATGATTGAAGCATCTCTGCTTTTTGAGTTGCACAACTCACTGTTTACTGTGCCATTACTTAATGAAAATAAAGGTTTTAGCTTTAAATGTGGCACTGATAGGAACAGGTGTTAGCACCCATAGAAAAAATTCTCCATATATGTACAGTACATCTATTTGAATTGCCTGAACAAGATGTTGTCAGAGCATTTCAGCTTTTAATTGACCAGTGAATCAACGATGGATTGTCAGAAAAGCAGGAATGGCTGCCCCTTACAGTGTACTTTTTAAAATAGAAAAAAACAACAACAACTTCATTACCAGTCCAAATATAGGCAACCTAATTCAGATCCAATTCTACCTGAAGGTGGCCAAATTTGCCTCGTGGAGGCGACAAACTAACAAGCTTATCTGCAAGTGCATCCAGCTCCTGTTGAAGAGACTTGTCGGTTAATTTATGCTAAAAATTTCATTACGTTTCACGTCAGGGTAAAAGCAATCAATATAATTTACAGTGCACAAAGAAGCAGTAGCCTCCATTCCCCAGTAGCAAGTTTTCCAATCCAGCATATATTGTGACTGTAGCTGTACAACAAATCTTGACTATTGCTAAATTCTGGTTCAGATTCATTCTGAATCTGGCAGATAATTACTTAAAGACCACAACAGCAAAACAGAAAATGGCTTAGCGAGAAAATAGCTGATTGTGAGTACTAGTAAGAAATCCTTTTGACAAAAACAGCAGTGCTGATGGGATCATTTTTGACATAACCACCCACCTAACACCCACATTTGTACTGTAAATGGAACTGTGCCTTGATAGTAGTGGACAAAGATGTAAGTACACCATATTCTCTTTTCTTTCTTTTTCATAAACAAAGCATAAGAGGAAAAAGGGAAGAGCAAACTGTGTTGAGAAACCAACTACCACTCCAAACTGTCGGGAAATGAACTACATAATCATACACTTTTGACAACTGCTTTGCACAGTCTTGTCCTAAAGGAAATCTGAGGTAATAACCTTAGAAAAAAATGAATAATTAATAACACCAAAATCAAAATTGCCCATCGACAAATAGTTCTGGGGGTTATGTAACTCCACAAGAGGCGTAAGAACAGCAAAACACAACAGATGCTTGTGTATAAACATTTAAGATGTAATGATGACAAACTGCCAGGCACAAGTTCAAATCTATTATTCTTCTGAAACGTGTTTTCGTGATTTCAAAACAAAATCAAATGCACCCAAATCGTACATTGGAACTTAGATTAGGACTTAGAGTATGTTATTTTTAGGTCAATGTTGATCTTTTTAATGGACAACCGAGTTAACGCCGCCTTCTTTATTCTTAGAAAGCAACTGGCATGGGGGGGTAAAGTTGGCTGCGAATTCATTTTTAAATCACATTAAGCTTATTTATTACTTCAGAGACACAAGCAGATACATAAGTATTCTTCTAGGGGCGTTTGGCTCGGCGGGTAAAGCAACAAAGGGCTTGCCGAGGCACGCTTGGGCATTACGGTAAATGCACGCGGCAGTTAGCTAACATTAATGTTAACAGCCATGTTACTTTGTACTAATTCAAACTAAGCTATGGCGGCGTAAAATTAAACAAGTGTCCATTAAGCACTTGTACCTGTCGGTATACCTGCTTCCCAAACTCCACCATTCCAATTGACTTTAAGGCGATAAGTTGCTATTCCAACTATTTAAATGCTGGCTTGAAAGCAAATGTTATTGATGAAGAGTAGTGTGTGTCTCTCACCTCCAATAAAACGTAGTCGGTTTACTATTCATAAGGCGGCAGAAGGGATTTATCCGGACAGCGATCCAGCCAGTGTCAATACTTCCCTCTTTCTGTCTTCCAACATCCTCGCCACAACTCCACGGAGGGGCGGAGGGGTGGAGTCTCGTCTTATCTCAAATTCAGAAGTATTCACAGTGGGCTCCTCTTACTCCGCTGACACTTTTCGTCAACGAACAGCTGGAAATTAGCCATTTTCCAACACGAGACCGCGTTCGCGCTTTGCTTAAAAACGAGCCAGTTTCTATGTCGTTGAATTAGCCCAGTTATTACACACACGCATAAGGGAAGGGTACACATTGGGGGATTATCCTTTGATATTCCGCTGCTGAAGTGGATATAAATCCTGTGGCAAGAGAAAAGTCTTAATACGACCACAGCGAAACGGTACTTGTCAGCCAAACTCTAATACATCAAAGCGTACATCCATCTGTCATGTGGCTAGTGCTCCTAAAAAGACATATATTTATCGATTAGACAAGCATATGTGACTCTGATGCAATTGTTTGCTCCTTTTAAAGCAGCAGAAAAAAGTTAACATTTGCATTGAACAGCACAACAATGAATATTGGACCCAGACAAATGGTTTTGTACCTTAGACCGTGTAACTTTTCTCCCATATTGTCATGTTCAGCGTTATTGTGATTTGAATGCTGCATTATGGCGAGCACTTTTTTTTTCAAGAGAGGCTTTATGGATGCCAATTTTGCTGTATCTTTCAAGTTTCTTAATATTACATCCATTTCATCTGGTTTTTTTCCATCTTCCTCCCACTGTCCAAAAAAATCCAAGATAATTGGTTGTTCCTTGCACAGTTCCAGACAAAAGTCTTGCCACTTATCCATTTTATAGAAGCAATAGCTTCTAAACATACTTTTAATTCATCCATTGGTTTTAGAAATGGCTCATATGAAAGCTAAAACTCTCCCAATCTGAAGAGAGGTTGAAAATTAAAGTTTTGTTGCCTAAAGAGAGTAATGTGCAAATTTAACAAATAATTACTTCAAATACAAAAATATGTTGCACAAAACCAGTAAATTACATATGGTGCTTTGAGATCCTTACTCAATGAAGTGTGACTTACATGAGCTTGAATGGACCACATCCATGTTGTTCAACAATGATTCCTACACTTCATTGATGAAGTCATCAGGAATAGCAAAGAAAGCATTCTACACGCTTCCTAGAGTTCAACAAGATTCTTTGGCTTCGTAGGGTTCGGGTTTTTGCCTTGAGGAACTTCGATGTAGAGACTGAAGTTTCCGATGGAGTGCCATCCTCCTGTGAAATTTGAATACCTTGCCTCTCTATTGTCGAGAGAAAATGAAAATGAAGGAATGGATGAAGTGGAATGGCAAATGTGTAGGGCAACAATTCCCCGGCAGGATGGAGCGCAATGGCTTCCTAACTGAGGTGGGTAGCAGTGTGGTCCGAAGTACACCATTCACTGTTTTCTACTTAACCAACCAGTCCAACTGGGAGATGTTGGGATCTTGTGGAGGCTGACCAGAACTTATAATCCAATTATCATGCACACTCACTTGCTTTTTCCAGAGACAGTGGTCTTGCTTCCAGTGGTGACAGGCAGGGTCCCGAGACTATCTCCCCTGGATCGGGGAGATGGTGATGTGTCCACTAGGGTCCTGTATGAGGTGCCGTTGATTTTATGAGCTTGCCAAATAGCTGCTGTAACCCAGGTGATGATTCTCCTATTGTAACACTTTAACTGGTTCAGTCGCAGTTGGCATTCCAAGCAATGCTTCTTTGAAGGAGCACGCACTATGGTCTGAGTCTTTTTTACTAATACCACCCCTCCATAGAGTATTAGCCAGTCCTCCTGTGTCCCCACCATGGTTGCTGCAGTGGTGGACATGCCTGACAGTTTACTTTTGCCTTATAACTTTACATAAACTGGTTAAATGGCTTTGCAAACACCATGCGTTTGATTGCTCTCAGGCCCGTGGTCAAAGTCAGCGGCCATGTTCTTTTTATGTAAATTTTGAAGCCCCTAGATCGTATGTCGGCACTCCAGGCCACAAGGGCCGCTGTCCTGCAGGTTTTAGACGTTTCCCCTAGACCTGATTGAGATTAAATAGATCTTTTCTAAAGAGGAAGCTCTGCACAGGACTGCTGATGTTGGGTTGAGTGGCACTCTGAGGACCCATCTCCATAACTACACAATTTCGACAATTTTATCCGTCTCTTTAATCATTATCTTGAATAAAAATTACCTTTTACAATCCATAAATCATGTTACATAAGAAACCAAATAAAAGATACTGTAAATACTTTTAAAAATTATTAAAAGTTATATTATCTTGAGCAGGGAGTCCAACATAAGCACCCTAACTTTTCAGCTTTAATCTTGAGCGCTGAAAAAGACTCTTGTCAACTAAAAACTGTATCCAAGTTCAGTTTTTTTTTTTTGATTAAAATTACCAACACATTTTGCAAATCAGACTTTTTATTTCAAAGGCTTCAAATTGAATTTAGGATAGAAGTACAGGATCAAAAACACTTTCTTTAATCAATAGATTGCACTTTAAATTTATTTACCAAACATTAAAATCCATGTTTCTAAAAACCAGTATTCAATAAAATGTGCAAAGATATTCCACACACAGTTTAGTCATTAAAGAATGATAATTAGTGTGCATTCAACTGAAAATATGGGAAAACAACTTGTACTGTTGCGAAAGAACATTCTGTTCACAAGATTAACGGGTGAAAAAGAAAAAGCTTCCTCTGGCACATATTTAACACATTTTTAAAAGGGTTGCAATAAGGCTGTCAAATGAAGCTCCCCTTTCAACAAAATATGAGTAATTTTGTTTCCTACTTACATTCATTAAGATTTCTCCGACTACTCCGTGACAATTTCATGTTTCTGTTAGACAACTCAGTTTTTGTTACTGTTTAAAACTGTGATGACAAAAATAGATGAACAGTAATCTAACAAAAAGTACGCAGTTTACAGAATTGTACAGATTATCTGATATGTCTACTGCCGTAACTTTCAGCACTAGGCAAATCACGTCATATTAAGAATGGTTGAAGTTTGCACTGTGAAATGTGCAACATTTAAAAAACAGCCACAAAAGCAGAACGCATCCAGAAGTTGACTGGGATGCTACCCATGTAAATACGTCAACCCCACGAGGTAGGGAGGAAATAACAGTAATACACAGTCCTCAACCATTGCTTCTAAAACACCCCAAGTTAATGTCGCTTGTCCTCACAGTTTTTGACAAGTTACACATCTATTAAAAAAATTAAAAAAACAGACTACAGAAAGCTTTCTGCCTCAAAATGCATGATTGACCGATGATTTAACAGTGAACAAGTGCCAGGTCACTTGTTCAGGAGAACTTTCCAAGTACTGAATGTTAGATCGTTGAAAAATGACTGCCTCAGAACATTCAACTGCCCACTGACCCCAGCCTCTAATAATGGAATGCTGTCTCATGATAACATCAGACACTTGTAAAGAGACTCAAACAGATCACTGTAAAAAACAAACAAACACAGTGTTTGATGCTAAAAGGCTAAATGTCAAATGTAAATGTGAAACTCCTCCAGTGCAACTGTTGCTCTGTCAGTAAATAACATACGTCAACTTAACATTCCTATTTCCCCAAATTGTGATTAACTTTCCTATTTTCCCAAATTGTGAGTATCTCCTTGATGTTCAACGTGTTAGATAAATGTCACTTACAACGTAAAGTTATTAATAATAACTGTTAGCATGTCTGGATGAGAAATAACACGGTTTGTCAGAGGTATAATGCAATTTTGATGTTAATAAACTCACTGCTATTTCGGAAATTTGAATAACCTTATAGTCACTGAAAGACGTCTAAGCATGTGTGCGTAAGAGAGAAAAGCAACAACAACAAAGCATAAAAATTGAGAATGTGATTGTGCATGATGTTCAATTTTACTGCCAGAGAGACAAATGTAAGGACTCAAACTGGTGAATACCAGCTCCTACCGAGCGAAAACCATCATAGGTTTTTGTTAGTTTACTAGTATGGAACTTGTGCTGGTTCCTTTTTTATGTAGGGTGAAGGTTTTCAGGCAGCAGCTATGATCTGCTGATGAGCTCACAGCTTGGACCGCAGAGGCTTCAGGTACTTGTGGAAGGATTCATGGACCTGAAGAAGAATGTAACAGGTTTTACATTATAAACTGTACAAGAGGACAAATCTGCATAGAATTACATGCAAGACTTTAGAGTGGCAGTAGTTCGACTGAATGCTTCCTGAGTTCTAGGATCCAATAGGGCTTTTTAAATAGTTATATTTTTGTCCCTGCAATCTGTGTAACATACAAATATAAAGTGATGATGGGGATTCGACCGCTATTTACTCCGATGACGACTTACCTCTGTGGCATTAAGAGGTGAGCGTCGAGCCCATTCGAACATCTCCTCATAGACATTTCCGTCGTATCGGCCCAGAACTGAATTGAGCTTCTTGTCGTGGATGTCGAAGGCATCGACCAGTGCGACGGCGTTGGGCCTCAGCTGAGACAGCAGTTCTTTGATACGAATTGAAACCTGAAGCACCTGAGGCACGCTCAGCAACCCAGCCTGAAACACGAAACCAAACAGAAGACAGGTTTTTTAAATGAAAGTTAACATAGGTAAAGAAAACTCAGTTTGCTTAATTAACAGAGGTTAACTTTATTATTATCTTTTTTTAAAAGGTGAATAATTCACAAAAGCCAAATTTCATAATTCAGAGACTTGCTTCTGCCTCCTGAACTGCGATTCTTGAATTCCATTTCTTCTTCCTGTTTGGATTTGAAACAACCTTACTTACTACTGACTTCAGTTAACAGGATTTCTAAACATCTGGGGACACCTAGCCACTTTCTAATGTAAGAGCTAACTAGCCTTTCCATTTCTGCATCTCTGCAGCAGATAATGGACCCTCACACACAGAGACAGTGGCCGCATCAGCCTTGGAAACGATCCAAACTGCACACACCACAGCTTCAACTTTACTGGAAGCCCTGATTTATCTATTCTATCCAGTCCCTCTGTAACATCTTTCCAAAACTGTACTACCTGCTCTCTGTCATTCAAGTCTGCCCGGCAACACCTACCTTTCTTCCTTGATTATTGGAATTCTTTCTCTATCTATCACAAACTTTCCATTCCTTGACTTCCCTCTGCTGGTTTGAGATGCTTCTGGACATATTAGGCTTGATTTTCATACCAGCCCACTTTAGATTTTTATTAAGTATCTCAAGTGTGCTCCTCGTGCACAGCACTGTTGTGGTCACCATCATATCATCCATGTATGCCCTAATTGGTGTAAAACGCCTGTTATCCTAATGTCTTTCTGCACCTACAACCCACTTAGATGCTCTAATGATTATCTCCATCGCCATTGTAAATGCTAATGGGGAAATCGTACACCCTGGCATCAGGCCTATTCCAAGCTTCTGCCAACCCGTTATGAAACCTGCTGTACTTCAGCACAGTCTGATGCCCTGAAATTATCCTCGCACCAACTTCACAACCACCACTGGCGCTCTAAAATAATCAAACGCTTTCCGAATAAGGCTACGTGGCACTGAACAAAATGCATTTGCTGAATCCAGCAATATAGCATGCACATCCTTTTTCTCAATCTTGGCTGTCTGAGTCTGATGCCGAATCATGCTAGTGTGCTCTGGACATCATGTGAAACCTGGTATCGCTGCCATCTGCACGGTGGCATCCATTAAGCCATTTCTTTCTAAATAACTTGTGAATATCTGTGCAACTACACTAAAAAACAAAAAAGAAAGAATTAGTCTGTACCCCCCATTTTGGAGTTTCCCACAGTGCAAAAGGAAGCAAGAGCATATAAATACATTCAGATACAGTCACTGGAAAGTACTAATTCAAATTGCTTCCTTATGATACATTTGCGACACTGAACAGCCATCACAATTCAAAACCAGCAAAAGCAGCTTTGACGGAAATGCTACACACTGAACTGGTGAAAAATACATAAAGAAATGAAAAGAGAAAAAGAAAACCCAATAGATTCGAACAATGAGGGGGAAAAAACCCCCAAAAATAAAGATGAGGAAAAAAAATTAAATAAAAATACAGATCAGACAGATCTTTATTTCCATTTTTCTAATGGGAAGGAATTTTCCTACCTGTAGGAAGTCTCCAGAGTTTTTTGCAATGCCATTCATCGTGTAGAGCAGAGTCAAAGTAGACAAAACCGAGTGTATTGCTGTGTCACTGATCTCCCCAAGTTTTTCAGCAAATACCTTCACAACAACATAGTGACAATGGGCCTAGAGATATGCAACGGGGGGGGGGAAAAGGAAAGTTTAAAAAGCCAGTCATCCATTAACGGATCATTAAAGCCACTTTTGAGACACCTGCCAAACCAAACTTACGTCTGAGGCTCTGACCAGGTCGATTGCACTGCTGTTCCAGGCATCCTCCTGGCTCTTCCTACGCTGCAACTCCTGCTGGATGCTCTTTGCTGCCATTTCTACAAGACTGCAAACACAGAAACATGACCGACGCTGACCAAATGCCCGGCGTGTTAAGAACATAAATATAGGGCACAACTTGACCCACGTGGTCAAGTTGTGCATGTTTGAGTCAGTAGGACAATAAATAGCCTGAATGCTTTCAGAAATACGACTGTAATAAATAAGTAAATATCATCTTACATGACTGGCAAAAAAAAAGGGTCATATCGATAAAAATTTGGAAACGGAGAAGAGACTATATGTAAATGAGAAACATTCATTGTTTTTTGTTCCTCTTATGTGTGGTGAGACACTTTTAGTCTCCTGTCATGGGACTGGATTAAAGACTCTTTGTGCTCACCACAGCTGACGCTGACTGCCAAGTGGAGTTAAATGTGATTAAAGCAGACAGTGTGAAGTGCTGTAATCTGCAAAGCATATCATGTTACACTGACTAAATGACAAGGGCATTACTATGGGGGGACAGCAGAACAGCACACTGAGGCAGACATACCAGAGTGCCATCACGCCGACATCAGATGCGTCAGTATTTTCCCTCAGATCTTTTAATGGAAATCATCCCTACATACTGTCCATTTGAAGTTATTTCTTTCCTTCTAAACCCATTCTCTTTAACATTCACATTTTTGCATTTAGCAGACGCTTTTATCCAAATCGACATACAAAAAAAGGGTTTAATATTCAACTACAACAGCAGTTACACACTTACTTTACAGTTAGTGCAATATGCTCGATGGGGATTTAATATTCAACTGTCCGATAGATTACACAAGTACAATTCATTGAGTGCTATATGTTATAAGAAATAAGGGCTCTTACATGGCAGCACGCAGTTTGTAGACCTCCACCAGGCTGTTCAGGTCATTGATGTCGACAACAGTTGGTCTGGCAGCGACCGCCTGCGGCTGTAACCTACGATGCTGTGACTCATTCAGGTATGACACGATGCCGCTGAGCTGTTGGCCCTCCTTAGCCTGCCGGTAGCTCTTCACCAGGTATCTGCACAGAAAAACAAAAAACAAAAAAAAAACAGATCACCCGAAGGTGATGTTTTCACAGTTTAATACAGGCGCGTGGCATCTTGTCATCTGCATTCTGGATTTGACCCTTCAGCTCTATTTATATAACTTGTGAGGATGACATTTGGGAAATAATGTTTTGTGTTACAATGCATAACCTGATGTTAAAATGTAAAAACAAAAATATATATATATATATATATATATATATATATATATACACAAAAACACTTTTTCCCCGCAGCTTACTAGACCTTTGCTACGTCTTTATGATCAGGTAGGAGTTCACACAGTAAATTGGCATTTAAAGTACTTTTCACACATCCTTCAATGGAAAAAATATATCTTCAAAAGGGGAAAATATCATACACAAGTATCTGAAACTGAATTGTTGACCTTTACGGTCCAAATAAAACAAACTACTGATGCTATCATGGATCCCATGTTTGTTTGTACAGAGGGAGGGTTGAGGGTGTGTCTCCAGCATTTCTTTCACAGCAACTGTAAGTTTCCTACGTGGGTGGATGCTGATTTTTAAATATTTGTCTGTGTTTAAGCCTCGTGTGAAAACGTGTAAAAAATTGACTTGCAGAAAATTATTTACGCTTCGGTAGGAAACCCCTTTTTGAAAATGTTAAAAACGGTTATTACAAATAAAACAACAACACCTTTTTGCTGCAAAAAAGTCAACAGGTTTGTGGTCACACATTTCTTTAGGATGGCTTACCTGGCAGTTTGCAGCATCATGACGGTGTTCTCTCCCTCATAGGTGCAGGTCGGGGTAAACTCCACATAAATGTCTGGTAAGGCACTGCTTCGAGAGTAACCGTGGCCACCACAGGACATGCGGCACACTTCTATACCAGAGTTGGTCTCCCAGGTGGTGAAGGCCTTCAGGCCAGCAGACAGGGCATGAAGCTGTGGTTGGAAATAAAACTTAAAAGACATACTCTTTGCAATTATGAACATTTTTGTAAAAGCTTTTTCTCTTTTGCGCGAAGTTCCATCTCTCTGCCACATTTAATCAAATTCTAGCTTGTTTGCTTTTCATCAAATTAACAAAAAGATTTTGAGTTAATTCTACATAAGGATGGTTTAGAAATCCTTAAATTAAAACATATTAATTTGTACTTAGAGCATTTGTTTTCCAACCCCACCCAAACCAGGGTTTGATGTGAATAGGGAAGCAACAAAGGAAAAGCCATGTGACAGATTGGAAGGACAGGTAACCGCAGGCAAGGACTCCAAAGGTGCTACCAGGGGCTAGCAATCTATGGTAGAAGTAGCAAGGCCTAGCTTTGTTCCAACCAACATAAGCTTGAACTATTCTTCAAAATTTGAAGATTAAAATACTTCAGCAAGTGCAGGGGTGAAAGATCATTAATAGGCAGACTACATGGTAACTGACACTGGGACGGACATGTTTGAGTTTGAGACGTGGCTCATTAGAGGAATATTAACAGAGTCTGGTCCATTTGTTAGTTTCATGCGTTTACTTTGAACTGTATTTCTAACTGTCAGAAGAAGCTGGGATAGTCTCCAGCAATCCTGTGACCCTTTTGGGAATAAGCGGTATAGAAAACGGATGGATGGACTATGTCAGAGGATGGATAGCTATTGGGATTTATTTCTGACTTTTAAAATATAAGCAAAACTCAGACAGAGACCATTAGCCGAGTCTAACGACAAACTGTGACTGTCAGATCAGCACCTCGGGCAGCTCGCTGAAATCCCCCTGGTTGATGTCTCCAGAGATGCGATGGTAGATCTTTGTCATGTACTGGCCAACAAAAGTGAAGGCATAGGCCATAGCTAACAGTGGGAACAGCTTGTACTGCTGTGTCTGATATTCAAGGATCTGAGGCTCTGGCTCCCTGCAAAAAACACACACACAAAAAAGTACAATTATTTTAAAATAATCAACAAACAACAATATGACTTAATGCTGGATTCTATTGCTTTATCTGATCCTCAAACGTAGCCAACAAAGCCACTATGGACTCAAGAGCTTCAATTACAGACCACCTATGAAGGTGTTTGAGATTTGTTTTTGTAATACTTCATATCATACTCATAAAAAACATCCATACAGGTATCTATTGTTTAAACTATTGCTTACACTGGAAGTATTAGGCAACATATACATTTTACTTTGTAAAGCAATTCCAATTAAAATCAATCAATCAAAAATACATTGCTTTTGCAAAAGTGAATCCAATTCATATAGAGGGGTACGATTACTCAGTTCACGTTGTTCTTTAAGTGGATTTTTGATCCACTTTTTTTTTCTTTTTTTTGTTAAGAGCATCTTCTTTGACGCTATATAATTTCTCCCATTTCATTCCCAAAATCAAACATGTTGGAGGGTTTGTGAGTCATGCACAAATTGTGGTGACTGACCCCGGTCGGATTTCAGACTGGTGCCGGACAGCGCTGTAGCGGATGGCTATAGTGCAGGACTTTGCAAGGGCCCGGGCTGACTCCCCCACGATCATGGAGCGGACAAACACCATGGTGCCATAGGTCAGCTTAGCGCTTGGTGGTTTCAAATACGTCCCATCTGGCTCCACCTAGTGGGAGAGAATTAAAATGAATGATTCACTGACTCAAACCCTATTAAATATGCAGTTCGCTGTTAACAAATCCTTAGTAAATCCTGAAGATGACTGGCTTCATTTCAGTCTTCATACAGTGATCTCAAAAGTTGAATATATCACATCTCTACCACCAGTTTACATTTATGCATTTAGCAGGCGTTTTTATCCGAAGCGACTTCCAAAAAGAGGGTTTCACATTCTACGCTAAAATAAAAAAGTGGAATATGTAAGCATTTCTATAAGTATTTCACAAAGTGGGTCAAGACAAGAAAAAATCTGAACATTTTTAGTAGCTTATATTACTGAAAAATTGTTTTAAATCAGAGGCCAAAAATGAACAACAATCTAAACTACAAACCAATCAAGTTGTAAATTAAGCACTTGAATACAGTTTTATCACCTTAGCATATTTCATCAGCATGTTGTCCCGAGGAATTCGAACATTTTCCAATTTCAGGAATCCATTGTCAACCTCATTAAAGCCAAACTTGGGTCCAATATCACCAACTACGATTCCTACGGGACAAAGAGTGACACAAAAAAGAAATGTAACAAGGTGATAAAAAGAGAGGAACGTAGAAATTAGAGTTACTTTAATACAAGAAGGAGAGTCAGCACAGGCAGTTACCTGGCAGGGGTTCATGTGTGACCATATCACGGATGGGAACGATGAAGGCATGAAGACCATGACAATTCCCTAGAGTGTACAGCTGGGCTAAAACTATGGCATGGTTTGAGGACTTTCCAACTAGAAAAAGAGAACAAGACAAATTTAAATGTTTATATAGTTTGAGTATTCTCTGCCTGAAATCACTCAGCATAAGGGGAAATTTATATTTAAAGACAAAAGAAATGCTAATTACATACAGGTTATCAGCCAAAACCTAACTGGTCACTATCATGGAGGAGACACGATGGTGTGAATGCACTTACGTCCTCCCGGCCACCATTTAATGGAGGTGACGGTGGGGCTGTTCATGACAAAATGCTGTGTAGCTGGATCATAAGTGGCTGTTGTCTCCAAACCTCTGAGATGGGTGCCTGAATAAACAACACGAAGCCCACACACACACACACACACACACGCACAAACACAATCCATGTGCAGAGTAAATACAGTACAGTTGTTAGAAAGGGAAACGTAAAGAATCTTTTAAGACATCTAGACTGGATTGTGTTGACATTATCATTATCATTACTCATCACAATCTATCATGAGGTGAAAAATAAAAAAACTAATGTTTTAGCAACAACAAAAATATGAATTGGTAACATGAAACAAGCTGAAAGCAAGACAACAGGTACAGTTTCAAATTCTAAACAGAACAAATCGGTTGTTTCAATTGAAAATAACAATCATTTAATCAATTCAGATTCTCACAATTGGAGGGACAACTTGTAGGTGTTTGACAGACCTTAGACAATGGACAACCTTTAACTCCCTTCTATTAAAAAAAAAATCATGCTTACAGTTGTTAAACAAGTCTGCAGCCAGAAAAAAAACATGCTTGAAAAAAAAAGCTAAAATTCTAGAAGTTGAAAATGAAAAGAAAATCATCAAAATAGACAAATGAGCTAATGACAGAACAGGATGAGAAGTTTGGCCAATGCAAGTTCCAAAATGCAGGCTGGGTAGGCGGCTTAACAGCCTTGTTTTGCTCACACAGATGGTTTGAAACAATGTACATTTCAATAAACAGGGTTATTTGGATATATATATATATATATATATATATAATATTTGATATAAATAAAATATTATATTAAATATATTGAAATATCATACTCCCCACAAAATAAAATAATATTTAAACATTTTAACTATTTGAATCCAAAACAATAAATATCACATTATGATTTCTAGATATGCCGACAATGCCATTATTTAACTTATTTCTAATGATAAAAACATGTTTGTTTTAAAAAAAAAAAAGTAAATCTGTGTTTGTTGACAAAAAGGTTTGTTGTTTTAGACTAGTCTGGTCGTTTTACCGTGGCCCATCTCAGTCTGAGCGTAGGTTCCGATGATCTCAAGGTTCCAAGCAGGCATGAAGAAGCGTTCCATTTGCTCAGGGGTGGCCTGGTTGAGCAGAGTTGGCAGGAACATCGCCAAATGGAGATCCAAGGGCGATGGCCTGTCCGGGTGCACGCAACTTGGCCGCACGAGACGGTGGTAAACAGAAAAGGGGGATAAGTGGTAGTGCGAAGAGAAGGGGGGAGATGTAAAGGATGATTGTTATGGGAGCCGTTATGTGAAAGGTGGAAACAAATAAAAGAGAAGACGATCGTTTTTTTTCCCCCATCCACAGAGGAAGATTGTGAATAACAGTTGAGATGATTCAAATCAAAAAAGAATTGAGGGAGGGGATAGTATGTGCAAGTGAACAGTAAAGGAAGAAGTGACAAAGACAAATTAGAACAACTTGAGCATGACATGCATAATTGAATTGCTGATTTGAATACACGATAAAAAATGTAATTCAATCCCAACTGATCAACTCTGTTTTTTTCCAATTTGTTAAAAAATATCCATACATTTCTAAACTAATTTTATTTGCTTATTTTCTTTTTATTTTGTCGTCCTTTACCATGTCTTTGAACAAAATGGTTTAACTTGCGAAAAATACAAAATTCACATTTTCACTAAATTGTTCTGCCCTTCCTTTTGCATGTCTGTCAAGTGTACTTTGGAGATACTTTGACTAGTAAATTGAAGTAAATCTATCATCGTATTACCATACGCAATATAGTGTTAATAGTATCAGTACGTTTATATTTATGCTCAAACAGGTGAAAGGAGCATAAATGTGAATTAACTGGATATTTATTTCACTTGCTCATCTGACGGGACAAAACGTTTCAGATCAATGGATTTATTCTCTGTGCGCTAGGCTGAAGTTTCATCATAAACATGCAATTAAAATGAGTAATTAAAGCGATATTAAACAAACTGCTGTTGTGTTACCCTCTATCAAAACAAAACACCTCACATTTTTGGCTATCGGTCTAAAACTTTCGGTGTGGCCGTGTCCCAATAAATCCTTTCACTTTGTTTTGTGAAAAACAGACGGCGAACGCTGGCTAGTATGACCTACATACTCTCACACTCAGATTTGGCAGCCTTCAATGTGACAAAGGGACATTCAGAGGCCTCGGTGTGGGTTACTGGACCACATTTGGCCCACACCACACAATGTAGCTGCCAGACACCTTCCAATTCCCACACTTAATTTCTTATTCTTATTTCAGAAATCAGAGGTAAAACTAAAGACACACTAGACAATATGGAACATTCCTGATCATTAGCAATCATCATCTGAATCATAAGCAAATTTTTGCTAATCATTTGTATAGATGAAGAGCAATTACGACATATCAATTGAAATATACACGGTCTTCATCATTTGTTGAAAGTCATCGAATCAAAGAAAAGAGAGCTGTGAGTGGGAAAGCCAAAGTATCATCTAATTTTAGTAGGAGTGTGCTGTGGACTGAACAGTTAGTTTTAAACTCATTTACTGCTGACCTGGATCCATTAGTGAAACTACATTAAAAAACTACGAATACAGCTACGTGTGCTTTACAAGGGAAATATCTACCGATTACATCAAATGCAGTGATCAAAACACACATGCAATTACTTTGAATGTTTTATACAATTTTGATCTGTCAAACACATACAAGAAAACCCCCAAAACTTTGGTGTATTCTTTTTTTGCCTCTAATTGAAATTTGATTGAAAATTCTAAAAATATCACACGTGATATGTGCTACTGTTGCTCATTGTAACAAGTTTGCGTCAAAGTGCCTCAAGAAACAATCATCTCATAAAGACTTTCAAGCTAAGTCCAGGACTGACCGTGACCCATCTCAGTTTGGGCATAAGTGCCAATGGCCTGGAAAGACTCTGCTAGAGGCACCCATTTCTTGGCTTGTTGAGGGTCACACTGGCTGTACAGCGATGGGAGGAACATGACAAAGTGTAGCCCCAACGCCTCATGATGGTTTCCCTTTGCCATACTGGGTGGAAAGGAAGGTGTAGGATACACAACTGGAGTTCAGATTCACGGTTATTAAAACATCAGACAACTGGCATTTCCTTAAGCAATTGAAGTTCAAGCACTAATAGCCATTTTAGAGGATTACGCTTCTGTTTCATATCAACATGGAAAAGATCACAAATGATCAACTCGGCAGAGCAAGCAAATTCAAAGAATTGAAGTCTCCATAAACCGATAAATGACTTTGAAAAAAAAATGACCGTATTGTACATTTAACTTAAAGTGTATATGGGGGGAAAAAGCAGCTTGACTACAATGCAATGTAAGATTCTTTTGTGCCAGTGCAAAACTTTGTCATAGTTTCATACTGTAAGTAAAAAGTAGGTGACAAGGTCCATGTACAGTTGTATGCATGATCTCACCCAACATATATCTCATACTGTTCACCAAAACTATTGCATGAATTCCCTGAAAGGATTATCCATTAAACTACTTTACATGAAAGCTAGGAACCTGGGTAGCCTCTGACACAGTTCTAATCTGTTATGAACTTTGTTCCAACAGGCCATCTCGAAGCTCCAAACATCCACATGGACGGGAAATGTGCATGTCAAATCAAGATTTTCTTTTGATCTGTTTGATATATTTATACATTTGTTTATAACGCATATTTATTTTACTTTTTAGAAAGTAGGTGTACTTTTCAAAAATCTTTGAACAATGTTACACTGATTGTGAAATTGACAGGATTGAGAGGAAACAAAACAAACAGACATAGCAAATACAGTACAGTTGAGGTTGATGGGATTTTTTCACCCAAGCAATAAACAATTTCACTGTATGAATGATTATGCCAGACGACTTAGTGGTGTGCTTAGCATAAGTACATCATCTTTACTAGTTAAGAATTAAACTCTCATTTTAATATTCACTTTTAGGCAATAGTCTGCAAAGATAAAGTTTTTGCACAAGAGTCAAGATGACTGAGTGCCACGTTCACCCAAAATCTAATGTCAGTAAAAGCCTCATGAGTTGATTATTTCAACACATACCTCTTGTAATGATAGATCTCTTCTGGGTCTGCAATGCCAAACTCTCTAAGTTTCAGGATCATTTGGGCACTTTTCCGAACAGCCTGGTCATAGCGCTCACTGCGGGACAGAAAGTTTGGATCTTCCTCATCGAAATCTGGGTCTTTGAACACCAATGACTCTGCAGAGTAATAAGAAGAAAAAATTAAATAAAGCATCCATCAAGGCTGCAAAATGAGTTTTCTCATGAACAAACAGTTCATGAGAACTCATTTTGAAAGCACAACCAGTTTATCCTGCACAGCATGCAGCATCCTGTAAACTGCTGTTTAGGAGCATTAGTTTAATGAAAAGATGAACTTCAGGAATACAACACAATACGGTGAGATTCATGTTATCTTAATGTGTGAATACGGAAAAAAAAATATTTATATAGTGAGCCAAATACCCTATGTTTCAAATACATAAATACATAGCCTAAAGTAATGCTCCCTCCACCCCCCCTCTCCCATTAGCTGACTGTATTGAAGCATATGTATTAGCATAGGAACTGCAACAACGGAGTTGACTGCAGCAGTCAAGATGTTAACTTACCCACATTTATTTTAGATATACCAAATCACCGTAACAAATCATACCAAGGAGAGATCATTTCAGAGAGTTTTTTAAAGTGTTTTCTCAGTGCCGTATGGCTCCTGTGCTACAACCTGTCGGACGTGTACATAAGAGTATTGAGTCGACGAGAGCACTGTTACGAATAATTTTTTCTCTCTCAGAAAATATGAAAATTACTAACGCCTGTAACAACACAAACTAAAATCTTACCAATAAGGCCGACGTTCAAAACTTACCTATTTCTCGTCTTCGTTTGGTCTTGTCAGGGCCCCCGTCCAAAATAGTCGTCATAGTACCCACATCAAATGTAGCATTTTCCCGCTCTCTCTTTATATCAGGATTCATGGCTTTTTTATCAGCCCACCTAAATGGGTCCCGTCGAAAAAAACAATTAAACTACAATGTATTTTGTAACAAGTTCACCTCCAGCAGCTTCTTTACCGCGCAGCCGCAGAAGGGAGATAAAAAGTCATGTGATACATATCCCGGAAGTACTCAACCTTTTTTTTGTTGTTACATTATTAACAGACTTTTGTTAAACTGTCTGACTTTTGTTATATTTATTTAAAAAATGTCAACGCTTCCCTCGGCTACTGTGTTTTATTTACCTTGGGAAGTGAACTTTGTGAGGGAAGGCGAATCACTGAGGACATTTGGAAGGCGGGTAATATTTAAAAGAACATTAGTTTTGGCGCTTGGGTGACAAACGTGTTCTGCGACAAAAATTAACTTGATATATACTGCTTTTGGAATATTATAAACAGCCAATAAAAGCACAATGCATAATGGTATAGATCACTGATTACGCCATTTCGATGTTCTGCAGTATAACATGCTTAACAAAAATGTGCAATCATTTTGAATATTTGACATTATTTATTTGAAATGAATTGTTTTTTTCTTTAGACTTGTCGGGTATCGGGCGGAGGAGTCCAGGGCCACACTGTCAGCTCAGCATGTTTCAAAAGAGCACCATGTGTTGATCCACACTGCATTTGTGGAGCCCTTTAACCCAATAATCGGAGCCCATTATTTAGTTCTGGGTGAAGCAGATAATGTGGATGGTAAGAGGAAAATTACTTTTATATAACTAGTGAAATATTTATGTATCAGGATGTTTAAACCTGAGTTAAAACATTTTTTGTTTTGGATTTGGGTGTTAGATAAAGATACACTAGATGATCTTAAATCCTGTTTCTCACCAGACATGCAAATGTTACTCTATTTCAAACTGGAGCTTTCAAGTTAGGATATTCTATGTTAATTGTATAAGATACTTGGTGGTTCATGTTAATATTGATAATTGATGAGACTTTTTAGATTAAAAACGGCGCTCATACCAACGAAGCTGAGAATCTAGCGTTTTTTTTTTAATGAACCTCTCGTTTTTTGTAAACTCACTGTCCTTTGGTTCAAACAGAAAGCTTAAGATATCTCCCCTCCATCCCCTGCTTTTTTCTGCTTCTACAGGAGCGGGTGTGATGATCCGTGCCCGCGTGTTAAACTGTGTCGATGGTGTAAACATTGCCCAGCTACAGAGAGCCATCACTGAGCAAAGACATTTTTTCGAGCAGAGAGAGAGCAAACAAGTCAATGCCAAGTAACCAACCTGCAACTGCAACCTGATCAGTCATGGTGTCTTTCGTTGTTGGAAAAACAGCACCTCTGCGTCTTCATCTGTATCGGGCTTTCTGGTTACATCTGGTCTCAACAGATATATGCACTTTGTGAGAATATTGTTATTATTTTATGTTATTGCTTTTTTTTATTGGACTAATTAAAACCAGTTCTGGATTGTTCCAAGATGATATTAGTTATGATAGATTTGCTGACATTAACCACTCATTCCTGAAATGTTGCATATGGAAAATGTCTACATTTTTCTTTATCTTATTTTTTCAGAGATCAAAGCAAGCTTCACAGATGTTGGAATAGATCTAAATGTTGGTTGCAGCCAACGCCACATTATGTTGATTGTTTTCTCTCTTTTTTAAAATCTGTACATATGTCTGAAATGCAAGTCAACATAGACAAATATGTTTCTTACCGTCATGTTTATTTAAACAGCTATTTTTTTTACGTTCAGGCACGTCAACCTTTTGCCTGATTATTATTCATTAAAACAGTCTATTAGCAAGAAGAGGATTTTTTTTTTAAAGCCCAAAGTGTAAATTAAAACCTAATTTGTTTTGGAACCTTGAAAGAAGCAATATAATATAGTGTCTCAAAACAAAGAATCAGAATAAAAAGCGCATTAGTAATTACGTCCTTGTTTTTAACTTAGCTCTTAGGTTGATGGACAGAGGCAGTGCTGGTGCGTTTGGATGCAAATACCTCTTATTTTGTTAATTGGACGATGTGGAGCTCAAAATTATTCAGTAACAGTGTGCGAATATAATTCTTCGTACATTTTGGAGTACGTAACAGAGAAGCTCTCAGATTTAAAGTTTCAAATGGAATGTTAAAATCTAATCTTTTTTATTTTCTTGAAGGTTTAGTCAGACATTTTCTTTATTATCAAACTCCTTGTCTGATTTGATCAAAAATGCATAATCTTAGCTTTTTTTTCTGGTAACAGTTGAATGCAACTAAGCTTAAATTTCGTAAAAAGATAAATAAGACTGGACTTTGAGAAGGCATCATGCAAATATCAGGCGGCCCATGATCTTAACCATCATAACTTAAATTTATTGATATTTCATATTTGCTTCTGCATAAACAATCTTGAGTTTAGAATTAACAGTGCAGCCCATGATTAACAGAAATCAATATTGCAAACCCAGTATCCCTTAATTATACAATCATATCAGAAGATAAAGAGCACTCATTTTCTCGGTTTTTAAATAAAATGTTAAAAAAGCACAAATATTCCCATATAATGATATCAGGTAAACAAATGCAACTCAGCAGCAATATTTTTTGGCTTAAAAGTAAAGGTTTTCAGTAAAATTCTTGACCAGAGTCAACATGTACATTGTAGATTAAATATGAATTTCATTTGCATTAATACATTTTTATCACAACACTCTGCATACCAAGTGACTTGTAAATGATAACCATGTTTAAAATCGTGCATGTCTTAAAGAGCCATCTTTGGAAGAAGCAGGCAGCATGGGTAACCCTGACTGGGGGTCTTTCTTACAGCGATCCAGAGCTTGTTTGTAGTTGATCTTCTCTTTTGTGATTGGGTCTACAATATCCTTGATGTAAGTCGTCTCGGATTGTAGTTCTCTCATCGTTGTGCTGTCGATCATTTTGGAGCTAAAAGCATCTATGATGCTTAATCTGCGATCAGTGTTGGGAATTACCAGGCCTCCAGTCAGGTGCTGCGCCTCCATGTAGCGAATGGCACTGTCCTTTGGCATCCAGCCTTTTTGAACAGCTTCTCCTACAGACAAACACTCTCTCGTCATAGGGTCTTCGATTCCAGTGAAAGCCTTTTGCGCATTAAGCAAACGCTGGAGTTGACTGTCATCAACGAGGCCTCTATTTGTTGCTTGGTGAACTGTGTATCTCTTATTGTTGGTGGGGTCAACGATGCCCCCTGTTGCTGCCTGAGCTTCAAGAAGCCTTTGAGCAGTTGTGGAATCGATCAGTCTGCGCAGGGTGGCACTACGTATTGTAAAGCTGGTGTCAGTGTGCATATCCATGATTCCTGCAATCGGATATGTAGCGGAAGGGTCTAGGCCAGAATTGACTGTTGTGGTGGACTTTGGAATGATTGAGTTTAACTGGGGCTGCGTCTTGGTGTCACCTGCTACCAGCAGGGCAAATTCTGAGATGGGAATCTTGCCTTTCTTGTACTGTTGTAGATCGTACTCTGTTAACCGTCCTTCTTTTAGAGCATCTTTGATTGGGTATTGCTTTCCACTTTTGCGATCCTGCAGGACAGAAGTCTCCCCATCAGGTCCCACTGAGGTAATTTCCTCCCAATCGCACTCAAGCTCCTGCAGATGAATGTACTGCTGGCGATCAATCAAGCCCTGCAAGTATGCATCATAAGGAGACATGTCTTTGCCGGTATCTGGATCCAAAATGGAAATTCTGGTGGAGACATTGGTCTCTTTGGTTCTTGTCTCTGCCTGCTCCTCTTTCTGAAGGTTCAACACAAGTTCACGGATAGTACTGTCTCGCTGATGAATCTTGTCTTTTTCATCCAAGATGTTCCTTTCCAGTTTCTGCATATCTGACTCCATCTTAATACTCCTTTGCCTGCTCATTTGGGTTCTTTCGCTCATTAGTCGGGTCTGTTGCTGGAATGAAAGGCTGATGTCATGTCTTTTACCGTCAAGTGTTCTGAGTTCTCGAGTGAGGTCATCCTTCTCCCGCATTAAGGCATCTCTCTGTACTGTTAGCATTGTCTCCTCCCTGGATGAGTTAGATTTGGTATTTGTGAGCAGGTTGATTTTATCATTAAGACGTCTGATTTGATCCTCCAGGTCTTGTCTGGCAAATTTGTTCTCAGACACCTGCTCCCTCAGACGATCTCTCTCTGCTTCAACAGCCTGGTCTTTCTCAACACGGACTACCTCCTTGTACACTGTCTTTTCACAAGACTTCTCCTTCTGCAAGATCTCAACCTTTGCTTTGATGTTGCGGATGTCTCTCTGGAGACGCAGCATGTCACTGGTTTCTTTGTCCATGTCCGACCGCAAGCTATTTGTCATCCTCTCCAGCCTCGGGTCTCTCTCGACTTTTAGAACCTCCTCGACGACTATGCTCTCTTCGACAGGAGGTGGAGCGTTTTCCAACTGTGTAATGCGAAGGCGGATCTCTCTGAGTTTAGACTCTGCTTGAATTCTCTTTTGGTGCTCATCGCACTCTCTTGCGGTCCTTTCTTTGTCTTCCACCTTTGATCTTAATTGTTGCAATTCTAGCTCCACCTGACGTCGGCTCTTTACTTCTTCATCAAGTTTCCTGCCAAGTTTCTCATGGTCCATCAATTGCCTTGGGTCTTTTTGTAGGCGTACAACCTCCTGCATAACAATTTTCTCCTCGGGCTTTTGTCTCTCCAAGAGGATGTATTTGTTTTGAAGGTCAAACACCATCTCTTCAATGTTGCGTCGCAGCTGTGCTTCTTCCCGAACATCCCTTCGTAAGCGGTCAGCTTCCTTCTCGAAAAGCGGATCCGGCTCATACTTTATGACTTCTCTGGTCACGAGTTTGGTTTCTACCTTGGATTTTTCTGCCTTCAGTTCGTCTCTTTCTTTCCGGAGCAGTCGGACTTTGTCCTCGAGAGAGTTGTATTGGGTGTGTAAGTAGTTCACCTGATCATTTAATCTCTGTATCTCTCGCTCATTTTCAGGGCTTCTTTCTTCTTTAACCACCTCTTGGAGAACTTCCTTTAGTTCCACTTTGGGCTTCTCAGAACGAAGGATGTTGAGATCAGTGGTAACTTGGGTGATTTCATTGTCAAGATCAGCACGGTGTCTATTGGTGTCCTGTATATCTTTGCGGATGCGCATTATTTCCACCTCTGTATTTGGGTCTATGCGGTAGATTTCATTAACTATTTCTTTCACCTCTACTCTTGGTTTCCAGTCTTGAACTTCTCTGTAGCGGCTGTGGAGTTGCATCAATTCTTGAGACAAAGAATTGTTTTCCGTTCTCTCTTGTTCCAGGTTTGTTTGGATACTCTTAGAAGCTGTTATGAGTTCAGGGTCTTGTTCAATAGTTTTCACCTCTTTAGTGACAATCTTAGGCGGGATATTGGGAATCAGCCTTTCAAGTGCATTAATCTGACTCCTTGTCTGGAATATTTCATCATTAAGAATTTTGCTCTTGTTGCCCTCATCAGATATGTCTGTCTCAAATGTTTGCATTGCCCTCAGCATTTCTGGATCCTGCTTGACTTGAATAACCTCCTTCTCAACTACTCTGTTTTTGATGGGTGGCTGCTTCTGCTGAAGAATCGTGACTTCTGTCTTCATCTGAATCTGCTCTCCATCTTTCACTCGAATTTCATCTCTCATCCTTCCTATTTCATCTCTCATCTTCGCAGCCTCCACATCCAACTGGGGATCGCTTTCAAATTCTGTTACCTCTCTGGTTAGCAGTTTAGGTGGTGTGGTTTTTAGGGTGTCCTCCAGGACAATTATTTTCTTGTTTATGGTCTCAATCTCAGCTTTGGCAGGAATGTGTCTCAAGGTCTCATCATGTAGTGTTTTACTCAGCTCAGCCAAATCATTTTCCAGTTTTGGATCCCGGTAGTACTGCAGTACTTCTTTTTCCTCGACCCGCTCCACTCCTCTGCGACTCTTCAGAGACATCATCCTGTCTTTGAATGTCTTCAGATTTGTTTCTGAGTGAGCCCTTCTCTCTCTCTCTTCGTCCAACTCTTTCATCAGGCCATCTACCTCAGAAGCACTCCTTTGCTGACTTTCAACCTGCACTTGTTGCTGTGCCACCATTTGAACTTTCTCTTCATTCTGTGGCACGAAAAGCAAATTAAGCAAATGTCAAGTTAGTTGATATGTTTTGTGGCTTGAGTGGTTTTGTTGTGAAGTGCCCTAAAGGACAGCTTTTTTTGTATGAGGACTTGTTTCTTACTTGTAAAATCAAACTCTTAGCCAAGCCCATCTGTTTTTGCCGTTGGGTGTTTTCAGCGGTAGCCTCAGCATAACGGTTCACCAGATCTTTTTCCTATCAGAATGAGGTCATTAGTAACCTTAATCTTTTCATAGTATTACTAATATGTATCATGTCGAATCTCAATTTTACCGTTTTTTGGACAGCATCAGAAAGTGTGGGCATTGTAGATTTCTTTGGAACAGAGGCACCAGAATCCTCAAGGGTACTGTTGTACTTGTCAACGTTAGTCCCGTACTCCTACACAAATGTGAAGAATTAAGGTGATTTTCATGATGACAATCACATTTATGTGTCGGTAGGAATGTTATTTATTTCAATCTTACATTGAGTAGATTCTGTAGATCCTGAGAGAGGACAGCCACTCTATCCATGTCATCCTCCTTCCGTTTTAGGTCATCCACCACTCTCTGCAATTAAACGTTTTCATGAAAGCTATTGTTATGTTAAGGAAATGGACCAATGCCACTTTTTTTTAACAAGAGGATATTAATGGATGAATCCACTGGCAGTGAATTCAAATTAAAATTGGTCTGGTTTTCTGAGCGATCTTACCTCTTGGGAGTTCTGCTTAGAAGAGACCTGAGACAAATCATCACTGGAATTTATCTGATTTGTTGGCAAGTTGTCCAGAAAGGAGTTAAGGGATTTGCATGTGCTCTGGAACTCTTGGTTCTTAGTTGAAGTATCTTGCAAGATATGATCCCTAAGAGGAGGATCGTGGGTTTAAGTCATGAAACAGATATCATCAACTATATAGCTAAATAATTGTTTTTTGAAAACTAACACTAAAACTAATACCGACATGATTATAATATGTTTGAAATTCACTGTTCACAGTGTGATTCTCACCTCTCCTTCAGCTGATTGGCAATATTTGTATATCGAGTCTGCAGCTGCTTGACATCTTTCCTCTGACGCTGGATGTCAGGGCAGTACTCCTGGTAGCCCTGCTGCAAAGAGCTGCACAGCTGCTCTGTCGCCTCCAGATCCTGACTCAACTTCTTCATGTCATCCTGAGCTGCTGCAACAGACTTCCGCTGGGACTGAGTGTAACAAAACGGAGTTTTAAGTCAATTACAGTATGTAAGTTCACTTTTTTTTTGATACACTAACAAACTTTAAATGTGTGTTTTTTTTTATTGTTACGGAAAAGCAAATAATCTTACCTGGATGTTGTCTGTGTGGTCTTGAATTGCATTGGGGGTGTCAAGGATTTCACCATCTTCACTGAGGTTTTTCTCAAATCCAGAGAGAAGGCCATCGACCGTCTTTATCTGTTTCTCCAGGTTAAGAGATGCATTTGCTCTGAAAAAAGATAAGTGCACTGAAATAAGTAGCAGAAACAGACAAACTATATACGCATATATATATATATGTGTGTGTGTGTGTGTGTATGTGTGTTATATATACAAAAAGATATATATATATGTGTGTGTGTGTGTGTGTGTATGTGTGTTATATAAAAAAATATAATATATATATATATATGCTAAGTTTGCATTTGAATTTGTAATACTGTTACAAACTTTAATTTGAAAAAAGACAGGAAAAAACATATACTTACTTCTTACTGTAAAGGTCAGCAAGTCCAGCAATGCTGGAGTACTTGTTGTTGGCAGAACTGAGTTTGAGTGGCAGGGCTGAGGACGTACTGGGATCTTTAGACAATAGGGGCTGCAGGTCAGCTTGTGCTGCCTGCGTCTGCTGCTCCACAGCCTTCAGTGTATTGGCAGCTTTCTGTAACCAGATTAATACAATTATGTTTAAGTCATGAAGAATAAGGACACCTCAAAAGTCTGCTGAAAGGGTAAAAAGATCACAAGTGCATTGTAATAGGAGCTTCCATATTTTACTATTAATCGTTGCACACAACCATAAAACAGTATTTATTTCACACCTAGAGGGCTCAGAGAAAAAGCTCAACATAGAGGACTTCTTCATCTCACCTGCTGCTCATTCATCCTCTTGGCCAGATCTTCAATTGGATCTGTTCGGCTCAGCGGGGTTCGCAGGCGGCTCAGCATCTTCTCCTCAGTATTTGTGAGATCACTGTCAAGTTTGTCTAGCTGCTGAGCAAGGGCTGCCACTTTTGGGTCAGGTGGAGAGGAGGACACTGGGGCTGGATGAGAGAGCAAGATGTCAGTCCACTGACCTGTACACTAATGTCGAATGATCTGTCTTATCAAACCAATATTAGGATAGTAGAATTTACAACCTTGCTTTTGGACTCTGTTGATATCTGATTTGTGATTTTTCAGGGAGGCTGCCAAGGCTGCTCGTTTCTTCTTGATGTCTGCTAGTTCACCACCCAAACTAATGTGTCAAAAACACAGACAGAGCAAAAATAAAGCACTTGGTTCCACAGACACTTATACCCCGGCACGGGTGAAATGGGAATACGTCTTTGTGTGACTTACAAATCCACTTTATCAATTGCATCGGGGTCAGGAGGCGGGATTTGGAAGCAAACTCCTGGGAAGGTCTTTGCTGTACCATCAGCGAACATAATATCCCAGTTCTCAACGTCTGAGTTTGATTTCAAGGTAAACTTCTCCCCTCTTGACAAAGAAGCCTAAATAGAGATAATGAAAAAAGTGTTCGGGGACAAAAAAGATAAAAAAGAATAAATGCTGCAGCCACAGAAATTTGTATTTCAACCTGAGATTATTTTTCAATTGAAGGGAGAAAAATTCGTAGGCTTTACCCTTTCTGTTTCCCAGTCACACAGGGACTCTATGGTAGTGGATCTGGTAGGGGCACTCCTTCGCATTTTCAGAGGAGCAATGCTGGTGCTCCGTCTTCTTAAGTCGGCCAACAGTTGTTCACAGTTGTCTACAGTCCTCTCGTCAGCCTGAGGGAAAGCAAATCCAAAAGAAAATAGATCTTAGAAATAGTCATATCGCATCAACACCCTCTTAACATTTTCCTACAGTAAGTTTGCCACTCAGAAACCAACATTCCTGGCATCTCCTAATTTTGTGGCAACAGATTATTTCAAAACATCAACAAATGACTGAAAAAAAAGTGTAATAAGTCATCAGGGCTAACACAGCTAGAAGGAAAAGCTTCGACTTCTTTTCTATCAGCAATGACACATGTCTGTGTATGAGTACTGACAAAGACAAACAGACAAACACTAATCACAAAGAGATTTTTATTAGAAACCAAAAATCTAGTTCTTTACATCTAAGCTCTCATGACCCCAAAACTCCTTATAAAAAAATGAAAGTCTGTGTGGTCCATGCATCTTGAAAAAGCTAATTCTGCTGTTCTGTATTTACTCTTTTCTGGATAAATCATCAAAAAACTTAATGCTCACAGAGGCCTCTTTTATGTGAATACATTTTTATTTCATCCAGCAGAAATACGTATACGTATATAATAAGCTGGGAGGTATTGGCACAGATGGTGGAGTAGTTGTCCTTAAGCAAGGCTATTGGTATAATCCCCTAGGTAAACATAAAGTACTTTTTGGAACTTATATGAAGTTATATACTATTCAAGCACATCAGGCTTTTTTTCACTCATATTACATTAAATAAACAGAAGTTTTTTTTTAACATGCAGACGTGCATTTACATTTGAACATGTACATAGCGGGCTTTTATGGCTTAGTTCTATATGAGGCCTTTCCAAATGAAAAACGTTCATAGCATCGTGTGGTGGTTGAAAAAAATAGTTTTCCTAAATTTACCAATTTAGGATTGAGAACTGTCAAAATGATAAATAGCAAGAAATAAAATGTACCAAGGAGCCCCTTTGCAGCCTTGTTTTGTTTTCATGCTGCTACATTTACACTCCTTAAAACTACTTTATCTCAAGTCCCACCTTGTTTAAGGACAATTAGAAAGAGACATCACACCCTTGTCGGCACATGAGAAATGGTAATTGTGTGTGTGAATCTTAAATTTACCTGTCAATAACCACATGAAACACCTCACCTTGATCAGATCAATTTGATCTGACTGATGTGTTTTCAAAAGGAATTGTTTTGTATGGAGGAATAGTTTTACGAATAAATGTTTCCTATCTTCTATGACTTTAAAACTATTGTTGGTCCCTTATAACGGACTTTACGTTATGATCTGAGCTGCTAATCAGAAGCTTTTATTCATATAAGGACGTTGTGTTACCGATTGAATTAAATGTTACCTTTAATACTTACTTTAATACATTTTATCGGTTCAACTTTATAATCTCATGATGTTTGTCATTTAAAACTTTGTGTGGATCCCTTGAAAATGATTTTATTAGTGTTAATAGATTTTTGTCAGGTGGGACAAACTAGATATTGTTTATTGTGGTGTGACACATATTGGCTTCCTCTGGACTAAGTCGTTTTATTTGTCACTCTCCTCTCTCGTACCTCAAGTTGCAGCAGTGTCTCGGAGTTGCTCTTCTTACTGATAGCCTTGGGGTCCAAGTTGTTGTTGAGTTTGGTCAGAGTCTCTGACAGCTGCTCAGTGTCCATTTGATACTAAAAAAGGGCAGAGAATGAATTAGCATGTTTTACCACATGGGAAATGCGTTCGATGCATCAGAAATGGGATAAAAGTGCTTATATCCACACCGATATTAATAAACTCACAGGTATGCCAGCCTACCTTTTTGTATTCCTCCACATTATCCAAATGTGTCTCTTGGCAAATGCAGAGATTGAGAAATTTCTGCCATTCGTTTCGTACGGCGTCTCTTTGAAACTATTATAGAAGAAAAAAAGAGTACAAATAGATTTGGATTGCATTCAGGATTCAGGTGTCCACGGTGGAATACTTGAACTATATTTATTGTTGAAATACCTCTATTGTAGAGCTGGCAGGATGCTTCATCTCGACGAGCCTGTCACCCTCATCCTGAAGTTTGTTCACTTCGGTCTCGTGGGACAACAGACTGTTGTTCTTGAAATTCTGATTGGGAATAAACAAAAGATTTTTGCCTTGAATCTTCCTGTCTCAGGAAAACCGACACCCTCTAACTTGTAACATTTTTTAAATGTTAATTACATACTCTGTGATATCATTTGTTGGTTAAAATGCTATTTTTCTCATATTCCAATGCTATTTACAAGTTAACCGTCTTACGATTACATCTGTATCTAGGGTTGTTCATCCTATGATCAAAATACACAATCAGTGTGTAGCTAATCAGCTTAAGTCCCAAAAACTTTTAGCTCTTTTTTCAAGCCTGGTGACCAAAAATAAATAATCAGAGAGTGGTGGATCACAACAGAATTGTGCTGAATAAAGCAGCTGTTTTGTTATGTCAATATAGCAATTGTGTTGACTCAGAAAAATCTTTTACATGGCCAGTGATATATAAGACACAAAAAGAAAGTAAAACGTAACAAACAAAACAAAAATAAAAAGCCCAGTTAACTGGCCCTGACCTCATACTGCCTGCGGACATCCGGTGGGTCCACCATACGATCGCTCCAGTCCTGCTTCTTGATCTTGTCTTGTTCTTCTCTGAGGAAGGACAGTTCTTTGTTGCAGCCCTGCATGTATTCGTAGAGGCTGTTCAAGTAGTGTCGGCGCCACTTGGAGTTGTCCTAAAATGAAAAAAGTCAATAAATCTCCATGACATGCTGAACTCATTGATAGTTTTTATTTGAAGAAACAGTCATTTCTGCATTTTTATTTAATTCAAGAAAGTGTGTGGACCAAGAAATCAACTTGTTATTAGATTATATTCTTTAAGATTCTGTAAAAAAAAACAAATAGAAAACAAAACTCGCGTGTGTCCAGAAACAGTTGTGTGTGTGTTTGGTGTGTGAAAATCCACTCACCAGCAGATTGTTGTATTGCTTTTTCAGGGCCGTATATTTCTCCTAAAAGACAAGTCAGGGACAAGTTGCGTTAAGCTGAGCGACATGGAAGGAGACCTCTGAGTGCCTATCAGTGCAGACGCCTGGGTTCACCTTGCTGCCAGCAGAGCTCACGCAGAGCTGCGAGTTGTAGGCCTCGATCTCTTTGTGCAGGATGTTGTGAGCAGCGATCTGCTTCTCCAGGTCTGCCATCGACGGGCCGTACTCTTCTATGTTCACTTCTTTCTGAGAGCACATAAGTCACAGGAACATAGTTCACGAGACAAAGTAATAATGATTTTTAAAAAACTGTTCTTTTTACAATTCAACCTCAAACGCTTAACCCTTTAAAGCCTGAACCAAGAATAAAACAGAACAGAAAATTACTTTTTTTTTGTATAAATTCCTTATTTGGCCTTTTAACAAAATATGTAAAAAGAAAAAACAGATATACATTTTTGATATTGTTATCAGGTATATCTGATTGTGTACAATAGGATTTTTGGCAAAGTTTTTACCATTAAATTATGCAAAAGGTGTCAGACACAAAGCATTTCAGAAACCGTATGTATCAAATATGATGCATTTGGCATTACAGGGTTAAAACTAATACTGAACTTGAAAGGGATATCATATATTAAAACAACCTAAAGGGTAACTTACTTGCTTTTGATTCAAAACAGGTCCCCAGTCGATTCTGGGCATCAGCGACACGTCGTCGATCTGCTCGTAGATGTCTCGGTAGAAGACACAATCCTTCAACCAGCGCTCGTGGAGGTGGATGACACTGAAGGAGACGGAAAAAAACAAAACAAAGAAGCATTTTTTTGTCAGTCTGTCTTCCTGCAGTCGGCTAAAATGTAACTCTCAGCGTGGCTTCTCTCTGCCAACTCACTCGTTCTCTATCTCATTGGCCTGTGGGTGTTTGAGATTCTTGGCCTTGCCCACATCCAGGAAGAGGGTCTCCAGCAGGCCCTCGGCCTCACTCAGCTTCTTTTTGATTTCGTCCTGATGCACGAAGGGCTGTTCTTTCTTGTCGTTCTCGGCGTCCTGGTGCGGGCGGACGGATAAAAGACAGGTGATTACAGATGAAAAAAAAAACGTTTCGGAAGAACGTGGCAGAAATGCGACGCTTTCTCACCACCGCCAGCAGCTGTTCTGACCGGAGGATGTCTTTCTCCACCTGGTCGGCATTGGTTTGCATCTGGGAAATCAGCTGGGCCAACATCCCTGCTGAGCTGCAGGGAGAGGAGGAACAGTGAGGGAAAAGGAAACATTCAGTGCCACAAGTTCAGGTCGTTTTTGGGTTCAGAATGACAGAGACAACGGAAATTCTTTCTTAAAAGCAAAGCTGAATTGTTCCCACTTAATGCAGCTCTTGTTATTCTGTAAAGAATACATCATAATAGAAAAAAAAACATATCCATCACATATCCAAACGTTAATTTGCCAATTGATCCCACCAGATTTGGACTCGTGAATATAGCTTTAACCCTTTAATGCCAAATGTATCATATTTGATACACACGTTTTCTGGAGTCTTTTGGATCCGAAACTTTTTGCATCATTCAATGATAAAGGCGTTGTTCAAACCCCTGTTGTAAACGTTCAGATACACCTGATAACAGCCAGTAGAAGACTACAACAAAATATATTTTTTACTTATTGCACGCTAATTTGATCAAAATAATTTCTTTTTTTTTCTTCATATGTTGTTGAGGGGTCAAAAAAAGCCTTCAAAGTAAAAAAATCCAATATTCTTTTCAATTTTTCTTGGATCAGGCTTTAAAGGGTTAAAAGAGACTTGGGCCAACATGCTGATATCATAAATTCGATCTAAAATATAAACGACACAAATAGATAATAGGTGTATAAGTTGAAAACATCGTTGATCTTTGCATTTACAAAACTTCGTCAGACACGTATAAAAGCGCTGTGCTGTTTTTTTAAAATTCTTTTTGACACAACTAATGCCACCAGGCAGCAGACAGATGAAAAGATAGAGGTGTGTCACCGAGCTACAAGCTCATCTGGTTTTCTCACAATGAGCCTGCTGTTCCTGTTCATTTGGTGGAGCAGGTATGCGCCCGACGCACAACCAACCGCTCCGAGGTCCTTTACGTTCACCAATAGAAATCTCTGTTTTGAGTTCATCTGCGGAGACTATAAATCTCGCCATGACACCTGATTCCAGTATGTTTTGAATAATTTTTATTGAAAATATACTCTTCCTTTACTTTCTCTCCTCCTCTCCATTAAATGCAGGTGGAATGGCTAATGATGAAATTATTTTATCATATTTAGAATCTAAAAATAAGAATTATATTAATCAAAAGTAGTTCAAATGACTTTTAAATTAAAATGACAGCCAAATATATCTTCTCTTTTAAACCTAAATCTTTCTAGAACACTGTGGAAGAATGGTTCTGTTTTTTGGGGGGTTTTTTTTGGAGCAACATTAAATTGTGGAGTTAGTTATGTTCTTATTTTTATTTTTGTCATCATCAGTGCATGTTCATTCACAATAAGTAGGGGAGGGGCTGATTGATGGGGCACTCCCTCACTGCTGCACATACAGAGGCCTTGTGAGTCATAAGTGACCGGTTCTTGTTTTAGTAGAGTTTTTCAGTCATTTCTTTCCAAGATCCGAGTTAATTGTTCAAATTTGAGCTCCCCACAAACAACAAAATAATAATAAAAGACTAATGTACTATTAGACTAATGTACTATTAGACTTTCAGTGAAAAAAACAAAACAAAAACACACATTTTGGTTAAATATGGAGTAAGAAAAAGTCTGTTTATTATATTTGTATATTAGTGAATAAATAGCAGGATTGCTAGTTTTTATGAAAGACCATGTGAGGACAATTAAACAGCTCAGAGCTACGGTTGATTTAACTTAAAAGTGGGATAACTGGATAACCCACATAATCGAAATGGGTTGGCCGGCACTTCAAGATTTGAAAAGCTTGTTGCACAAACACTCCCTGATTTGGTAATGTTTTAATTTTCCCCCCAACACACTCGCAGGTTATGAAGGCAACTCGGAATTTCATTAGACTATGGAATAATAGCAGGACCAGATGATGCATGTATAAAATCTCTTTAGGGGTACAGATGCTGTCTTTGAATACGTGCTGTCATGGGTATGATACGGGATCGAGATTTAACCTGCACAACCACAAAGGGAACTGACCGTCTCACAACACTCAACTCCACACATACACCGAAGTGAATTATCCAAAGAGTTACATTACTTTAAGACAACCTATTGTCATATTCTGAGGAGTCCCCTCAATGTGAAACTATGCAGGGTGACTGACATAAGTGTAAATAATACACACAAGAGTGTTTCCATTCTACATGTAGGCGTCTGTCAAAAGTATTTCTTGTGGAAAAATGACTGACATTGGGAGTGGTCAGAAATCATAGGAGTGAATCCTGTTAAAAGCGACAACCTAATCGTAATTTTGACAAGTGAAGAACCATGCCTGGTTGTAAATGGAAAAAAACCCCCAGTGTAATCTCATTGATAGATTAAAACGAAACAAGCAAGTAGAGTCTAAATATTATATTTGATGTTTAACTAAGAAAAATCTTTAAAAGAAATGTGATAATGGCAACTCTTATGGACAGAAGGGAACCAAAGCCCTCATAAGTGTGAGGAATATCATATCAACACAAAGATTTTGACACATATACTGTCTAAGGTATATATAAAACAAACATACTAGATTTTGAATATACAGAGGATGTATTTTTCTAAAATTGTTATATCTTATTTGTTCTTGTTATACCAATGTAACCAATTTAAAAAACTTTGCTTTGGACCTTGTTCTACCTGATCTGACTGCCAAACGCTGTCGTCCCTCATCTTCACGAAATACACAGATTTCTTTTAAAATCCAAGAGTATTCATCTAGACATTTAAATAATTTAAGACATTCCCTGAGTAAAGATATTTTAAAGTCTCCTTTAAACAGGATATGCTTTGACGGGAGGAGAATTTCATAAAGCATGCACAGAAAAAGAGGCCGATAAGGACACAGGAAACTTGACACAGTTCTGGGAAACTGGAAGAAATGCAGGAGGGGCAGCCTGACCGAGATACTCATGTATCCGACGTTTCCAACTCACCTGCTTGTCTTGCTCGAGCCCTGCAGCGTGCCGTCTTTGGTCTCTTTTTTCTTAAACATCTTGAGAAAGATTCACGCAGAGATCCGGTGGAAAACGTTAACCCTGCGGTCCTACTCCCTCGTCTGAGTCTTTCTCACCTTGTGGCACCCGATTCGTCTCGAGCACACTGACACACACACCCTCTCTCATGTCAATACAGCCCTTTTGACTGGTGGCTCCTCCCAGACAGGTTCGCTGACGCGTCGACGCCCAGATGACCACCTTGAAGAAGACAAGACAGACCTGTTTTTCCCGCTCTCCTGCCTCCTGCCTATCTTTTCTCATCAGGTCCCTAGCACGTTCACATCTCAGGCTAAATACAGGGGCCCTTAAAGTAGAATCCACGATACACTGGGATGGAGGAACAGTGGGGATCTTACAGTAGAAAAGGCCTTGAACTCAAGCAAATGGAGGTCACCACTGCACGAGGGGAAATCAACTTAAGAACGCGTACCTGCTCTTGCCTGTCGTTTTAAATTAGGTTTTAAATACGGGTGCAGAATCAAACTAAATCTTGGATTGCCGTGTATCAATGGCTGAATGTATGTCCATTCCCAGCTCTTTATTTCCTCCAGTCAGGGAACACTCCTTCACACATTCTGCTGACAAATAGGTGTTGATTTTCTTCTCTTACTTTGTTCAGCATTTCCTGTTTGACATCTCATCTCAATAAGGGGACCATGAACTCCAAAAAAACTACAGGCACCCTCTATGTACAGTCAACAATCAAACCCCCAGAGGGTAGAACAGGAAATGTGTACGCGATCTCTTCAAACAGACTTACATGTCATATGGGCTGTGGCTCAGGAGGAAAGATCAATTGCCCACTAATTGGTGGGTGAGTGGTTCAAACTAAATGTTCCTACAGGCCACATCCTTGGGCGAGGCTATTCAATTCGATTTTATTTATATAGCGCCACATCACAACAACAGTTGTCTCACAGCGCTTTCCAAACAGAGCAGGTCAGACCCTACTCTGAAGTTAACTACAGAAACCCAACAATTCCCACTATGAGCAAGCACTAGGCGACACAGGCAAGGAAAAACTTCCTTTGAACCCCAAGTTGCCTACTGGTGCATCCGGTGTGTTAATGGCGAACGACATGTCGTGTAATGTGCTTCGAGTGGTCAGTTTGACTGAAAAAGTTCTAAATAAGATGGCTGGAATAAAAAAAAAAAAGTTTTGTGCATTGCAAAGTCCTGTCTTACATCTGTTGGTAGAGTCATGCGAGGCATTCAGGATCAGGGCGTCTCTCCGTATCTTTTCAACAATTGTAAGTCGCGGTGAGGAATGCAGTCGGGCAGCTTTTCCTGGAGCAGAGTGACAAGAGCAGACATATTTGATCGGTGCAGTTATCGAGTGTCGCTCTCTGGGCGTGTCCACCTGTCTGGAGGAACAGATACTTTTTTACGTTGCTCAGATACCTTCGATTTGTTATTGTTAGCAACTAGAAGTGTAGTGGAATATATCTCTAATGTGTGCCATGTTTTGTTTTTTTTCCTACAAAGGATAGCTGCCATCTGTACAAAAAGTGACACGTGATTAAACTGATATTTTTGTCAAACCAAAAATGGAAAAACTTAGATTTTGTACCTAAACATGACTAACCAATCAAATGAACTTGGAGCAGAGTTCTGAATGTGACATGGACCAGATTGCGCGATCTATGATAGGAAAAAAAGGAAAATCCCAAGACTGAAAGTAGAAGAAATCATTCAGTCTGAATGAAATGAAACGAAAACTGAAATGGGTCTTTTTGGAGGTCTGCCATAGCAATTACAGAAGGTGTCTGATGGAGGCTTCCTAACTAAGTAGCTTGGATTTAAATTGAATTTGTCAGAAAACCCTATGTAAAGGCAGAAAAAAGGAATATCAGTGATAAAAAAAAAAAAATGGAGGATTGTGTTGGTTTATGGCAAAGAATGAATGATTCAAAATGACTGAAGAACCTCATCAGGTAACTGATTCACAACTGGGCTGAATTAAGAGGAAACAATTAAGCAATTTGTCAAAATCCTATGTTCATGCTCGTTTCACATTGGTTACTATCTCTAACTTAGTTAATCACATGTTTGATAAATGTCTTTCATGATTATTACCAAATGGTTAACGAAGACTTTGTCAATAAAGTAAAAATAAAAAAAGAGAAGACATACTGAGATATGATTGAAAAATGTAAAAACATGAAGCAGAAACTTGAGAAATCCAGAAAAGCTGTTATATTCTCATCATTGAGAAACACATTTGTTTTTTCGGGTCCTAAGGAATGCGAGAAAATGATGAAGATGCGACACAGGAAGAGCTGCAGTATGAAAAAAGGACAAGGTGGCTGTTTAAGTAATCAGATATAATAATGTGCAGGAAAAAAACATCACCCAAAAGCATTTTAAAAATCAAACTGCGCTTCTATTCATACTTATTGCACAGATAATTTTTTTTTTTTTAAATTAAGTGCACACACACCCTGCCGAGGCATGCCGCACTCCCACTTACACACCCTACGGAAATGCAAGTACACAATGACACACGCATTCTGTTACACTTGTCTTGAAAAATGTTACAGATCTAAAAAAAAAAAAAAAAAAAAAGGTCTAAATAGTCTAGATAGTCGCCATTGGATCATACAAAATCGTTTAGTTTTAGTTCACTGAAGAATAGAAAAACAAGAGTTTGCTGCAAAGATATTTTAATCACAGGATTGAAGGCGAATCAAAATGAATACATTCCCGTTACTGATCCTGATTAATGATAATTTTTCCAGCCTTATGCAGTTAAAGGCCATCTTTATTCTTCAACATTTAACACAAAAGACAGAGCAAGAGAAAAAAAACCAAAAAAATAATCAATGAAGATTAAAAAGAACCTCACACATGGGTAGTGTGTGTGGTTTGTCTGGTGTGACAAGCAAACATGGCCCCTTCCAAACAAATAAATCAGCTTTGATCTGGAACGTTGTTGCGAGTCTGCGTGCTGCCCGAAACAGTATTCCCATCGGCATGCCATTCATACCGAATACATTTGTACAGCTAAAGAGGGACTAAGGAGTGGTGTGATGAATAAAAGGCTGCTTAAACCTCCCTTAATGCCTTATTGTCTGCAACTGTTCTCACTGAACTACAACAGAGCTTCCACTGGGAAAATCTGAAGGCCGATGGGGGCATTTGGACCCCTGCTTTCCCATTTACAATACGAAATTGCAATGTTACAAAAGCATTGCAGGGAATTCATAATGAAAAACATCCAATTTAGAAAAATGGGACTGTTAGTTTTGCTTTTTAAAACATTTTTTAAATGTAAAATTTAAAATGCAAAACGCTTTCAAATTCATATTGAAATGTTCAATTTCGGCAACACGTCGGATGTAATTCCCCGTTGCACCAACGATGTATTGTGGTTGGTATGGAGACCGCGTAGGTTTCAGCAGAGGAGGTTTGCTTTGTGACGTTTTGAGTCACACTTCCTTGCATGCTGTCATAATTCGAACGGGGCAAACAAGGATGAAAAAAAAACAAAACAAGAACTGAACACGGCTGAGAAGCTGAAACGTGATTCAGTAAAAAAATTATTCAGTTCGAATTTTCAGGATTGATTTCAAACATACATGCACACGTTGTATAACTACTCAGCTTTCCAGATTTTAGACTTGAAGAATGATGAAAACATCTCTCACTCTGGAAAAAAACAAACATTTATACACACACAAGAGAATAACCTAAGAATGCCTAAATGGCTTGTTTTGCTCTAACTAGAATTTGAGATTCACAACTTAGCTCAAACTGTTAAGACCACACAGCGTGGGGACTTGGGAAGGTACATGGAACCTGTATGTTTGAGCTGATGGCATTACAGGAGGCAAGTGGACTGTGGGAGCTACTTAAAAGTAACTTGATTTGAGCCCCAGTTGTTTGTACACATAGGCACTAAAATGTTACCTTTAAAAAAAGGGAGATGGATTTATTCCCATTGACAGCTGAACCCAGTTGCTTTGTTTTCTGAAACCTCGGGCCTCGTTTTCCTGTGGTGATGGTGGTGGTGGGGGCGTCGGCTTAGCTGCCGAAGCCGAAGATGCCCTTGATGTAGCCGGTCAGGCCACCCTTGCCCTTCTGCTCCACCTTGTCGTCCAGCGGCGGGAAGGCCACGTGGTTGAGGGCCAGATCAAAGAAGAGAGGCTTGCAGGGGATTGGCTGGAACTCGGGGGGGAACTGGACCAGGTTGGGCTGTTTTCCTACAAGAGTGGCGTCCAGGCGGAAGGTGTCCAGGCGCTCACAGAGCGGCTACGGGAAGAAGCGGGGAAAGCGTGAGCCAATCAGAGGTAAAAGGGAAGTACGTTTAAAACTAAGAGGAGGTCGGCTGTCACTTTAAAGGAGACATGGAGTCAAAAAAAATATTTTCAAGCTTGAAAAACGTTTATTTCATACTTCCTACTACTATACTTATCGTTACTATTACATAGCCCGTTGAATTTTCCCATCTACAAAACCCAATCAGATATTTCTAGAGATGAGGGACTTAAGTTGGCCTTGCTTTCCAATGGTTTTTATGTGACAAATGTTCACTCAGATGTTAAACTCTGCAGTAAATGAGTGCCTCGATACTGCAAATGTGCATTCTGATGCAGTGCTGAAGTCTTTCGAGGCGTTTTCTTACCTTGCTCTCCTTCACCTGCTGATGAGGGGAAACCTCAGCAGTGTCGTCGGTATCTGAAACGCAAAGCAGTTCCTCAGAATGACTCGCAATCAGTCAATCAGAACGAGAAAGAATAAATTAATTTGTTCTTATCAGGCTGTAAGGTTAGTCTGTCACAAAGAAGGTTTATGTGGCCAAATCACCACGTATCAAGAAGCTTTGGTGCAGTTATTGAAGATAAGAAAATGTGACTTAATTTAGGAGGGTCTAAAGCAAAGAGAAGGGCAGAAAGTTGAGACAATAAGGAGGCAGGGCAGATTGGAGGATGCTTGTGATTGGAAGACATGGGTAGGTTTAGGAAGAAAGTTATTGTTCCCCTGGAAATAGCATATACAAATCTAAGGCCTGATATTGTTTTGTGGACGAGGAATAGAAAGTCTATTTCATTGTGCCGACCATGCCTTGGGAGGACTCGGCAGAAGAGGCCTATGAACGGAAAAAGCCGAGGTACCGTATGTAGATTTAAGGGGTAGAAGCAGAGCAGCGAGGATGTAAAGTTAGGATTTGTCCAGTAAAAGCAGATTCTAAAGGTCTTTGGTCATTGTGGAGGGAGTTGGTTTATAAGTCTGAGGAAAATAATGAAGAACATGTCAGATTAGCCACCAAGGGCCATTTAAGGATATGGATAAAAAGAAGCAACAGAAGCTGGTGGTCCAGCAGGGGGAAGCGCTTAGGGTAAACAGATAAATAGGATAGGCAAGGAAGAAATCAAGGGAATGTTTGAGTGGAGGGTGTGGCCTGTGTGAGCCTTTTGAAAGCAATGTTGGGTGAGTTAGCCTGTGTGGCCTCTTATTTGTTGGCACACTTGTAGTGCTTTTCCACTTGTGCCTACTCAGCTGCATGGCTCTACGTCGGCTGTCTCCCTGCTTCTGTGCAGCTCTTACGGTCATATTGTAGCTTCGCTCGAGTTCAACGCAGGATTTTGGTCAAACGAGCATGCACGTTGAATGAAAATTCAAAGTTTCCCAGTAGGAGCAAGATCATTTGAGTGAAGTTTTCATGTCAAGTTCGCTCTCAAAATGGGAGGGGAAAAAAAAGCGCCGCAAAATTAAAATATGTAGATGAACACTGGACGAGTGGGATAGTTTATATATTTTTCTTGAACCTAATAGCAAACCATTCTGCTTTACATGCCAGAAGTACCATTAAGTAACACGCATGGTAAAATGAAAAAGGAATTGCAAATTGTTTTATTATTGTTAGAGGACTTAGTTAAACAGATAGTTTGCCTATTTGAGATGGTGTACACAATGTTCATTGTTGAAAAATGACTGGCCTTTGGTCTTTATATGTATGAGTCAATTTCTTTCATTGTCATGTCGGTGTGTGACGTTTACAATAAATCTGGCTGATAAATGTTGTTAAAACCCAACACCACGGTCCAACAGACAGATTAGTGAACATTCACCGAGTCTGGTCCGTTTGTTTGTGGTGGAAGTTTCTAAGCAAAAAAACCCCCAAAGCCGCTCATTTGACAAAGGGATTCCTACCCAAGATGGCAGCAGCTTGAAGTGAGTACTTCTCAGCATTGACTTCAGCGATGAGCTCCTGAACATCAGGGAGGTCCTGCAAAAAAAAAAAAAAAAAGTCAAGGTGGACGCCAACAATCCCATGAGAAACAGTTTGTAAACTGTGGGGTATAACGCTTCTATGTGTCCACTTATTGCTGCAACCTTGAGGCTTTTGTTGAGACTCTTGGATTTGGACTGGACCTCCTTGGCGTATTTCAGCACCCTCTCATACAGCACCAGCGCCTCGCTCCACTTTTTCACCAGAACATACGACTGGGCTATAAAGAAACACCTACAAAGGACAGACTATGCGTCACTATGACTGTTTTATTAGACAGAGGGTGTCATAAGTACATTTAAAACTAAATGAAAAAAAGAACTAGGGACTGGGAAAAAAAAAAAAAACTTAAACACAAAACAAACCAAACCTGTAAGCCTTGTAGACCAGCAGCTTGAGGGAGAGTTCCTTCTGGAACATGTGGTCATCCTCCAAACCCTGCAGGGTAGAGAGCTCAGCCAGACTCTGCATGGGTTTAAGGGAGAGACATGCATGTTAAAAAATACTTTTAAAAAAAGAAAAAAAAAGCTAAAACTATGGGGGACATCTCTCCACAAAAATTAAACACCTGCTTGAAAGCAGTTGTATTGAACCCTTCCCAAACCATCTCCTTACGTCTCTCAAAAGACTCTCTCTCAAGTAAGAGAGAAAAAACAAGAGACGTCTTTCCCTTTTCCATTTTTTTTAACATGATCTGATTGCGTTACCTGTGTTTTTAGATCTTGAAGCCCTCAGTGAAGTATATTTTGAAATATATTTATGCAATGTATATATTTATGAAAACAGGGTTTTCACTTTAGTTGATCAAGGAGAGTCTAATATCATCATGTCCAGCTATGGCAAGATAACCATATAACCATATTTCATACTCCCCGTACAACCCAGCTACAACAAAATGATATACGTCTTTAATCGTCTAGGAAATGAAATGTTTTTTATGTAACCATGGTTCCCAACAAATCTAAAAACTAAAAATTTCCATTGTACAGTATATCTGTATTCGAGGAAGGCCCTAAAATACCTAGAAAACAGAGTTAACATGAAAAAATAGGGGTAAAAAGGAAAGACAAACTTATAAATATTCATTCTGCCTTGAACAACTGGCAGAGAGCTTCTTCAAAACACTAGTTCCATAGCATTTCCTGAATAAGTTGCTGGCTCTACCTGCAGGATGATGTCGTAGAGTCGGATGAGGTCCTGTGGGCGGGGCCCCCGCTTGTTCTCGTCGGCCTCGGTCTCCTTCAATTTAGCCTGCAGAGTGTGAGCCATGCTCTCATTCCGCTTCACCAAGGTACACAGCTTGATGTACGTCAAGTAGCTGTGGAGGCAGACGTCAGGCACAATTGAGACAATTCTAATTCTCTGGATGTCTTGTTAAAATGTTGTTGGGGTGAGTTTGCCAGCAAACACAAAAATCGTTCACTAAAAAGGAACTCACTGTCTTAAAGTGAGGGGCTAAAAAGTGCACATAGAGCTTTTTTTTGGTAGTTTGACCAGAACATCTTCACAATCCTACAGATCATTCTACACATGATCAAAATCTGATTATTTTCCGATTATTTTCCTGCCCCTGTGTTTCGTAGAAGTATAAAACATGTTTTATGCAGTAAAAACACTTGAAAGAAGTTCCATGTGCTGCAGTTTGTTTAGCCAACGGTGCTGAAACAACATGCAACAATGTCGCCCCCCGCCCCAAAAAAAGTTAAGGCTGCTCAATTTGTTTATATTAACCAATGCCAAATATTCTAAAACAGAAGATACATTCGTTTTAGTTGAATACAAGTTTTTCAAATTTCAAAGAAGTCAGCCTTTTTTATTCATGACCAAGAAACCAAAAATTAACTGTAGTCGGTTCTTATTCCAAAATACTACTGCTGGGCAATTATTTAAAAAAAATGCAAATCACGATTAATATTGTCAATTTTTGGGGGGGATTAATCTCAATTAATTGCATTACAAAAAGCGCATTTTATGCAAATATTTGAACAAATAAGGTACTTTTTACTGCACTATTCCCTTCGTCAGAAGACAATAAAACCACTTTATTTAAACATCCAATATAAACTTCTAATAACCACTTGTAGGGCATTATGGATTGTTTTGAATTTTAACGATATTTCAAACTAGGAGTTGCAAGGGCGTCCAGATGACAGTTTTGAAATTCAGGAAGGGTTTTGAAATGAAAATGTCCCCTTAACACTCAGCTGCTTTTCACCATTTTCTGCTTGTTAGTAGTTTTTTCTGTTGAAAGTGAGTGCGGCAAAGCGGCGGTCTTAATTGCGATTGGTTGAGACGTGTGATAATGCCCATCGAGAGCTAATGATGATCCCGATCAAATACTTTACTTTTAAAAAGAGCAACAATAGAGTACTTCTCAAGACAGTAGGACCCGTATCAAACAAGACATCTGAAGAGGGAAATTACCAGAAAATCTCCACATTAAATGCACATCCTGACCGAAGCAGCTGAGGTACGTTTAGTTTTTACCTGTGCAGGAACTGAAGGTTGGAAACCTTCCCACCATCATTATCAGAGCTCCTTTCTCGCTGCTTCTGTAAAAATTGTAAAGAAATGTTCATATTAATTCACATTAATTATGTCACGTTACAGTTCAAATCAGTTTATATTGTCAGATGATCCGATTCAGTTTATTAGATCAGGTTAATTGAGTGCATCTTACTGCCTCGTTCTTCAGTTCCTCCTTCACGGCTTGGATGGTGTCTCTGCACTCGGCCAGCAAAGTCTCATACAGATGCTCTTTGGTGTCCTCGTTTACTGTCTGCACCAAAAAAGCCAAATAAAAATGAATAAATAAATCGAAATTTGAACAATAGTGGATTTGCATGAAGAAATGTGGCCCTTGCCATTAACTGGGAAAAAAAAAGACACGTGGCTCATTTTTCATCAAATACAGAATTGATTTAAACCCATGACATCCCTTGGGGTTCATCTTAAACATATAACTAACCAACTAACTGTTACAAAGTGCAAGTGTTGCAGCTGGAATGTCATGGCGGCTGACCGGGGGATATTGCAGGAATGTTGCCCGGTGGGCTGGTTGTAGCCAACATTCTGCTCATAACTAATCAGCATCTGGCCACACTGGGGTTTCAGGGTTCAGATCTTTGTCAGTGACAGGTTTGTTAACTTTATCTGCCCTTCGGAGACTCCAAATTGTTGCAAAAACCAAGAGAAGTTTGTGTTGAATACTTAAAAAAACTAACAAACAACAGGGGATAGGGTTTAGTAAGATTAGTGGTAAAGGGGTAAACTGGTGTGAAATACATCTGCTTATACGAAACAAAACCCTCCATTGACGGAGTAATCTTACACTCTGGTCCCACAAGGTCCATGTGATAGCTAAAGGTGTTTTGAAAGGTTAAAGCTCATCTGTCCGCACAGACTGGCTGTGGGGTGTAGGCCCGCATTCAGGTGTGGGCTGAAATGCACAGTATGCGGTCATGTGACGAGAGGTGCTGCATGCCAGAGATGTGAGTGGTTGTGGGTGTGTCTGCGGGGTTTGTTCAGTCATTAGGCACGGATCGGTATGACTAAGACGGGGCGGATGAAACGCCGCATCAAAGAGCGCCGTGCACTGACATTTTAAAGAACTGCACTGAGTGTGGTAAAACACACCCTGAACTGGACTATCAATCTAGTTTAGTTAACGCTTTTTAAGAGGGTCGAGCCACCCCTGATATCACCTTGTAATGTTTTAATTGATTTTTTTTAAGGTAATTTTTATTGGATTTTCAAGCTTTCCAGTAGTCTTTCAAGGTTACTTTTTTATTTTTTTTAACTCGCTGCTTTTTCCACTTATTCAAATACTCAGATCAATTTAATAAAGACAGTTTCATATTTTTCCAATATGAAGCATTTGGGGCTACTGCGCTTCACTATGTATCCAATATTAACACAATGTAATAACAAAATGGATACACAAAGACACTGCAATCAGAGTCAAACTTTTTGTGAAAATAACTTCCGTCTGTTGATTTTTTTCCATTACATAAAATCTAGCACCACGTTCTGTCAATGTGGACAAAAACATGATTCAGAACAAGACGTCTGTTGAGCATTTAAAGGTAGAAATGACTGTCATTTGCCTTCTAATTTCCTTTGTTGGAGATTTTGTTTAAAGTATTGTGACTCATCATTTTTCTGTTATTTAAGTGCCAATTATCAAAGACAACTTAGTGAGATAATTAGCTAGGATAACTGCTGACTTACTCAAAAGCCTTCTGATGATGTCATCATAAAATCATTTAAAGTTCATAATAAAGGGTGTAGAATTTTCCCCCTCTGGCATGTCCATCTTGACACGAAAGCAAATAGTCGTCACTTCTCTTAAAATTCTTTTTCAAAAAGGAATGCCCAGACCTGCCTAGTAACCATGTTCTACACATAACTGGTGATTTTCATATTGGTCCAATTACAGCTGGACATTGATAAATCACAACACATAGAGGGGTGACATGATTGTTAGTGAGTAAGGAGGATTGCAATCAAATTTCCTGATTTTCCATCTGATATTATACTTAATAGTGAAATTAGGTAAATACCAAGGACATTAAATACATAACTTGACTGATGATAGGCCCATTTACAGACTGTCACATACTGTATGAATAAACTCTTATTCCAAAATCAAACTGGGTGTAGCACATCATGTGATGTATGACTGACGCATTAGCCATGACGCTGTAGGACCCCCCCCTCTGAATTCTTCTTTAAGGAGATAGTAAAATACAATGCAATTTTTTGCATAGGAATTTTAACATGCCGGAAGGCTCAAAGGAAAAATCATTTGACTTCTATATGTTTAAATGCATGAAGAGAAAGGCATTTAGTGCTGACCTGAGCGATGGCGGCTTCATTGTCTGCCAGACCCAACAGGAAAATGCGGGCCTTGTCAATTTTCACAGGTACTGTCCGTCCCCGCCACTCCACCTCGCTCATCGTGGCAGCCTGCTTAGTTCTTGCCTGAGTGATCAGTGCCTGGGTAGATGAGGGAAACAAAAAAAATGCTTTGAAATGGAATACATATCTTAAGCTAAAACTATTAATTTATTTAACGCTACTTCATCCTTACTTCTAGTTTCTCGGCCATCATCCCTCCACCTCCACCGGTCAGCCTCATCTGCATCAGGTCATTGATGGCGTTCTGGTCACCTGTAAGCCCGCAGCAAAACTCAGCTTCAGTGTGTTCGGAAGAAGGGTGGAACAATCCCACAAAATGCAATGGTTGTATGAGAATCTGAACTGCTATGGAAGCTCTCACCAATGTTGTAAGCACAGTAGCGGATGTTGGGCGATATCTCATCCACACGCTGGCGATACAGAAGTGCCAACTCCTCAGTGAAGGCACTGGCCAGTTTCTCATAGATAGTCCTGACAAAGAGTTTATTAAAAAAAAAAAAGGTTACATTCATAAATATGTGGGTGGGGACAAAAAATAAAAACATTGGAAAGACTTTAACTGATTCTGCCACAGAAAGGGAAAACTAGTTTTCTCTACACATTTACATTTATGCATTTAGCAGACGCTTTTATCTAAAGCTATATGCTTCTAGGAAATAAGTGCATCTATAGCTTTCAGGACAAGAGATACTCTCTGAAGAGCTGGGTCTTCAAGGATTTCTTGAGGAAAGAATATCTAATACTTCAACACTTACTTGCATTTATTGAAGGCTTCCATGGCAAGCTTCCACGCCTGGAGCTCAAACTCAACCATCCCAGTAAGGTAAGCGGTATAAGCCTAGAAAACAAAAGAAAAAAAAAAAAAAACAATAATAAATGCTGTTGATAGATTAAAAGTGGTGAGATTGGTTCCAGGCATATTTGAGTTGTTGGAGAATAAGACAGCGGTAAAAATGGGAGGTGAATCTCTTTAACACACCTGGGCCTCTAGTTTGGTCTTCGCGTCCACCCGGGGGCTCTCGCAGAGCTTCTCCAGCTTCTCACTGTGCTTGGCGGCCTTGCGGAGTCGTGAAAGCAGATGGAATCGCTTCCGTGGCTCTGTGTTTGCCTCCTGCTTCAGCTGCATGGCGTAGCTCCAGGCACGCTCTGCCTCCATCAAAACCAGCAAGAGGTACCTATGATGGTGGATGTGCAGACAAGTTGCTGATGAGGATATTTTGCCAAAAAGTCACATTCAAAGTTATTTGAGTGAAACAGTTTGTGTTGAGATATTAACCAGCTCTCAATGGAAGAAAAAGTCCAGGTTATATAATATAAAAATAAAAAGTAAATAGAAAAAAAGTAAGCTATAATGCATGTTGCAAGGCTTGGTTTAGTTGTTTATTTTCATATCGTGTATTTAGAATCAATCTGCCATTACACTATGGAGGAAAATAAAACGTGTGCAATCAAATTGTCAAATCTATAATAAATGCTTAATTCATCCACAGCTTTAGCAAGTTAACAGTGCATGACTTTATATGGCCGACCTGCTGTCAGAGAGCATCTCCACAGTGATCTTCTTCCCAACAAACTTGTGTCGGTTGCCCATTTTGAAGCCAAGAGTCTTGCGAAGACGACGCAGCCTACGGGAGCAGTAGCCCCTGCAAATGGAAAGAAAAGGGATTAAATGTCAGTTGTCGTTTTTATCACATCACCCACACAACTAAAACAAAATTTAAAAAAAAGTTTTCATAAATATAAAATTGGTCAAACATGCTACAACAGGCAAATATTCAAACCATGCGGACCAATTCGGCTGTCTGAGAACTCAATTGTAGATTTACAATGGAGTTGGCAGTACATGATTATGTTGGACATGACGGAATTCTATATACAAGTCTGCATGTAAATGAGGTGGACAAAACTAGATAGGATAGCCTCTTTAAATTAGTCTATGTAGGTTTTGTGACTCAATTACAAACAAAAAGCTGTGGCTCATTTTAAATTATATTTGTAGGTTTGCTACCTGTTAACTTAACCCATATGGCAGCAAAAAGGTTTACCCCAACCGAAACCATATGCTGAAGTGTTTACTCTTGGATAAAAAAAACATTCATTCAGCATAGGCTGAAACTCAACCCACAGAAAAAGTTAACAGATTACACTTATATTTCAGTCAGGACTGAGAAATTATAACGAATGCTCCTTGAACAAGGCATTCAGGCTTTCCCCTACATGCAGTTGATCGAGATGCAACGCCATGGTAAGATAAAAGCCTACACACCTTCAGAATTAATTTGTTATTAATATATTTATATTAACTTATACTAACCATAATCAGAGTCCGAGTTTCAGATCCTACAGTAAAATGAGAGCTCACCTGTATCTCTGGTAGTCTCCGTGCCTGAGTCCATGCTGCTGCTGCGATTCCTTGATGATTTGCAAAACTATAACGTTAAGAAACAACCACATATGTCTACATCCACAGGTACACACACGAACGGGGATAGGGGTGGGTAAGGTGGGACATTGACGAATGAGACACGTCTGAATGAAAATTGCCAGTTAACGGCTAGTAACTTTATATAGCAAACAAAATAGCGTGAAAGTGAACGTCTGCCCCAAATACATATCTTATTTTCCTTTAGTATAAAGGGTAGAAAATTATATATTAATATCTTTTCGTGTCCAGCACTGTCAGCTTGCTTCAATATGACACGTAGCCTAATAAAGCTAACGTGACCCTTAACGGGAGCGAGCTTGAAAGCTATGTTAGCTTCTGAGACAGAAATTGGTTCGCCAACAGAAAAAAATAAATCCCGGGCTACAGGCTGTGTCCGGCGAAGGATACTCTCCAGGCCAAGTCCTCCTTCTGGAACATTTTCCTTGTTTTCTTCCGTCGGAGAAACTTTAGCTTCGCTTTGCTTGTCTGCGGCCATCTCTGCAGGCTAAGAGCTCAGTAGCACACATGCCCAGTAGAATGTATGGTGGGACTAATGGCAGCACAGGAAAGGGTAAACATCGCGAGATTTGTTTAACAAGTCACGCCCACCTGATGTACTCATAGCAGCAGGATTGTTAGCAGTAGTCATTGCACTAGGCACCATCTGAAGATAACATTTCTGATTGTGACACTTATTCATTGTGGCTTTTTTTTTAAATGCAAATGTAATAAAATAGCCATCCCTAACAAAAAGCTGCAAGCACACACAACAATAAAGATATAATAGCCATCCAAAATATTTTTATAGAATAAAAAAAAACAAAAAACAAAAATAACATTTACATATTGATCCACTGATCATATGCAAAATGAAAGATATTTAGTCATGACTGTATTGCCAGCTTGTTTAGTGAGATTTACTAAAATATGCCTTAAGGAACTTGGGCAGTACACACATTACACAGTACGTATAGCCAACACATGGAGGATTTATTTGTGTAACTGAATGTCCTACACAGTTACATAGGATTTGAATTCCATTCAAATGTCAGCTGCAGAAATATATGTGGTTAAAAAGCTTCTAATTTCTGAGATGTGCATGGTCTCCTTGATGGTCGTGTCCCTGCTGCGAACTTGAAGGAGGCCACTCTCCAATGTATTTTCACTGATCACCACAGTGAAAAGAACTCCCATCTCATCATATCTGAAATGCATCAAGACAAAAATATGGAGAAATAAATTAATCCTACTGAGCAATCGAGCCTCCATTACACAACTTTTCTAGAAAAATGTCAAATAATGGCCTTAAAACAATGAGAAGTATTTACCTGGTATTCAATAGTTCAACTGATGTTGGAAGAGTTCCAAGATATCCAGGCCACACAAAGATCTTCGCCTCCCGGAATTCTTGCAGAAGACCTTCACAAAGCTCCAGAAAGATAATGAAATAATTAATCTCTTGTATTTTCTGACTAAAATCCATATCTAAATACAAGTATATATACCATGATAAACTGCACTGCTCAAATAAAAGTTATACAAAATAACAATTTTACCCTGCATTTGACTTTCTTTCAAAATACTTCTTTACAGACATAATAAGGGGGGGTATTGTTAGTAATATCTATTGTTTATGCATGTATTTCTTACCTGTCGAAGCTCCACTGTCGGTCCTCTACCAATATCTAAAGCAACTTTGACTGGAGCCAAAACTGGATGCAGCTTGAGAACCTTAAAAAAAGACAGTGGATCAAAACCCAGATTTATCTTCATAAAAAACAAAATAATAAAGTTGAATGTGTCATTGGGCCAAGCACCTTTCTATGCTGCAGCTTCTGCTTGCTGCCGTCTTTCTTGAGCTGCTGGAGAGAGTTGAACAGAAATGCCATCATACCACGGTCCATGTTTCCGCTTATGGACACCACATGAGGAACGGATTTCTGTCCATCTCGACACTGAGGAGAAACAGTTATTTGTGGTTACACAAAGAAAATAAAATAAAATCTAAAAAGCTATACTTGTAAATCATTTCTAAAAGAAGTATTAGGGCCACATAAAAAAAAAAACATTTTGGGATTAATTATGAGATTAAAGTAGTTATCAAATATGATGAGAATTCATTCCGAGAACGAGATAAAAGTAGTTATTAAATATGGTGAAGAGTTCGCCTGGTTCTCTCTGCGGAAAATATGCATTTTCTTGCATAATCTTTTTGACGTCCTGATACTTATGACAATCTGATGCTGATGCCAAAAGATTAGGGTGTACACTGCCATTCACCCAATGTCAGCTAGGATAGGCTCCTACCGCACCCATGTGATCCTACTAGGTTTAAGCAGGTGTAGCAAATGGATTGATGGATATTTTAATCCGTTTGTCTTTCTATTTTTGAACCGTATTAGAGGCATTATATCATTATGAGAACTACAATACACTCAAAGGGGGTAATCTTGTATTGTATTTTGTAATAATGTGGGCACGTGTAAACTATTTGGGGAAGAAATCATAATTAAATCAGACCTATGTTGATCTATATGCAAAGCTAAAGAACTTGGTTAGTAAAATACTGCGAGGATTATGTCAGTTAAATGTAGCAGTGCCTGAGGAGGAAAAGAAGCGGACTGACTTGCAGTTTGGAGTGAGCGTTATTGTGCGTAAGCAGTAGTTCTTCATTTCCACGGCTCCACAGCGTCTCCAAACACTCCTGCCCCCACGGGAAACTGTACATGATCCTCACACCGCGCGATGCTACCCTTTCCAGGTCATCCTCTGGAACCTCAGAGCTGCTGAAGTCTGACGGAGATAGGGCAAACTAGACGGGGTGAACAGAAAAAAATCAAACCAGTTCACAATTATTTGAGCAGGCTGTGATCAATTTAGATTCATCAATAATTGCCAAGAACAGTTCCAAAAAGTTGCCATTAATCTTCCCAACTTGTCTTTTAATATTTGCACCCTTTCATCAACTTAATAACTCAAACCATTAATCTTTCTGCTATTTGCTAATATCCGAGCGAATGCGGGTTAATGACCAGCAAAACAAAATAATAGATGACAATTCACCATAAACTGAAATCTTATGATAAAGAGGAACAATTCAGGATATATATAGAACAGATAGACTTATCCAGTGATAATCCATATATATTCTAGGAGGCAGAATGTCAAAAACTCACTTTTCTCCACCATTTTAACCTTTGTCTCGTCCAGTGATCCAGCCACAGTGAAGACGTGCGAGGGGAGCAGAACCAAATCAGAGAAGTCTGCATAAACTCATCAGAGCTGTAAGAGAAAAAGACAACAAGGCGGTTTAGACAGTACTGGCAGCTTTTTCTTTGGTGCATTCTCTTCATTAATGTGTCGCTACGCAAAGAGATTTGACAAGGGTCGCAGACTTTGGGATGAAGCCTCACCAACCAGAATCACCTGAAGGCTGGAAACACAGGCCCATCTCTGCCAGGCCAAAGGGTAACCTTCTGTTCACCAGCTCCAATGACGGCACGTACAGCTCCAAAGCACCTAAAATAAACCACGGCTCATGTGGATATTCATGACAGAAAACTGTGTTGAATTTGACTAAAGTCAATTTATATTTCCTTAAAAAGAAGATATACATTCAGGAGGTCGAAACTAGACCATTTGGTTATTGTAGTGGTATCAATCTAGGAACCAATGTGTTAATATGTTCCCAGGGGGAAGAATAAAGATTGGTTCCGTCCCAGCTTGAACACAGCTATGCTCGTCTCTATAAGAACCCACAAAACATAACAGAACAGTTATGTCCAGGGCAATGTAGTGTTACACCTCTTTGGCAAAAGTTAGAATCTTGAGATTTACACATGTGCTTCTTCCGATATTTGATTGGATGAGTTTCTTAAGCAGAGCAAATCAGTCCAAAGTTACACTAGTTCGAATTATCCAGGAAAAGGAGGAAAATGGGACGTGTTAGGATGTAGTTTACCTTGAAGTAAACTTGTTCTCACAGAGGGGGAGCTCTGCAACAGACCGCTTGCCTCTTGGATGACCTGCTCTTTGCTCGGCCCGCGTTGTTCAAATATTTGTTGCAAAAGTCCGGATTCAACAATCCGACGTCCGTCGGCTTCTTGCTTCCGGCCGCTGCTCAGGGTGTCGATCCCAAACACCTGTTCGGTGGACCTGGTCACCGAGTGCCACCACTGATTCAGCAGGTTCAGCCGAAGCTCCGTGCCCAAAGGTCCGTAACTGCAACGCGACCCACTCCGAAACAGGTCCACGTTAACCTGACCGGGAGAGACGTAGTGTCTGTCCACGAAGACCTGCAGGACCGTCCGGACCCCATCCGGATCCGTTTGCGCTGTGCTGTAGCGTCCTCTGGGGCATTGCCTAGCTGTAAACACAGGCTTTGGCCAAAGTTGCCTGACACAATGACCCCACATGACAAAGGTATCGATGCAAACGTCACTGAGTCCGTTAATCATTCGTCAATACTGTCTGAAACTACTTGAACTCGGAGATAATCATAATTGCTGCACGCGACTCCGATATTTGCTAACGTCATGTCTGGCTTTGTTAAACTAACTTCCCATAAACATAATTAAATATGCGCCTAGCTAGTAGTGGAAGCTCCTACCACAATCCTAAAAAGCAGTTGTCACTTACAGTACATAAACAACGAACGTTTATAACGTAGAGGTTTAAAAGTTTAACTATTTTTTAGCTTAATTAGCATTCAACGTTAACTGCAAACACTCAAGTTTCTGAATTTAGAAAATGTAGCTTTTGTCCGTTGCAATAAAAATTGATATTCCAACAGTCTGAACAGAAATGTTGTGTTTCTCAAAGGTTAACTCATGAGCCGTATCGCATGTGGAGCTGAGTGCTCCGGAATTGAAACGGTCACGATTTGTTCTTCGTTTTGTTTTTTTGCGGCTGTTTGCATCCAGATAGTTGCACCACTGCCATCTTCTGGATTTACGTGGTAGGAGTCCACCAAAGCGCCTGGTTTCTGCTGTCAGTCGACTAAACATGTAATACCCGATTGTAATTCAGTGATCATTTTGTAAATAATGCCCATTTTACTTTTCAAGCCTCGTGCAAAAACAATTAACAAAAAATAAATAAATAGCATGCCCTCCAATTTTAGTTCAGGGCAATCCCAAAGAGAAAGGCAAACAAACAAAGAGGGGAAATACAATTTAAAGATACATCTCAATCCTGAAATGATGTTTATTTTGTTGAAATTATGTATTTTATGTATATTAAGTGCTGTGTAAATTGTGTGTGAAGGTCCAGAAGAATTCAGACGAGACAAATTCCATTTTCTTGTCTTTATTTAAAAAAGGGCCACAAGCACCCTTTTTATACAATCTTTAGAACGCCACTTTAAACATACCACAAACTGAAAACACTTAAATACCTAGTAAAATAAATTACTGAGGAATGTAGCAAAACAGTTAAGGAAAAGTGCAGAAATCATGGTTGCACAACAGGAGACATGTCTAGGACTCCATTTAATGCTTGGGGTTAGCTTAATTCCAACCCTGCTGCAAGCAAAATAAAGTTCAATAGTACAAAGGATAATAATCATACTGTAAATTTTCAACACTAAACAGAAGTCATGGTGGTTCCACATACTGAGCGTATGGCTCATTTACTATGGGAACGGTGGCGGCATGGGGTAGGGCACCATTGGTGGTGGGGGTGGTGGCTGTTGGCTTTGTGGGGGCGGCTGAGAGTTGAATGGGAACGGTGGGTGATTCATGCCGTTCTGCATGCTGTTGAACTGAGCCGGGCCTTGGAAGCTTTGGCTACCAAAGCCTCCCTGACTTAGGGGGCCACCAAAATTACCCTGTCCATTGCCGTTGTAATTGTTACTACTATAGCTGCCACCGGAGTTACCACAGTTGCCGCCATAATTGTTGCCGTTTTGGGCCTTATTGCCTCCAAAGGCAGTTTTGGGCCCGTTGCCAAACCCCCTATCGTTGTCCCTGTCCCTGTAGCCACTACCACCAAAGTTACTCCTCCCTCCCCCAGAATACCTATCGCGACGGTCATCCTTGTAGCCACCTCTTCCTCCTCGACCTCCACGACCTGTGTGAGACGAAGGCCAAACAGATACCGAGGGGTAAGTTCAAACTATTTTGACACCATGACTGTGGCATTAAATCATTTTACCATGACATATGAAATGGTCTACACATGAAAATAACTTTGAAGAAAAAGATTAATATCCAGCAACTCCACAAAAACACTCACTGTGGTAATAAGTTGGTTAATCTGTCCCTTTTACAGACTGTAGTTGAACAAACTAAATCACAGCATTTTTTTAGTACTGTACTTCTAAATCTTTACCTAAACAGGCACTGAACCTTACCTCCTCTGTCATCTGCCATCTGGATCAGCTTGGGGTTAATGGCCTGGTTGGCCTCACGGAGCACAGAGATCAGGTCACCGGCTTGTTTCATGTTGTTGGGGGTGAAGAATGTGTAAGCCGTGCCCGTTTTTTGACTCCGGGCTGTGCGCCCAATGCGGTGGATATAATCCTCAGAGGAGTTAGGGTAGTCATAATTGATGACAAATTTCACATCCTCCACATCTGTGAAAGTGTTGCAGTGTGGCAAAACAGTACATGGGGGCCACACAGGATTTTGCACACCACAACAGCCAGACCAAAGGGAAAGGTTAGCAACTGTGAGCGCTATGGGAAGAAGAGTGGTCATAGGCTGTGGAAGAAATCGAGTTAAAGACATCAAAACTGTGTAAATATCTACTCCATGGGAATACTACTGTGGGAAGAGAGAAACGATGCACACTCCAGTTGCTTACCAGAATTATAAAGATTCCAAAGACATCATTCTCCCTTTTATTACCAAGGGAGAAAAAGATGGATTCATGTCTTACCATAAAGGAGTATGCATTCACTAGTCCTTTCCCAATGCAGCGAAATCCCCCACAAATTGTCAAGTGACATCCAGGAGCTTCTATGCAGTTGGGCCACGGTATGCTTTGGGGCCTCCACATGTGCCAATATAGGACCACTGAGAAATACATTTTTTGCGGGTCCCAGGTTTTTCCCAGGACACTCATAAGAAGCTTGATATTTAAGGCCGCACTGCACATCTTGCCAAGACAAAATAGACCATATGCGAATTTGAACAGGGGACCCCTTTGAAAAACAATAAAAACAAAGGCCCAACCATTAAAACCGTTCAAGAGCCCCAAGCAAAAACAAAAACAATACCCACCCCCCAAAAAAACCCCCCGTTCATCAGTTTCATCAAGGCAAGATCTTCCAAGAAGCCAGTGTTCACTTGAGAAAATGTCTCTCGTTGGCAGGTCTCGACATGACTATAAGATGCAGGCAAGGGAGGAACTTTGGTTTGAGCTGTCTCATTTTCTGTCTCCTTTCACTAGATGTTTCCACTACCCCCTAAACACATGTGCCAGGTCTCAATTTTCATGGAGAAAATATTTGATACTGCTCTCTCCGTTTAGAGAAATCCAGCGCTTTTATGAGAAAGAACACAACCGCAAGCTTAGACGAGCTGACACCCATGCTAGAAGATAAAGCTCCGAATGATAACAATTGTTCCAAATCTCAAACAAGTGACTTGCGATCTGTCACTCTCTAACAAAACTGCATGCAAGGCCAAAGTCACATCAAGCAGATCTTTTTTTCCCCTTTTAAAGGTGTTTGAGTTGGAAACAGCTGGATGGCTTTTTTTTCCCGATGATATCCATGGTCAGAGAACAGATGTGTGTATGTTTCAACAACATATCAGGGACAAAGGCTTAGCCACTCAGCCTTTTGAAGATCACTGGCACACGAGAGCTTTCACCTCTCTATGCCCACTGGGTGGCAAGCCAGTTGAGCACTTCCAATATGTCATCCTTCTCCCTCACGACGCCTGGGACTGTCATGCCTAGCGCCTGCCACAAAGACTCCACCTTAAGGTGAGGGAAAACTCAGAAAATGCATAGAAAAAGTTAAAGAAAGCAAAGGACTTTCTTTAAAATAAGTGTAACACTGATATTAAAGAGGAGCTTCTCCATAGCATACTGACCTAATCCACGGGAGGCCACATCTGTAGCAATGAGAATCGGAGCTTTGCCATATCTAAACTCTGTAAACAAAGAAGGATTTTTACCCGACATGCAGAACTCCCCTCTCTAATTATTATAGCCATGTAATGAAAATAAATACATAAATAAAATTGTCTTACCATTAAGGACCCAGTCCCTCTCCTGCTGGCTCTTATCCCCATGGATACCCATTGCTGGCCACCTTGAACAAAATAACATAAAGCATTCAGAATTGTGCAGCATACATGTGGAATGGTCAATGAGTGGAGTTTTCATCAAGCCAACTCTATGTTTAGAGAAAAAAAAAAACTAACTAACAAACGTATGAAAAACAAACAAACAAAACTGTAAGGATCTTTACCCATCTCTTCTCATCCTTCGGGTTATCTCGTCACAACGTCTTTTGGTTTCCACAAAAATAATAGTTTTGTTCTCTTTTTCACTCATGATTTCCTCCAGCAAACGTAGCAGCCTGGGCACAGAAATGAGAGTAAAAGGGATGAAAATGTAATTGTAACAATTAAGTTTGTAGTGAAATTTATTGAGTCAGTCAGTTTTATTGAGTTTCTTGTGTTTGCTTTAAATTTCCATTTGGAAAATGTTATAGGGGGTACAAAGGCAGTGGCTAAGGCTAACTAGCAGGGATACAGGGAAAGAAAAAAAAAGTCCCAGCTAACTCTACAGAACCTAAAACTCTGGGTATATATTGACTCACTGGTCTATATAGCGGTCAGAGTATTAAAAGTTTAATTGTTGAATTTTGAGTCTGATCCATTTGTTTGCATCACAAGTTTCTTGGGTTTACTTTTATTTAAAATGGCAAATGTTATCTACTCACTTGTCCTCCTTCTCCATGTCATTGCAAACATCAACTATTTGCAAGATGTTGTGATTGGCACTGAGCTGCAGTGCTCCAATATTGATCTGGACGTACTCCTTCAGGAAGTCTTCAGCCAGCTGACGAACTTCCTTTGGCCAAGTGGCACTCCACATCAGAGTCTGACGGTCAGGCTGGCAAAAACAAACAATTGCGTACACTGATTTCACTAAACCCGATTGAATTAAAATCTTAGTTAGTTACTGCTTCTAAGCGTGTTAATTCAATTCCAGCTGAATTTTATGATCTTGTAAAGAGAAAAAAAAAAAAAAAATCCCCAAATAAGACCACTAAGCAGTCACAGGTGTGACAATTCATCCTCAGGGTGTTAATTGTTGTGCCACGGAAAAACCGACAGCATTACTTACCCGAATCTGGTCAACTATCTTGCGGATCTGAGGTTCAAAACCCATGTCCAGCATGCGGTCAGCTTCATCCAGGACCAGATATGTGCAGCGGCGCAAATTAGTTTTACCACACTCCAGGAAGTCAATAAGACGGCCAGGCGTAGCTATGCAAATCTCAACCCCTTATTGAACAAAAAAAACAAACAAACATGATTTTATATTAACAATTAATCCTCACTAAAAAACAAACAAACAATGAAAAGGAATACAACAGTAAGCATACCCCTCTCAAGGTCCCTGAGTTGCGGTCCTTTGGGGGCCCCGCCATAGATGCAGGTGCTTTTGAGGCGAGAGGCCCTGCCGTATTCCGCGGCTACTTGCTGCACCTGCTGAGCCAGCTCACGGGTTGGTGCCAGAACCAAGCACTTGAAAGAAAAATGTCAAAGAATTGGTGAATTTTTAAAATCAGTGCCGATCTGTACCTTGCTTTCCACCCAACAAATAAATCAAACGAGGATTCAGATTTTTTACCATAACATTTTACATTATAAAAGTTATTTTCTTCAACAGTTTATTTGTTGAGAAAAAAACAGATATACAGAAAATAATAAGTAGTAGTTTGACATTCTGATGAAGTTAATCACCCTCTATTAAACAGCAAAAATATCAGTGTTTTGATAGACTACAAATAAATGATCTATCTCACTAGCATCAAAAAGACTTTCAACTCGGTTCCTTTCCACAGGACCATATTCTCTATCTATATCATACTAGAGCATACTTACAATGGGTCCATCTCCGTGCTCCAGGAAAGGTTGATGCTGGATGTGTACAATTGCAGGCAGAAGGTACTAAAACAAGGGAAAGTGCAAATAATCGGCTGTATAACTCTGAAAGTAGAACAATACAGTGTGGTTTCCAATAAGACAGTTAGAATTGACCTTTTACATATTACATCATATAACATAGAATTAATATTTCTGGTCACAACTCTAGTCAAAACAGATTATCTTAAAAGCCAAGTTGGCATGTAGCAAGTACTTACTGCAAGAGTTTTCCCAGACCCAGTTTGAGCAATGCCAACTAAGTCTTTCCCACTCAGTGCAACAGGCCACCCCTGAGCTTGGATTGGAGTTGGATCAGTCCAGCTCTGTTTGATAATGACATCCATGACATAGCCTGAAGAAACAACGCATTCAAGTTTAATTGCCAAGAGACAGAAGTTCTAATACTATGCTAAACTGTGTAGCAAATGTTAAAGAATTTTGACTCACTTGGAAATGCGGCTTCAATGAATTTTATCATTGGTTTTGGGCAATCTCGGCCTTTAACTGTAACTTCTTTGCTTCTGCGGTACTGTTCAACTTCTTGCTGGAATTATGGAACGGAAAAGAAACAACCCTGACTCAAATTCTTAAAAAAAACTAAACATGATTTATAGTCTTAATTCAGCTTTGAATTATAAATGTATGCAATTAAAACAACAGTAAATTAGGACATAACTTGAAACATGTCTCACAATTGGTCTGTGTGTAACATCTGGGTGCTCCTGGTAGAAGTCCTTTTGAAATTTTGGAAGCTCATCAAGGTTCCAGTGCTTCTTTCTGAGCCTCTCACCAGGGTTTCCGAACTTTCCTGGAGGGGGTCCACCCCTGTTTACTCCTCCACCACCACCAAAACGAGGGGGCCCACCACCATACCTAATGTAAAAGAAAGTTCCATATAAGAACAATTCCACATATAAATATATAACCCGGAGCCTTTATATTACATTGTATGACATCAGTTTTAGGCACGTTACAGTTATTAACGGGAGATTGAGTTCCATATTTAGTATTTTCCAACAAGTCACCAGACAGTGTGGTAGAAGTCTTGACTCTATGCTAAGAAATCAATGTGTGCAAATGGGGCATCATAGTCCTCTAACTAATGTTTCACAGTTTGAGCCTATCAATAAGAAAAAGTTACAACTGTAGCAAAACTACACAACCATTGTAGTAAAAAACTAAAACAATAATAATATTTATGGGATATGGTCATTTTGTTGCTTCTAGAATATCAAATTAAAAAAAGATGCTAAATGCAGCATGACTAAGACAGTATGATGAAGGAGCCTATAATATTATATTAAAATCTATTCTGTTTTATGCCCATGCACAGGCAGATCTCGTGGTAAACACACATATGAACCAAAAATTAGTCAAACAAGTGTGTGCTCTGAGGACAAGATAAAAAAAACCCCCACTATTAATGCTTACTTATAAAGTCAATATATTTCCAGTTGTGTTGTAAATATAGAATATTGTGTAGTAATAAAAAAAAAAAACTAGGTCAGGTCAGTGATCCTGAGAGCAATCATCAAAACATTGTTGTGCAACCGTTTTAAAGTCTTTTCAATAACGCCTGTCCATAGTATATAAATTAAGTGAGATTTTTTTCGGGAGTGGATTTAACAAATATGTGTGTCACGGTGTCATGATATGTTTACAGCTAACAACGTCGCAAAAAACGTTATGACAGCATCTAAACTAAAGCGACAATAAACCCCCACATTGCATTTATCAATGTATGAAACCAAATCAGTTCTGATGTACAAACCAATTTCGACATAACGGTGGCAATAAGTGCCTCAAAGAAAAACGAAAAATAAGCAAACAACCCCGACGGTGCTCACAATCCCAGAATGTTGTGTTACGACGAACTGTGCAGCTCAACGGTAGCTGTCAGATAACCGAGTGTGTCTGTCAGAGATACAGGTGGGGGGGAAATGGAGCCGAATTCCCATGTCTTGGAAATGGAAAGCTCTTCGTGCTATCATATAAAGTCTTCGTGGATATGAATCCCTAAGGTGAGAAACAACTGCGTCACAGGAAGAGATACAAAAAAGTAGGCTGTCAACTGCTCACCCAGACTCAGGGCCGCCGTCTGCTGCCATTTTTATCCCCGAATAACACGCAAACGCAATGCAAAACAGACACACACAGGAGGGATAGCCGTGTAAAAATGTTTAAATTTTTAATACGTGCTTGTCAAAGGGGTTAAGAAGTTGGCATAACCGTTTAAATAGACTCGCAACGTCGGCCCTTATCAAACGGCACACCCGACCAAAAAACAAACAAACAAATAAACAAATCCGACACTTGACTTACCCTCTATCTCTGCCACGATCCCTGTCCGAAAATCCAGGCATTGCGTAGAGGACTTGGTGAAAAAATAAAATTAGTTAAAACACCTCAAGTTGGCCAACCAATAGGATCTTTGTCGCAGGTCACACACGGGCAAGGAATTTCTGAAAATAAAATGCCGGCTGACTAAAGTCTGTCCGTAGAGGCGGAAATGAAGTCAGACAAGGCGGATAACATTCATATGAATACGCGTCCCGCGAAGCGCCGGTTGTGGTACTACTTTATGTATGCAGCGTTGTTGATATCTCTGGAATTTTGGTGCGAAGCAATTTCTTACGCTTATGTAATATACACTTACTAGGGCGGTTAATCAGCCAAAGGAATTCTTTGTCGACGGGACGGCAGGACGACAATTTATACAGAAAATATATCAATAAAATATCATTAAACACAATATTTATTAAACGAGTGAAAACTAAATAAAACTGTGCATTCCTAAAAAATAAAAGCCTCATAACAGCCATGAATAAGGTGAACACGCTACCATCCACCTGTCTGTTGCGTGGTGGACGGATCCAAAAAAGTGAAAACAAGGTGTTCATCGAAGGCAGGCTTTTACCTGTGAAACAGGGCTGCTTTGAACACCCCCGTTAGCACTTGGTACATTCCTTCTGATTAAATGAACCACCGACTGGATCTAATTCACAGGCTAATTGGTTGACCAGTCAAGATTTTGGTCGACCCCGATGGTATCGAACAGTCAGCTACGAATTTAGAGCCCAAATTTATTGATCCAATAATTTACTTGTGTAAATCCCTTACTCTTACTCAGTTTTGTACCCTTGCTCAGGGTACAAAACTGGATTTTACTCTCAGTAGATATTCTACCATTTATTTCCCTCCCCATCTCCCACGTGATCTCCTAAGAAATGGCTTACTGAATGGCTGTCTATTTATTTTTATTTTTTTTTCCGAATGAGATGAGTGCACTACTTCATCACACATTTTAACTTAATTTGGAGTCTTTAGCTGATTACAGGTAAGAAAAATCAGACTTAAATCATTTAGTTTAAATGTGTCTGCTGAATCTTTCTATATGTATTAATAATGTCAGAGATCCTCTATAGGTGGTGGCACCGGTGTCAATAAATTAGTTTGAAATAAACATGCAGTGTTTAACACTTCATGAAAGTTTTATTAGTAACAGTAATTTATTTTTAAAAAAAGAGTGCAATGTACTAAATTTCAAACTGTGACCACTGACTGTTGATTAGAGCGTTGTCTTTAATGTTATTACTTCCCATTAGGGCTCCCCCTTAGCAACAACCTGAATATTCAGCTACCTGCTCCTTAAAATTTTTATTTTAATCTAAATAAGGTAAATAAACATCTGGAGAGCAATGCATGCTTTAATTCAGTCCCCTTCTTTCAGTTACACAGAACAATTAATGTTGTTTGACACCAACAATGCACATTTTGTATGGAATGACATTTTGAATGGGGAGAATATTAGTGGGCTGGCAGCAGTTCAATTTTTGTCTGCCTTTTTAGGTTCTTAACTTTTTAATCCTGTAATTTACTTCCCGTGCAAAAAAGTCCCTTTCTGTAATCTTTTCTCTGCTTCATACACAGAAAGGGGAACCTACTGGAAGCCTGAAATTAATTATGATCATCATCATCAGGGGCATGTAAGACGACAGTATGACATTTAACCTTTTGTTTGATTTGATTTGATTTTTTTTTAAAGTTACACATTTCTTTTTTTGAAAAAAAAAAAAGGTTTGTATACAGATGTAGACAACACTAAATGCCTAAAAGTGGCTTGATCTAGTTGGTAAGAGTGTAACCTAACAAGCAAGACTATGTATTAGTCAAATGTCTGTGCTGTTCACTGCCTAACAATAGTAGATATAACTATTTAGAAGTGAAAAATAAAAATGGGTTAATGGATATATTTATTTAGGCAGCAATATAAGTAATCAAAAATCAATGTATCCATTGTCCATCCCAAAAAGCACATGTGTGGCACAAATGAAAAGAAATCAAACAGAATTTATATATGAAAAAAAAAATCAAAAGGCTCGGACAAGCCTTTGGTCAAACAACCAACTGTAAAAAGAAAAAAAAAGAACTAACAAAGGAACTGGAACTAAGATAATAAAAACAATTAACTTACTCGATAACCACAGTCAGAATACAAGTGGCTGGCTAAGTATAACACAAATAGATAAGCAGATGTCCTGAACGGCAATACTGAGGAAACAAAGATAGAAAATAAAGGAAAGAAGGATGGAACCTACTAAGAATAGGAATCAAGTAATAACTAAAAAACAAAAATCCTAATAAAACCATCAATGAAACTAAAAAGTAAATATACAATGAAATAGAATAGAAAACTACAAAAACCAAACCAGCAAAATCCACAAAATTTAAAACCATTACATTTTAGTTTAAATGAATTCACTATACAATTACAAAGAAAATGCTTTCATTGCTCTCACTCTTTGACTTTTTTTTCTTTTACAAAATGTCTTCCTTAGAAATGTTCATGTATGAAATAACATATCTAGGTAATAAAAGTAAAAGCATCATTATAATTAATAAAAACAAAAGAAGAGGCAACTTTGGTCACATATATTTTAAAAGTCTGCTTTTGGTTAAAATAAAACAATGTTCTGTTTCTCATTTTTGCCAATGTTGACATTGAAATTTAAGCTACTGACATGCCACAGCGGAATAAGTATTGAGTTTTCCAAGGACAGGTTCCTTAAGGTTGTTGTTACAAACAATATAGAGTATACGTTCAATGCTATTAATATTCTGTTAGACAACCTACTCATCAAAGTTTTTGTTTGGATGATAAAAATGTGCCGTCACCTGAGAAAGAGACACACATAAATTGAAAAATATAAATGGATCATCTAAAACATCCATCACTATGATCAATAAATCAACTTTAATTTAATCTAGAAAAATGTTACCCTTTCAATTAAAAATGTCGTCACTAAAATGAAGATACAGCTTTAGAGAATAACGTCCAAAAGGTAAATAATACACATGCAACAGCATGTAATCAATGACTTTTGGTGCTCCTAATAATGCAACAAACTGTATTGCACAAAAATTGATGACACAAAAGGATAAAAAAACAGCTGATCTTTCTGATCTTATTGATGACATGAATAACATAGGGATTTAAAAAATACAAATTAAATACATACTGTTCAGATGTGAGTCTCCAGCATCCATATTCTGACATTCTTAGTCGTTTTTACATGCTGGACGTCTGCATTTCTTGCATGTTTCCTCTGTGTTTCAGAGAGAGAAATAGCTGATTAAAGCTCTTAAAAGAGGCACATTTTGGTGATTTGTGCCCTGAAAATGATCTGGATTGTGCATTATTTTACTGATTTATTTAGATGAAAAACTATTAAAGGGGCTGGTCGATAATTATAGTCCAAATAAAAAGATCTAAAGGAAATCTATATAACAAGGTGAGCCATTAGTCGCACAGGTACAACAAAAACTAACCATAATGTAAATATTAGATACATGAGTTTGTGTCATAATCATGGTTGGTTTTTGTTTTGGTTTGTTTTTTTAAGTTATGGGGGGGGCTTATATTTCAAGTCCAGGTGCACCAATATACACCAGATTATCCCAATACCCACTGTAGCCGTTAAGACAAACTGGAGTTGAGTCTCTTTGGGGGGGCTTTAGGACCTACTCAGCCCCACTTGGCTCTATGTGCCATGTCACAGCTCTGTTTAGGCGGCTTTTTGTTACATTTGAGGTCCAAACAGAAACACGGGCTCCTGACCTCATTTGTATGTAACGAAAGAACAAGACAGCAACGAAGGATCAATATGACGGCTGAAGCTTGTTGTTGGACCGGATTGTTGGTTAATATATTAGGAATGTATGACAACGATGATCACAAACATAACGAAATTGGATGAGTTTTGTTGCTGCAATTTGAGAATAGGTGAGTTTCTCATAAAGGGGTTGCTTTCAGGACCCGTACAGTCATCTGACTTGCTGGCAAATCAGCGGCTTACAGTCAGAAATGGTGCAGAAATTGTAAACATTTGGACGCACCTGCCCCTAATGGAAATGCAAAAACCCCCAAAAAATTAATAGAGCTGAGCTGAGTCACATTAAGTAGTTACTAATGGAAAAGTCACATTTGTGAGTTGTCTATCCCATAGCCATGACGGTTTGTTTTTCCAGGTTAGAACAACACACAATGAACCATTGTCTCATTCTTGCTTGTCTATTTTAAGATAAAAAGGGAAAAAAACAAACTTCCCTATGCTGCACAGGTGGAAGTATATCTGACATTTGACCTTTGTAAAGACACACACCTGTCAAATCTTTAGACAACAAAACAAACTTTTTTTAAAGTAATAAAAAAAACATGTTTAAAACTTAAACGTTAGTGATTTATTTGGTAAATGATCAACAAAAATAACCAGACTGACTTATTTGTAATAACCTGAAAACTTCATATTTTGTATGACCTCCTTTGGTCTCAACAGCAGCTCCCCTTACTATTTAAGATCCAAAAAGTTTCTAACTCTCCCCACAGACTCTTTTGATTAGAACAGTTTGTAGCCTTTCATTTGCAGTGAGCTTTTTCACCATTTTGAACTAATTAGGATTTTAAAATGAATTCTCCCTTTTATACCCAAATTTACTGAAATGGCAGAAACCCATCAAGCGTAAGATTCAACCAACAAAGCTGTTTTTTTCTTTTCGGGCGTGCAAGTTAATGCATACAACTTGACATTGTAATCAAGAAGCACTAATGATCTTTACTCAGAAGCCAAAGGTGATGAAGTACTTAAGCTGTTGCGGCCTACCTCCAAATTGACTCTCCAAATCTCTCTCTTTCATAAGTTCGGTGTAATTGGTTGTTAACTCAGCAGTCACTTTCATGAGTTCCGTGTTATTTGACAATAAGTCTTTTTTCTCTTGTCCCCAGGTGGTTTTGTCTTTATCCACTGTCGCAAAAGGAGAGACAACAGAACAGTAACGCAATAGAGGCTATCTCAGTATGTCAGGTACTCAGAAATTGATGTTTAATGATATTTTGTGGCATACTTTGGGAACTTAAAAACATACTTACTTTTGACTACAAGGTAGACAATCACAATCAGCAGGACTGGACACAGCACTCGCAGAGACGGTGCATCACTTCGGACATAACTCCTCTTTACAGACATCTTTTGGACACAAGATACTTGAGAAAGAAGGAAAGAAACGGTAAATAGACCAAAAGATAAATATCATAAATCGCTATTTTGTTTCCATACCTGCAGGTTTAGGTGAGGCAAGCTCTTGCGATTTTTGTGATGCGTCATCGACCCAGGGAGTATCATACACTCTTAGGCTCTCTACACTGACGTAGATGTCTACTATGCTTTCCTTGTGGTCATTCTCGATAAAGCTGGACTCAGTGCGAAGTCCCTCTGACATGATTACTGTCCGTTACAGCCGTTATCGAACCTTCAGCAGCCTTGACGGTCAACGTAATGACACAGGCTGTAGTTTTCTTTATGTGTGTTTCAGAGAGAGGCACGTCAAACAGCATAAAAAGAGGAAGGGTATACAAATAGGAAATGATTAGAATATGTTTGTTCAGTAAATAGAGGTCATAGTTAAGTTATCAGTTATTGCATATGAGAAAAACAGAATGGCTTTACAAAATAATTTTTTCATGTTTGATGGAAATAAAGGGAAAAAGAGCAGAATAAATATGGTTTGAAAAACAAAAAATATGCTTTAACAAAAGGGAAAAATTGTCTGTTTAAACCATTGATTTAAGACAGTAATATATATATGATAGTCTATACAAATAGGCCAATTTGTGCAATTGTAATTGACTACTTCACAGGGAACTGGTTATCTGTTCTTATGTGATACATAAAAGAAACTTCTTGGTTCCAAAGCAACCTTACTAAAAGTGAAATTCATCTGTGAAAAAAGAAAATACAGCCTTTGTGAGATTAGACTAATTTATGGTCTGCATTAGGGAAAAAAAGGAGATTGATTAAAAAAAACGTTAACATTTTTTAAACTAACAAGCAATTTATTTGCCTTAATCAACAGCATTTGCAGTGTTAAAGGTATTCCTTTAAATTTGTAGTACCGGTTTGAAATGTGATTACCTTTTTACCTTCATTCTGAACACGTTTCCATTGTGTCTGAACAAGCTACCGGACACATACGTGAATGAAGCCGTGGCTCATGGAGCTGTCAGTTCCAGCTGGTGTGATTTTACCAAATGTGAACACACTTTTGGAAATTAAGCTATTCAGTTGGTTGGATATCAGCTCGACAGATGCATCAACTTTCCTTTTCCTGATGGAAAGAATGTTAAATATTACTGGAAGCACAGTTTAACTTTCTAATTCTCAGTAATAGATCTAAGAATCAATGTTTCAGAGTTCACTGGCTGGTTAGTTATAGCAGTAGGGGGATATTTTATTTATCTATTTTACATTTAAAAGGTTTTATTCAGATGTTTTAGTGCTTTTACACCTGTCTGGATGTTTGATTACATCCTGATGTCAAAACCTGAACAATGTCTTGGCGCCAAAGGCTTGACATTGACTGTGAATGAGACCTTCATCCTCTATTTTTTTTTTCCATCTGGAGTTTGCATGTTCCTCCTGTGTACATGTGTGCTTTCTTCAGATACTCCCACTGTCCACACTGACCATTTCAGTGAGTGTGCAAGTGTATGATTCTCTGTCTCTGTGTGGACTTATGATGGACTGGTAATCACAGACTCCAGTCAGATGTGTCTGATTTGAAATGTGCAACGATTTAAAAAAAGGCAGATACCTGGATGGCATTCAGCTCCCTTTCAAGCGCCTGCTCATTGAATTAAACAGTAAATATCCGCTACTTAAGATGATGAACGTCATTTGCTTTAGAAGATCAAACCGGCTTCACGATGGTGATCTTGGTTCACTGGCTCCATGTAATCGCTCAGCTGTCAGAAAACCTCATGGGAAGATGGATAATAAGATCAGTGCAGTTGTATAGGACAGCTTTTGCCCCCTTAGAGTGATAATAAGGTGGGGCCTGACATCCCTTTTCCAAGACTTGACATGGCTCAGAATGCAGGGAGCCTCCTTTCCAAGTTAAATCTTGGGAGATCTTGGGACATCCAATATTTGTAACACTCTCCATTCCTCCATGTAAAATGGAGCATTTCTCAGATCTGAAATGCAACAGGCACTTAAAAGTTTTGCCAGACCCGTTTGATGGCCTACTGAAAATCTTTCTCTATGACCTTTTCAAATTAATTCCACGATTGAGTTTCAACTTCTACATTACTGTCCTCTTGGCAGGTGTCTTCTGCTTTGACAACCTACCCCTCACTGCCTAAATAGTCAGAGGCATAACCCTGGACAGACTCACACAAGTCACACCACACACTCACTTCAAGGCAATACTTAATACAAATTTCAGATTAAATTCCATCAAAGGAAACTGTTTTGAATAATTTTTCAGATGAGTCCCCCAGATGATATTTTAGTTATCCCTCAAGAAAAAATGCTTTCCCAAAGCCAACGTTTTTGGTCTATGAAATCTTTGATTTATTAGTTGAATAATTTAGGAAATTAATTTATATACATGTTATTTACATTTCATTGCAATAATTTAATACTTTTTCATATGTAGTTGGCATTTTAAGCCATCTATAAACTAACATTTTTTAGTCTTTTTACAACATTCGTGTAAATCCTCAGCCTCTTCAAACATCCCGGCTGATGGAAGATGACCATCTATTTGCCTCTTTTGAAGAACTGCTCGATCTACTTTGCAGTGAGTTTCTGCTGAATGTTTTCGTATCGAAGCAGCTCCTGGTTGGAGAGTGAGGGCTTAAAGTTTTCCAGTGCTGTAGAAAAATCGTCCATGGAGAGAAGGACAGGAGACTCCTCTGAATCCAGACCTGAGGAGAACTTGTGTTAGAAATCAAACTAATCGGAAACATAAATGGGAAGCTTCAAGTGTTTGTTTGAGGTAATTCAGATTTGATCTTAAATAAAGAATGTTGTTGGTATAGTAAAACTAAATTTGCTTTACAATAATCTTCTCAATCTTTGGAATAATCTTAAGAAAAATAATAACTAGAATATAAATAATTATTAATGATAATATTACAAATTAAAGGAAAAAGAAATCCCCCAAAATAACCATGTTCATAAACATCTGATTTTGAGGCCGGAACTTCCCTTTGGATGAAGCTCACATGCAAAAATTATTCCAACGGGCTACACTGCATAATATTTAATTTACTGTTTGAGAAAATACTATTTAAAAAAATTGGTTTTGGTACATGTTATATAAATTTGTTCCTCAAATCTTCCCACTTAATTAAGGTCATGTCTAAGTAATGGTGCTTATTTCTAACTGTTCAAGCATACTTGATGAGGAATAAAATCACAAATAGGTTTGTTTTGGCTGCACTTGGTGATTTTCAGCTAATGTGCTGTACGACTTGTTAAAACTACTTTTTTGGTAAACAGCAAGACAAGGCCACTGTATTGTGAAACTGAATTTTTGGTTGAAAATTTCCACAACATTCAACAATTATTACTATCGCTGATGAGGGAGATTTTCCTCTTGATGGCAGTCGTCATAGCGTCCGAACAAAGAGCATAAAGATCCGCGCCGGTCATCTGCGTTGGGCAGCGATGCACCACCTCCTGCAGATTTATGGACGGCTCCAAGTGGAACCTGTGGTCAAGATCAAACATGGGGATAACTACTTTTTTTCTGTTTGCATCAATCCAAATCAAGGGGCAATAAGAAAACAAATGTATTTTAGGGATCCTCGTCATTTTGGTACCGTTAAAGTTTTTGCCCGTTTATTTCACACTAATATTCATGAAGCATTGACAAGGCAGCTCTTACTTTCTGAGGATGGCCTGGAGAACCTGCAACTGTGTGAGTCGATCCTCATTGATTCCAACGTAGACCAGCTTATCAAACCTGCCATGACACACAAATCCATGAGAGATTAAGACAAATGTAACATTTGAAGACAATTCTTTAATGCAACACATTTGAACTTTCAGTATATTTTCATGCGTTCAGTATAAACAGCATAGTAGTAGAACTAGAAGGCAATATATGAGAGATAATAAAGTACACTAAGCTTTAATTTGAACATGAGCTCGTCTTAGCACAAACAGGTCCCACATTTTTTGTATATTTATAAAAAAATGCGACTTCAACAACAGGAAATACAATCATGTTTTTGATTGATCCATATGTCTCTAACATGAGTCGAAGCATGAAGCGATACTGTGCGTCTGTGCTATTAAGCGACCTCATACCTGCCGGGCCTGAGCAGTGACTGGTCTAGAAGGTCCGGCCGATTTGTGGCTCCAATCACGAAAACACCGGCAGAGGAATGCAGCGTGTCAAGTTCCGCCAGCAGCTGAGACACGACTCTGATCAGAGAAAGTTCAACTTAACTAAAGCAGTGAAAAATACCAGATAATGTATGCACTCATAAATAAATATATATATGTGTGCATACACACTCTCACCTGTCCATCACTCCTCCAGAGTCTCCACTGCGCCCCCTGTTCGGAGCCAAAGAGTCCAGCTCGTCAAAGAACACGACACAGGGAGCAGCCGAACGTGCTCTATGGAACACTGAGGACAACATATGTATCAGTCTAAAGCTACAGAAATACGATCCACTATAATAACTATTTTATAACAAATTACTGGAGGTAAGGCATGACTTCATTTAGATTATGCAAAGGAGTGGCTGCCAGAGATCATGGGGCGGGTGAGAAAAGTTTTCACTACACCATTTTTTATTAATCTTTAAGTGTACAGAGTGTGTAAATCAATGCTGCTGAAATGATGTTGGTTGTTGAGTTTATCTTATGAAACTGTAAAGTAAGTAAAACTCTACTACCCTTTCCTTATGTTTTTATTTAAAAAAAGATGCTCTAGAAGACAATTTACTCTTTACAATATCATCAATCAAAAATCATCTTCATAATAAAAAAAGTGGATTCCAGGTCCTGAATAAAACATAACTATGTGCATAATGCCGTTAATGTGGAAATCTTAGAGCAGAGCAGGAAAAATTGCACAAATTGGAACAACAACAGTTTTTAAGATACAAGTTGGTCAGAAAATGCTTTGGAGGAAATATCTTTCCTTATGACATGTTTGATTTCTTTGTGGTCTACATTTCTTGCTTCCAGGATGTGGTATACCTTAAGATTAAAAAGTAGCCATAGAAGTGGCTAAACACGAGCAAACACGAGGTGTGTATTTTCTAAAAAGTTTATTTGTAAAATCTGTAAAATCTTGTTTAATAAAAAAATAAAGTGGGAAGAGGACTACCATCAAAGGAATGAAGCTAGAAAATAAAATAGACTCATCTAAAATGCAGCTAAACTGTTACCTTCTCTGATGTTTTCTTCACTTTGACCCACGTACATGTTGATGAGCTCTGGACCTTTAATGCTATGATGGAAAAATGAATGAGTGTGGGAAAAGTTCTGATAACACAACTTTACTTATTTGGAATCCCTAGAATGATGCTAATATTGGGTAAATGTACACTGTAGAGAAATAAAGACACTCAGATATAGGGGAAGTGGTTAGCTCTTAAGCTACGGGAGTATTGAAAATGAACCTGAAGCATTCACAATAAAGCGGCAATCTATAAAGAAATGGTGTTAAAGTCTTATGTAACAAGTTTTATTTGATCTCCACTCTTCTTTCATTCTACCTCTTGTCTGTGCACATAGTTATTGTAGAATGAAGATGAACTAAACCCACCTCAGAAAGGTCATGGAGCACTCAGTGGCCACAGCTTTTGCTAGCAGAGTCTTTCCTGTCCCGGGTGGCCCATAGAGTAGCACTCCGGTCCGGTTTACACCCAGAGTAAAGAGCTCGGGATGCTGCAGAGGAAGCTGAATCGTGTCCAGGATCTCTTTCTTCACATGCTGAAGACCTCCAACGTCCTCCCAATGCACATTAGGGATCTGCTCATCCAGGGTATTAGCATGGGAGAGGGTAAAATTATAAAATAAAAATATAAGAAATACATTATTTATCTGGCATTGGGGAAATGAAATATTTTCTATAATATAATTATATGTCTTGATGTTTTTTGGGGGGTTTTCAAATCGCAGGTCAGCTTGACAATATCCATACAGCCAGGAAGATATGTATTTTGTTTCCTCATTCAGAAGACAAACAGAATTTATGTAAACAATCTTGGAAATGAGGGCCCTTCATGTGCAACAGAACTTAAAATTACCACAGCCTCATAAAAACTGACCTAATACAAACCGTCTAAAAACAGATAGCTCATATTATTATGAGTATGAATTGTGTTCATGTTTCTATCCAGGTTAAGACATTGTTCATATCAAAGCATGCTATGCCATCCCAAAACATGTCACACGTCTTTCAAAGCAAAACGTTTGTTATTTCCCCAATAATATACTTTCACAGCACAATGGACAGCAGCCAGATCACTGTTGTTTTGGCTGTAAACAGAATGAAGACACCACGGTGGTACGGCATGATTTGACTTGGATCGTCTCTTTTATGCTTTGTTATCCAGTGCTGAAAGCATCCTTTCAGTGAGAGTACGATCAGCTGTTTATATCTCTGTCTGCTCCTGGACCAACAAGAGGATGCTTTCCACTCTTCTTTTGTCATCCATGTTTAACTGTGCATATGGAAACTTGTCGGCACCCTTCACTTTTAATCTTTTTAATTTATTTTCTTTGACTTCTGCTTTTAATTTATTTTTAAAGCACCTTGAATTGTTTTGTACATGAAATGTGCTATACAAATAAAGTTGCCTTGCCTTATTGCAGGTTTTGCCTTATTACAGTCATGAGTCAATTCAGTTATTTTTGTTTGATTGCCGGATTAAGAGTTGGAAGCTTTGATAGTGATGGCTAGATTGAACTAATATTCAAAATCTTTTTAGCTCAAATAGACTAGCCATTTTTTAGGGAGTAAATATTATAATTAGATGTTTTGCTTTTTAACCAACTAAACATTTGCCTGATATGTGTTCCATGTTCTCCTTTAATCAAACTGTTTATTTCAAAATTTTTAAAGGTGCGTCATGAATTTTGCAGCGTGTCACCTTTGGTGCTCCAATAGCTTTGGCCTGCGCTTTCTGTAGGTTCTCCAGTGCGGAGCTGAAGTCTTGGTTTAAGATGGTCACACCGCTGGAACACAGATCTTCCTGGCTCCGTCCATCACTGCAGAAACGATATGACTGTGTGTTTAAAATATAGGCATATCTAACTGTATTATGGATTTTCTTATTTCAAAGGCATGTGCTAATACAATATAACATTATAAACGTAATAATCACAGTATTATTATACAATACATTAGATGAATTTGTCAAAACTGGAATACAAATATTTTAAGAACTTCAGACAATCTTGTTCTCGCAATAAATAATAAACAATGTATACAATTGTGATGATTTCAATCATATATATTCCCCATGTCAAGAAGCTGGCATTTAAAGCCATTCAGAATAAATTACAGTTCTAAAATAAATATGATAAATAACTATAGATTTATAAAACAGTAGTAAATGCATTTAATTATTTAGTATCTCACCAGGTGTGGATCAATCTCCTGCAAGCAGCTCTTCCAGTTTCTACTACCAGTGCACTAAGATCACCCAACACAGAACCCTGAGACAGACCGGACAGAAAAGAGGTGAAACAATAACACATTCAGGACAGAACTAAATCAAATTTAATTCAGTCAAACCTTTAGCGCAGAAAGTTGTGATTTTAAGAAAAAACTGCGGTATGCAGTTCATAATTTGCACCAGTATATGTCACTATGTCTAGCACATTTTAACCAGCAAATTATTCATTCAACTACTTTTGGGCTATAACTTTACAAGTTCAAGAGGAACAAAACTTTCATAGAAAATGCTGTGCATAGTGTGATTATCAAAGAATTAGCTGTAAAACGTGTCAGTTCTTGTTATGATGCCGCTTTAAATAATCCTATTTGCAATACAATAAATTTATTGTTAATCGTATTTGTTAATTGACAACCAAGAACATTTAAATAATGTTAAATAATAAAAATTATACACTCAGCAATGTCTCATTTGATAACTTTCAATGTTTCATGGGATATAAAAGTAGATTAATTGGCAATGATAAATATTTTCTTTAAATCTCTGGATCTTTATAGCATTCTGGTATTAAGCTCACAAATTAATCCTATTTCAAATCCAAAGGATTTTGCATAACTGGGAAAGAATTGTGTTTGAATAATGCCAATGCGATGGTTGCAAGTCTGAGCAAAATCATTACGTACTGAACTGAGTTTGGAGATTCTCTCCAGGTTAACGTCTCTCCCGAGGGGAAGTTCTCGGCTCAGGCTGACCAACATGGAATGTCGCTGCTCCTCTGTCGGGTTCTCTAACTCCACTTGGTGGACAAAGACCCCCGTGACACCAGCAGATAACTCCTGTGGTCTGCAGACTGTTGCTATCACCAACACACTGTGAAACACACACACAGGAAAGCAACATATGATTTAAAATGACATTTGACATTTAGCACACACAAATAAACATCTGCTTATTTTTTATATATATACACACATTTTTTTAAGGTTAGGTCAGTAGTTAATAAATGTCTTAATGGTCTTGGGCCATCTTATTGATCTGACCTGCTTTTAAATTTTGAGCCTTCGTGTGTATCTGTGCGGCTATGATTGGGCAAGTATTTAAACTTTTCTTAGGTTGGTTAGTCAACTATGTGAAGACCTGTTTTTTTTAATGTGCTTTTACTTTGTAAAGCACTTAATGCTATTTTCTGTATGAAAAGTGCTTGATAAATAACACATTTAATTGAATATAAGCAATTCTTTAAATAAAGATTTCAGCTTTATACTTTGATTTGACTGATGATTTTGTGTAAACTTACTAAATGTCTTGTATATGATGAGGTGTTTTCAATTGTGTAGGCAATTCCTACTGGGGGGTGGGAGGCAGCCGCTAACCTATGTGGGATGCTCCTGAGCTGCTGGCACATAACTGCCTGGACTCTGCCGTCGTCCTCGGCAGCTGCTCGAGCTCTGAGCAGTAGCTGCAGGTTCCTGAGCAGCAGGATGCAGGGTTTGAAGGTTTCAGCTCGTTGAAACACTGACATTAACTTCACCTCACAGGCTGCAGGCGTGTCAGCGCACAAAGTCACACAGTCCACCTAAAACACAAGAGAACAGGGAAATATGACTGTGACAAGCTCAAACACAAACACAGGTTATAATGTTAATTATATCCATTAACTAATATCATATTTACAGTCGCACCTTCAGCAGGTGGAGATTCAGTCGGTGACTTGCTGCTCTGGCCACAGTTCTCTTTCCACTGCCTGCAGGACCGTAGAGGAGGATGGTGCAACCAGACAGAGAGCTGCTGAATCCAGATAACACTTCAATTAGTCTCCATGATAAATAATAGCTAGATACATTCTTACTCGGTGTGTAAAAACAAAAAAAGAATAACTTATTTAAGTGAACCCATGATTTTTAGAGCATTTTGTGGCTAACTGGTATGTAGATTTAGCTTCTTGTTGTTGTAGATCTCATCAGACTGGTGAGTTACCTGTGCTGTATGTGAGGCAGTAGGATGCTGGTGATGCGGTCCACGGTTTTGTGGAGGCCTGGAGGAGACAGGCTGCTCCACAGAGACACTCCCTCTGAAGAGTGGCAGGGGACCGGGCTTTTCGTGGAGGATTCCTGACAAGACAAGAGCAATCATCCATTCTTCTCAATTACAGTAAGACTTTATAGGAAAAGTTATACTAAGGGCACAATGACCAGTCAAAATCGTAATTAATCTTATTCTATAGAGATGACTGTTCTGTTGTATTTGCCAGATGAATATCAAGGGAATTGCCCCTAATTAATGCCGCTGACATGAAAAATACTAGATCACAACAAGAGGGTGAAACACAATGTGAAGTGCAAACCATTGACAAAAAATTATGACAAAACAGAATTAAAAAAATATAATCAAAAAGCCATCAAGCCCCAAAGCTTGCCTCTCCTACAACATTAATTGCAGAGTTAAGCTAATAAGGCAGTCAGAACTTTGCAACTATAGACTTTTATTATTTCTTGGGATTTTTAGAGGGATTTTGGAGAAATAAGGAGTGGGAACCATACGTTTTTTTCTGTCCTTAATCTGTATGAATATGAAGTAAAGGCTAATATTCACCATGTAGAGGGTTGTGTGGACTCTGTCAGCCAGATAAGCCCCTCCGTCTGCTTGCTCCTCAGTCTTTGCAGATAAACACACCTTGTTCACTCTGAAGTACAGCACTGGACACCTGAAAGTTTATAGACTCAAAACTGTAAACCACAGCAGCTGAAATTAAGAGGCTAAAATATTTCACTGGTCAGTAAAAAAATAAACAAAATAAAAATGAACAGACAATAACTACAGAAAATACCAAACGTCTAAATGGAAGCAATTCAAAATTAACTTAACCTTAAACTTAAACATGGTTGCCTTAAATACAGGTCAACCTTTGGATAATACTCCAGTTAGCTAAGTGTTAAAAGCTGTATTCGTGTGGACTGATGTGTGCTACCTGTGGAGTCCCTCAGAACTGTTTTCGAGAAGGTCCGGATGGTTTTCAGTTGGAACCGTCAAAATGTCTCCCAGTGAAACCACTCTGTGAAAGGTCAGGTCGTACTGGTTAAAAATGGAGCGCTGAAAAAGAAACTGTTCCTGAAGCTAAAGTCTCCCCAAAAAAACTTATGTATGATAAGAAATTATTGTTTTACCTTTAAGTTAACCGTTTCTAATGGATAATTAAGAGTTATTGTACTGACATGTGTAAAAAGTAAAGAATAAATAAAAAATCTGCCTATTTTAAGATTAAGAGGTTATCAGACACAAACAGAACAAACGCAAACAATGTATGAGAGCTAAACCTTTTGCCAACAGTGAAAATGTTAACGAGGGTTTATCCTGACACCATTTAAAGGGGCTTTTCCATGAACACCTACTCTGTCCTAAACAGGCTTTACTCGCCTCACAGCGGCTTTACATTTTTTTTTTAGCACAAATGAGGTCTTAATAAAAAGATGAGCTGACTGACCGATAATGACCGGTAATTTTATTGCAACACAAAAATGAGACAATGAAGGACATTGCAACAATGATATACTTGGTGAACCTCGGGGTTGGACCTCGGTACTGGTTCACAGATTAAGCATTTAGAACGTTAAGGATAAGACTTTTGATTAAATGGGATGTTTACTGTTACCACGTTTTTTTTTTTTTTAAATAGATGGGCTTCTTGTGAAGGAGTCAAGCTCATTACTGCTCCAGTCATGTGACTTTCTCATCTTCCAGACAGTTATGTGTTGAAATAGTAAATGGTAGGAGAATCTAACCCCTAATAAAAATGCAAAAACTAATAATAATTGAGTCGAGTTGAGACAGCCAACAAGTGGAAAAGCCCCATATGGCTCAGAGAGCATCAGCTAACCTGGGATGGCTGAAGTGTTCAACCAGCAGGGTGTCATAGCAGCCGAGGTGGTTGTACTGCGGAGAGACCACTGGCTGGATGTGAAGCTGGCCGGCAAAGGGTGGAGCTACTGTGCGACAGAAGCTTTCAGAGCCTTGGTGATGAGGATCTGGAGGAGACGGCTTCCATCTCTGAGACAAGGCAGCGAGATATCAAAGGAGGTTAGCAGTTAAAAGAACTAAATGGTGTGGTCTAATGAATAGTACACATGTTTGAGCGGTTTTAATTTCAACTGCGTTATCTGGATGTGAAAGTTTAGTTTAGAAAAACCCAGTTCTCCCCCCCTCCCAGCATTAGCTGTCAGAGAAACAGATATGGGAGAACTCGGTATGTCACCTGAAAGTAAAGTTGATAAATAGACCTAGTGGTGGAGCAAGGACATACAGGAGTGTGCATGGCGACACACAACAGACGGTGAGATGTATCGTAAAGTGAAGGAAGGGGTGGCGTTGCACAAACAAATGGCCAACAGGGACTTGTAGGATGGACGGCAGATATTCTACCCCATCATTTGTAATATTTTCTAATCAGTACCACAGCTGTTAAATATTTAAACCAATGTAAACTTGAACAATGTTCCCAGAAAGAATATCCAGTACTTCAATAGTTGTTTGGATTGGATTAATTTGTATTGCGCCAACAGCAAGAGGGTTCTGGGTTCAATTCCCCCAAGGGAACCCGGACCTTTCAGTGTGGAGTTTGCATGTGTGTCTGTGTGAGTGTGGGTTCTTTTCTGGTTCTCTGGCTTCCTCCCACCATCCCAAAAACCTGCATGTTAGGTTAGATGGACATACCAAATTGCCCTTGGGAGTGAGTGTGTGTGGCTGTGTGTCTTTGTGTGGCCCTGTGATGGATTGACCGTCCAGGGTGTACCCCGCCTCTGACCAATTGAATACTGAGATAGGTTCCAGTCCACCCACGATTCAGAAAATGGATGGATGGATTAAATTAACACGCAAATTGGTCGACAGGTTGAATATGACTTTACAGCCCTACTACTTTCTGTCAGGCTCTAATGTTGAATACTAGAACCTGCTGATACTGGCCAGGTGTGTAGGGTTGGGGCACCTTCATCCTTAAGGTGCAGCTCTGGACAGGAATCATCTCTCCCTCTGTCATGTTGAACCACAGCGTTGCCGATATGAAACCCACGTCCTCGTGGTCCTGCAGCTGTGCAGAGAGGGATGGATCCACGACCACCACGCGTGTCAGCCTCTTTCTGGACACGGCCAACTGGCCATCGGTCCTCTCTGCGTGTGCTCTGGTCGACCCGTCCAGCTTCGACAACCGGACCCACTCGTGGTTAAAGAGCCCCAGCTTTAGAAGCAGCTGCTTGCTCACGAACACGCAGTTGTCCCCGTCGACGGTGGCTCCCTGTCCGTCTCGGACGCGACGCCATTGCCGTGTGTCCACCACACGGACGTCAGGACGACACTCCAACGCTCCGAGCACGTTGGAGAAGCCCGAGGCCAGCAGCCTGCCGTTGTCGAGAAGCGGTTGTCCGCCGCCCAGGCCACACGCGTAGTGGGCAAAGTCCGACACGCACAGCCTGGGGAGCCTGTAGGAGAGCGGAGGCGCGAAGTGGTCCGCCGAGTCCCAGCATTCCGTTAGAACCAGCGAGGTGTCCGCCGTTATCCTCCCCTGAGTTGCCGGACTGCATTCCAAAACTACAAACTCCGACACAGAGCCCAGAACCTGACCACACCGAAACAGGGCGAGACATCAAAAACATCAAACAAAAGCATATCGCTGTAGCTTTTGACGTCACATTTGCGCGAGGGTTAATCAGCTGTGCTGATTAACAGGCTAATAGGAGATCCTGTGTCTCACCTGTCCCTGGTCCCCTCCGTCCAGCGGCTGTTTTGGCAGCAGAAGCGGGTCTCCCTCCCTCGCCAGCAGCCTCTGTCCCGAGCGGCAGAGCTCCAGAAGCTCCCCGGTGAACCGCTCCCCTCGAGCCCAGTGAAGGCTTTCGATGCTGCGGCCACCCAGCACCACTCGGTCCAGGCCGACCGGCTCGAAGGGCCTGGCAGTCCCGGAGCATTTTGGCAAACTAAGCCGGTGGTGGCGAAAAAAGGACTCGCTCGTGAAAAAGGGGACGCGGTGCGGGCACTCCCCGTTTGCCGTGGAAAAGTTTCCCCCGCCGCAACCGGCTATCTCCGCCTCAGTGGTCGGATGAAGGCGAAGTAAAATCCCTCTCTGCTCTGAGAGCCGAGGCTGCTCCGGGAAGAGGAGAACCGCTGGCGGGTCTGTTTCAGTTTGGAAAACGGACTGCAGGTGGGACTTCAATACCAACACCTCCAGGGGGTTAAACTGTGGGGGGAAACGTTCCAGGCAACTTACTTCTACTAGAAGTGCCATGTTTTGATGTCTTCTTCGTGGCTTCTTAGTTTGTCTTCCTCCAAACCGTCTCTCTTTACTGCCGCTTAGTGGACACAGGTGAAACGCAACGTTAGAAACAATCTGTCAGAAAATCCTCGGTGGTCTTCCTTCCCTCTCTCCTACCTCAAAGTAGTGGTTACATTCAAATTCAAAATGGACTTTATTTATCCCACAGGGATAATACATGTTGGTGTAACTCATTTAGTCAAGAATTTGTTATAAATTGTTATGGCTGTAGGCAGGAACGTTCTTCTGTGGTGGTCCGTTTTACAACTAATCCGAAGAAGCTTCTGACCGAAGAGAGACTGTTTTTCCAATTGCAGTCTCTTATAGAGGGTGGTCAGCGTTGTCCATAATGTTCTTAATTTTATGCAAAATCCCTCTTTGCATCATCATCTCCAGAGCCTGTTGGTAAATTATAACTGAGAACACTGAGACTTAGGTCTTTCCCTTGGCCTTAGAGACAATCTGATATCATGAAAGGCTCTTCCTCAGAATCTTTTATGTAAATTGAACTCTCAATATTTAATCCTTTTGAACTAATTTGGATTTAAAACCGAATAACACATTTCGGCCAACTCAATGGGCTTCTCTGCAGGGCCAGGAATACATCAAGCACAGCATTCAAACCTCTAATGATTTTTTTTTTCTCCTTAGAATGCAACTACATCGTGTGATTTGATTGAATTATTTTGTCCTTTTGTAAAACTTGAAAATGCACTGATAACAATCCCATTTAAGTGTAAAATATACCTTTTGGAAAAAATAGTTTATACATGAGGTGTATTAGGCATTACAGAAACATACTATATATATCTACACGTGGATAGACCAAAATCAAATGGAGGTATAATATATTCATTCTGCAGAACCTGGGGAGATCCCTTGCAGTGAGGCGATGTTGCAGCTGCGATGTAGTCTCCTTGGAAACTGAATATCAAGACATAGAAGGGGGCTCAAGCAAATGAGCCATCATCATCAGGTCACCCATACTGTCAAAATTCCGGTTTTAAACATTGAGAGAAAAACTAAATAATGAGATCATAGATACAAAAAGCCTATATGAGCTTTCTTTGAAAGTTGGCTGGGCTCAATCAAAGTGGATAAATACTAAATAAATATATAAATAAATAGATAGAGATAGAAGTATAAATAAAGTCACAGCTACATCTCATTAAAGGATGTGGGGCTGATTAGCTAGCCAGTAAGAAATGTCCATTTGTATTGTTAAAACACATGTGATATTGTGTTACTCTTGTGTTCACTTGATTGCTGTTTTGTTGAAAATAATTTGGAAGATTGTGAAGAACCATAGTAGCTTTACATCTGTGAGGCTATTATTTAAATGTTTTAAATAATTCAGGGATTGAAGAGGGCAATATGCTACAATCATCCAGACTGTGACCGATGCTCTTACCATGGTATTCAAAGGTGTTGTATTTGGCTTTAGGTAACAGTTGGTTGTTTATCCAGTTGTTGGAAATTCGCAGGCCCATTCCACCACCCAACCCAGACGCACGAGAGCTTTGGGCGAGCGTGTGGTTGGTCAAAAATAGCCTCTGGGTGTAGCAGTGAGTTTCCAGGCTTTCCTCAGGTCTCAGTCAGAGCCAGGACGTCAAGTGACAGGCCTCTGGCATCAGCAGTTATGAATGCTGCTTTGTTCCCTACAGATTGGCAGTTCCACGACCCCGCAGACCAGGGGGTGTCACAGAGGGTAGTGCGTTTTATAGAGTCAGGTTCATTAAGGCGGTGGTGCGGTCCAAAACCTTCTATGAGCCGGAGACAACAGGAATGGTTTGAGTGGAAAAAACAGGTGGTGAGGTTTGATCAACAGCAAGTATGGCAAGTAGGGGTAGGATATGGGTAGGGTAGGAGACCTAAAAAAGTTTAGGTCTTTTGAGTTTGCTAAAAAAAAGAAAAGAAACATAAACAAAATAAAAGAAACATGAGACACTTTCACAGGACCAAGACTTTACTTCACAGCTCAGTGCCTTTCGACTTCGCACAAACAATATAGGCTTCAACAACCAGCACACTTTTGCATTGAATCTAAGCAGGTATAATGTCCTCTCGTGGTGAACCCTGTTTTTCTCATGCGTAAAAAACAAGCATAGTGCCAACACATCTGAACAGAAGGTTACATTATTAAAGTTACATTGTACTTGGCAAGATAAAAATAAAGACGTCTTTATGGGAACTGATTCTATTATGTACAATTCAGAGTATAAATAAAACTGTCAGAAAATAGAATGATTAAAGCATGCCCATTGTCATAGCATGAGGAAAAGATGAGTGGCTGAGCACACATAGCTTGTGATCAAAGTTCAGAACGAGTACAGGATATGCTTAGGAATCTCTTATCATTCAGTCCAGTCCAATTTGAGTTGTTCATCGCCAGTATGGAGGGGAGAGCTATAGTAAAGACTTGATCGATTTCCCTCAACAGATTAAACATATCGGTGATGTATGTTATCATGCAATGTGAACCAAGCAGAGTATTGTTGATAGAAAGAGCTATATAGTTGTGGAAAGCTGGGAGTATTTTGTTAAGTGAGAGTATTTGAAAATTGACTTTTTGGAAGCCATGACTCTTAGCTCAAATATAATTAAATTATAGATCCTCCAGTCAGCAGCAGACATATCCATAGCACCATGGCAGCGACGCTTTTTTAGTACAGTCAGTGGGGATTATTGGAAGCCCATAAAGAAAGGATCAATTAACTATCCTTGGAAAATATAACTTGTCTGTATACATTTAATGAATTAAAGGAGGTCTATCAAGGGATACGTTGAAAACCTTTGAGGTGTAGCTTGTTCAAAGATTGGCTATACACAAACACATCTCGGATATGTCTCTTTGTATTATCTAGCGGGCGCCACCTTTTCCGTGTTAGCTGACTTCCCCTTAGCCACGCTCACTGGTTTTGGCCGGGTCCTGGCGGTGGCGGCGGCGGTGGTGGTGGCTTCCTGTGAGGCGCTGCGCCGCATGGTTGTTGTAGTCCTAGGCGGTAGCATGGGGACGGTCGGGGCTCGGACGCTAAGGGGCTGCCGGGAAGGACATGCTCTCTGAGGAGAGGGGCTGTCAGTCCTGCAGTGGTTGGAGCTAAGGCTGCGTCGGGTTCCGAACAGGACATGGAGGGGCATTCGGGGGCTGCCGGGGGCGGCGGAGGCAGCTGACGGACGAGGACATGAGGAGGAGGACCTGGACGGCTTTGATTTCTGCTGGGAGCTGAGAGTACTTAGTGCAGTTTTCGGAATTCTATGAAAACAAGAGCACATTAATGTTGACATATCCTTAAAGGAGACATATTATACCCTATTTCAACTAGTGAAACTAGTTCCCTGGTGTCCTAATGTAATGTCTGTGACAAGCTTTGGTCAAAATACCATAAGGATGAAGCACAATAGTAGTTTAATCACCCTGCAAAAACAGCCCCGTTCAGAGCGCTCGGTTTTGAGTGCCTGTCTCTTTAAATGCAAATGAGACAAAGGCGATCCACCCACTTCTTACGGGAGGTGTGCCGGAGTCGGCACGCTAACGCTACCATGATAACGCTGACACTCACGCTACCACGACGTCTGCCACAGATAGGCGGAATAAGCTGAGGTGGGTGGCAACATGCAGTTGAAAGGCTGTAATATTATAATGATCTAGAGCAAATGACGTCAGAAACTACCGATTTCTGAAACCGCCTGATTTATCTCCTGTATTGAGACTGAGGCATCATTTTTTTTCACACTTTGCCTGCTGATAGGCCCTCCACAGTCCCAAATGTACATAATAAAATTATTAAAAACTTGGTTTTGCATAATATGTCCCCTTTAAACAAAACAATCAACTTAACTTTAAAAGAACAATAAAAGGTGAAAGTGATATCGTACCCATTAATAATGGAGGATTTCCCTTTAGTATTGATGGAGTCTGGTAGGGAGAGCGGAGAGGGAGCAGCAGGCGCAAGTCCCTTTGAAGACCTTCTTATGGGGGTGACAGGTCTGGGGATCTTGCTCCTGCACTCTTTGGAGCCTTGCTCTTCAGTTGGTTTCAGGCGGAAACTCCTCTTGGATTCGTCTGAGGTGTGCGTGTCCTCTTCTGAGCCCGCAGTGGATAAGGTTTCCGAAGCCCTCCGGCGCTCATCGTCCCCGGAGGACAACGACGAGGAGGTCCCGGACAGCATTCTCCTCCTCATCCAGCGACCCTGTTGCTTCTGCACCAGCATGCGCGCCAAGTCCAGCTGCCGGGCCCGCTGCTGGAGACGAGCCTGAGCGGAGAGGGAGGAAGACTGCTCTGAGCCCGTGTCTTCCTCGGAGATGAGCACCGGGATCCGACTGCGGATTCTGGGCTTGACGACAACGGCTGGTGGCTGCTGTGATTCAGCCTTCATGGTTTTCTCACTGGATGAAAGCGGTTTCTCAGAGTCTTTCACCGGGTCTTTCGGTTCCTTAGCTGGTGCGCTCGCTTCAAGGACAGACTCCGACTCTCCAGACTGGGCCGAGACAACGGGGACAAAGGTTTCAGTTTTAGGGTGTTTATCAACTGTCGTAGTTACGACCGTCTCCTTTTCTTTGGGAGCCTCTTTTGTCACCGGTGCTTGATCCTGTTCATGGTACTCTACAGGTAAGTCCACTGCGATAGAAAAGGCTTCCCGGTCACTCTCCTTCACAGAGTGACCGTTTGAAGACATGACGTTGAGGTGGGATGTCTCTGCAATATGGACGAAAGTGCGCTCAACTTTGGTGAAAGGAGGCGATGCGGGAGCGATGGGGGTGGAGGGCCTCAGATCCGACCTGAGGGCCGGGGATAAGCGGCCAGTTTCCGATGACTCGGGCTGAATCGCCTCTCCGACCAAGAGGCGGTCGGTACGAGAATTCAGCGCGCACGGCGTGGCCAACTCGCCCTCGAGAACGTGATCCCCACCGGAGGGAGACTTGCGAGTGTCTCCTGGTGAGAAAAGAACCAAGGTTTTGGATGCATCCTCTAAGTCGGGGTCTGCGTCGGCAGCCGAGGCGTGCTCCCTCTGGCCCCTCTGGTCCTCGGCCATCAGCGTGGAAGGCGCAGCGTCCTGACTACGTTCGGTGCTTTTCTGACTGGCTTCGCTGTTGGACTCGCTCTTCGTCACATCGTCGTCTCTTGGCCCCGGGGGTTCGGGGACTTCCTCATCCGGCGCGGCAAAGGCCCGACGCTGAGGCAGCGTCCCAGTCAACATGACGGTGAGGAAGTCGGCTCTTTTGGCCTGCAGCTGGGGAAGGATATGGAAATGCTCCTTGTCATCGCTCTGGCCCTTCGTTCGATAGTCTGGAGAGGGTGGTGACGGGCCACTTGACTCAGTAGGCGACAACATCTGGAAAGAACAGAAAAAAACACTTTTTAAACAACTAAGTCCACTTCATCCATGCAACTCTGAATCAAATCAATGACAAGATTTTTTGCTGATGAAGCCACCACGGCTTTGAAACAACAAATACTTGTAAACTACTATCATAAACATATAAAAATACAATCTAAGGGTTGAAGGAGTTTTTTGGACAATTCTAACTAAAGATCTGATGATCAGCTCAGAATGAATAAATCAATATTTAGAATCATCAGGTTTTTTGAATGCCGGCAATCACTAATACCTATTTAATGAGTGGATTTTTTTTGTTGCTTATTGCGGGCTCAACAGTTTTTTTAAATAGAGGGACGATATCTTTCAGGTTTTCGCATAAAAAACGGTGTACATTGATGTTAGAGGGTAAGCTGTAGCACTCCACAGTGCTTTTTCGGACTGACCTTCTTACGATGAGAGATAGTCTGCAGCTGATATATTTGCCCCCAGAACCATTTTATTGTAATTTTGGTTGTACACAAGCTTTTCAAGATTGTCTTGATTACATACATCAATATAAAAGGCACAAAAAAATGCATTGCAGTTTGTCCTCAGACAGCACAGTCTGATATCAGCCAATTTTCAAGTGTTTCCCGTCATAAAGATTTAACATACAGCCTGTACATACATACTAAATTCTGCTAATTATCATGCTATTGGAGATTAATTGCAAATTGAATCACTTTCTACATTTCTGTATATATGTACACAGTATCCATTTAGATTTACAAAAAAAAATCTAAATACATGCTTTACCTGTAAATTATACAAGCAGTACTGTACAGACTTAATGTGGTAAAAAAAAATAATTACATGTTTTTACAGAAGTGAAAGACACTCACGGATCATGACACTAAAGTACCACTGTGAGCTCCTCAGTTTTTTTTTTTTATGTTCCAACTTTTGCCTTTTATTGTCTGCAGAGGTCAGTTGAGAGCGGTTTGCCTTGTGGTTTAATTAGCACAAAGACAACAATTTTGTGGAGGGATTTTCTGCGACTGATGTGGTTACCGAACCGTTAATGTAAGCATACAGGTCTAAACAAAACTAGCACGGACGAGGTCTTAACCTATGGAGACAAGACATTCTGTTCTCTCTATCTTTCTAAAGACACATTTTCTGTACAATATCACCCTGTTACTCCTTAAAGACAGACGTATCGAATAAGCAATAATAATGTTTTTCTGGAAGAAGCACGGTACATATTTACGACACTTGACATGTGATTGACAAGTTATAAATGTTTAGATGCAGACTGTGAAAACAGTTCCATCTGTCACAAAAATTAAAAAATTTTAGAAGCCTAAAAAATGTGTACTATAACCACAGAGAAGAACCGATACATCTAAATACTGACTTTTTACAAATAATTCAATAAATCGAATTGAAATGCATCCATCCATTTTCTATATGAGCAAGATAATGGGTGTTTCAAATTTAAACAGGTTAAATTGAATCAGTAATTAATATGTATTTTTTTGCCTGTGCAACTCAGGTAATACAAATTAGACTAGCTCAACACTCCAAACAAAAGAAAATGTGAGAGATACAACCAAGAAGGCTTTTTCGTCATATTTCCACAATGAAAGATTTAATTTGTGCAAGTTTGGAAATATGTTCATTGATTGGCCATTTTGTTTTAAGTATATTTTAGTAATTTGACTTACTCTACAAGAATCTGCTCACATTATGACATTCATGAGTAGTCTAAAAGCCTCGGACACCTAATTTTGTTTAGAGTGTACTGCCCGTTCACCATGTATTTTCAATATTCTGTATATGATGTCTTTGTAATTCTTGGCCAAAATAAAAATCCGTTGACTAGAATAAATGGATTACAAAGTTTAACATACACAGAATTTACTTTTAGGGGCTACTGACCAACAAAACAGCTTTGAGTTAAACACAATTTCAAAGAAACATTGCCAAATGGTTATAGTAATATAGAATAAAATTATGATTAAAAAAAGATCATACAATTTACTGATTGCTACACTTAATCCCTATACTGTATTAGTAACATCTAACCAGTAGGAACATTTGTTATAACAACAAAAATTGTTATGTCAGGCTCATCCACTAATTAACCAAACACTGGGTGTAAATAAGCAAAGCTGTGAGCAGTTCTGATCCGTGAGTATCTCATTAAGACCACTATGAATAATGGACAAAGAAATTAACATAAATCACAGACCTCTTTCAGTTTGAGGTTTATATTCACTGTGTAGTTGTGTTACAGAACAGTGCCGATTTGAGCCATTATACAGTAAAAGGTGTGTGATACAAACAGCAGATCTCATGCAAAGTGGAGACAGTCAGCAGTCAGTGTTTTAGTATTTTGATGACATAATATCATAAAAGCCGCAGATCACTCTCTAAATCTTTGTATCCTCAGCAGACTGAGCCGACTGGGAGCGTTCTGCCACCCGTTAGTGACTGAATGTGGCACTGCCTTCAAGGCAACGCTGGACAAAACGTGTGTATAAGTGACAGTCTTGTGTGGTAGGTGAATCGTTTTGCTAGCAAGCAAAAAATAAAGTTCAAAGATAGCAGCTCGTCCACTTGATTATTGAAGTGGTTGGATCATAACACTACGCAAAATATAAAAGGACTGAGGCAACCTGAACTCAGAGGGAGGCAGCAGGAAAAGCAAACTGAGGCTGTCTACTCATCACACAGAAGCAATAAGAGCTTAAAAAAAATGCTTAATGTACAAATACATGATTAAGCAAGTGGTGCATATTTAGGTAGTGTAGCCCTTTAACACACTGAGAAAGCAACAGTTTGGACTTCAGTGCACAAAAATGGAACACAATGGATTAAACTATATATATATATATATATATATATATATATACATATATACATATATATGTATGTACGCACAGACACACTGTTGCTTTGGGGTAAGCAATTTTCACATATTATTAAAAATTTCACCACTATCCTCACTTTCTTCTCAATTTCTTCCTCCAACTGAATTCAACGATTGAACGGACATAGAGATGCTTAATTACGTAATGTGCCATTCAGTGGAACATCAAATTATCATTATTATAACCATCAGTAGATCTTGTAAAGATCACACACTCAAATGCTCATCATCTCTTATTCTGGGTTCTTTGGTTTGGCTCACCCTTCGCCTCTTTCCTATCTACAACTTCACCCAAAAGTCATCAGATGAATCATCACCTGGAATGGAATGATCGCATGTCTTTTCAGTAAAATAGATGAACCAAATCATTTCTCACAATCAGTTATGAGAAGTTTTTCTCAAAAAGATCCTCCAACTTCAACAACCGTGATAGTTTTTCTGAAGCCAAGGGTACAGAAACATTCAAACTCTTCTCTGTTTGGGTCTTGGCACATTAAACAGCTGGTTATGTTTAATAAAAGGCCAAGGTTTTGACCAGTCCGTCCATACCCACTTCTTCCATTACAGAAGATTGTGGCTCTGGGGAGTGTCACAGTGAATCATAACTATGCTTTACAATAAACTTCTGCGTCAAATAACTGATGGAATTGTTTTAATAGAAATGTTCTTTTTCTAGATGGTGCATACATAAGCTGGGGGAAAGCTTAATGAATAAATGAGTAAAAAAACTAAAGAAAACTAATCAAACAAGAAAATACTGTCTACAAAAAAAGTATTTGAAAGGCCTTTTTAAGATTCTGCTGAAGAGCAGGGTATTTGTGGAAAGTCATACTCAGTATATATATTTCATCAGGAGTCTCCTAACAGATTAGATGTAGCTATTATGATTATAATATATAATATCTGGATGAAATGCTAAAATAAATTATGCAAGAATAAACACAACAAGTTTCTGATTGTTTTCCACGGGTCAGCAAAACATTGCTTTAGATTTAAGCAACTGTCCAAGCCCTAGGGAGACATAACTGTTCCAAACAGTAGTTTTTATGTCACATTATAATCGAAAAAGACAAAAAGGCCTTTTACATTGTTTAATTACAACCCCTTAATTGTTACTACTGCATTTAAATTCTAAAATCTTCCATCAAGATAAGTATTCTTTGTTCCACAATGTTATTGGTCATGTTTCATGTAATTTTTCTGAAAAATCTGGCTTGTCCTCTCCTTGGACTGTTGTCAGATAAGCTGCAGCTGTGTGTAAATTCATTTTTGAAAGCAACAAAAAAAAGAAAAGAAAAAAAAAGAAAATCCATCTAAAAACTGACTGTATGATTTAGATATATGTTTAAAGAAAATGTCGATCACCTCACAAGCATTTCTTTAAAGCAATTCCCTTTTCGTGTTGATTATTGCAACAACATTTTGCATTCATATTAGCCTCAGCCCTAACCTGCTCCCTGGGCCAGCCTACTCAGTAGTAAAGTGCAAAAGTAAATTTCAGCAATTAGAAATCAGTGATGGAAAAGGAAGCACTATGAACATAAGACATGGTTTGACCACTGCTATAAGAGCAAGGAGAATCTCACATACAACCGTTACAAAGTCTATTTGAATAGCTTCACAGTCAACTGGAATTCTTAAAAAAAAACAAAAAAACAAATACATATATAGATAGACACCTATCTATCTATATAATCCTGTTACCACCTAAAACAACATGCAAAGAAACATTAGTATATTGCCCATTTTTACATGACATGGCATATTGGTGTGGTTGCAAGTTCAAAGTCTCATACAAATATCTTGTCTGTAAGACATATCTAGTTCTGTGGGTGACGTGCAAACTAGAGAACCAGGTTATAATCAGGAGCCTGTAAATGAACTGCAACTCAAGCATAGTTTCTCTTTTAGTAATCAGTCCCATCAAATCAGCATGAACCCCACTGAAGTGAAAAACTGTAAAAAATTTGCCAAAAAAACAAACAACAATGACAAAATATCACATAGTCTCACCAAACAGCCAACTATCTCTGCAATCTATTGCCTGTTCCTCTGGACACCTATCACTTCAGACGAATACACTTATACATAAACCTGCTGGTGCATCATTGTCTCCTCCCCATACTGTAACATTCACATAACAGTGTTCCTATGAATTCAGAGAAGTTATAAGATAACAGATTGCTACTGATATTATAAATAGAACAGGTTCCCCTATACGTCCTATGGTCATTAAGAATAATGTGGCTTGGAAGTAAAGCCATTTAATAATGTCTTCCTCTGGCTAAAACTCTCCTATATAACATAACGTGCATCCTCAGTCCAGCAACTGTCCCAAGAATTAATGTTTTTTTGTGTCAGTGCATAATGATATAAGCAGCCATTACTTGGGGGCACTAGCAGAATCAAATGACAATGTGATTAATTTGATTAATGTAACCAGAGAATGCTCACATATCCAGTCTCTGCAATTTTCAGGCTGACTTCACACTGAGCAGTCATTTCAAAATATTCACATTACTCTTTTATGACCAAGCCTAGTCTGTATAAAGGTACAAAAGCAGTTTGCAATCCGGGCCCAAAACCATTGGAGCAGCTTGAAAAACGCTTAATGTTACCACCCATAACACAAGTGCATCTGATTGCTATGAGAACAAATTACTTTTGAGTCAATGACTGGGATCACCAAGATTGGAGGCTGATTTAAATGATTAAGATACACACACAAAACATCAATACCAAATACCATTCCACTCAGATGTTTAATTCAGAAGCGCAATTGCTAATTTTGATAACTTGAACTCATATTCTGGGAACCTCTACCAACTAATTTGATGACAGGTCGGTAGATGCCATCATACGTCAGAGAACTCAAACCGCTGGATCCACTGACTGATTTTGGAAATACATGTTGGGTAGAGTACTTGTGTACACAAAATTGATCCCCTAGCCAACAGACTTGAGGTTACTCCCTTGCGTTTCTTGCATTCTTGTACAATGATATGGCTTTCAAGTACTGATATACTGCTAAGAGGAGTTACCCTTCAGGGATTTATCAAGTCCATCAAATGTTTAAAGAGTTAAGATGTGTTTGGTAGAAATAAACAGGCATGAAACAAAACCTTGCAGTTGCAATATGCAACCTTCTATTTGCCCGTGGACAGGCTCCACAGTTCTGATCTGTGCAACTGACCAGCACGATTTGAAGTTGAACCAAAAGTAGAAGCGCTTCACTTTCTTTTTGGGTCCATTTTATCAGGCTGGTTTGAAGTGTGCATTGCATTTCTCAGAAGATGTTGGAGTACAATGACATAGAACAAGGTTCTTAGATGTTAAATTCTCTACAATGAAGTGCTTGCATCCCATCACTATTTGTAAGCCATAACAAAACAAAGAAACAGTCACCAAAAGTGCTAAAAAAAATTTCAAGACTCAAACAAGTGATACAGTGATCACCTGACAAACTGATTTAAAAACCAGAAAAAAGGCAAAGAACACTGTGAGATTTCCTATTCTAATAAGCTATAGATCGCCAAATGCTTTCTACATGCTTAGAGCTGTTTCCTTCTAATCATAGGAATTATTGTGAAAAATCAGTAATTGCTACATTCGCATAAAAAAAATTCTATTACTTTGACTTATTGGTTGAGCATATATATATATATATATATATATATATATATATATATATATATATATATATATATATATATGTGTGTGTGTGTGGTTGTGTGTGTGTAAATTAATTTGGCTTGTTAAAATGAATGTTTTAGCCCACATGTTTCCCTTTACCTTTAGATACATTTCATGATTTTAGGATATAATGGTGACATTTTTACAGTAATAAATATGACATGAAATGTGCGAAATATTTTTATTCCATTTTATGAAATGTCTTTTATGTATTCATTCTTCCCAATTATTTTTTATAAAGACTGTTATGATTTCTGTGTATTTTCTTAGAAATAAATATGTAGGCATCTAAAGTGTACAACTACTAAAGTTAGAAACAATTTTTTATCCTAAAAGGCGTGATTAGAGATAAATGTTCCAAACTTTATTAAAACTAAGGGACATCTTTTCAAACATGAATCTCTTCATACATAACCGTCAACAAAGTGAGAAACAGGGAACAATGGTCTCTGATCTCTGGTACTGTGCAGGTGGAGGCATGTTGTGAAAAGGCAATGTCATATTGTGTAATGAGCGTGATAAATAGACTCAGGAGTCTAGTTGCAAAAAACTGGATCGTTGGGACGGCCCGCATTCCTCGACGATTTCTCCATGATTTTAGCTGAAAAAGATGAAAAAAATGGTGCAAAAATTGAAAAAAGCTTAACAGTCTATTAGCAGCTCCACCCAGTTTTCATACTCTTCTTCACATTATCTAAAACATTTTCCGACAGCCCAGTCTGTGGCATGTGCAACATCAGCTTTGCGGTGAGGCTTCTTTGAGTTTATTGCATGAAAAATATTTCCAATATTTCGCACATTCTCATCCTCCTCTGATCCTTCTGCTTGAAAAGAAGTTTGTAGAGACACTGAAGTGTGAAAATGTGACAATACGTGGGTACCAGCACAGCAGTGCCGTTCTGTGCGAGTGATATGGCTTGTTTTGTGATCTGGCTTTCTGTGTGCTGTGTTTGTTTTTGCTTTTTATGCACATGTAAATGCAAAGCTGGACAGAGGAACATGCAAAACTAAATTTCTTAATTCCGACTGAACTTCTTCTAGGTATGCTCCTCATTTCTGACTCAATACCTGTGTATTCCTAAATGTCGAAGTTCACTGGCAATGCTCTGAAGCAAAATACAATTAAATCACTGTCTGCTTTGGGAGGACTTTAACTCCACTATAGTTCTTGGCCTTTCTTTAACTAATAATCATTTAAATGTCAAAGATTTGTTGAAGAATCAATAATAAAACAACTACCTTTCAGAACAACTGCCCTTCAAAAATATAACTGCACGTTCAGTGAACTACACTGTATCGGTACAGGTTATATAATGGAGCACCAGAGTAAGATGGGGAGTGGGTGAAAACAGGTCTTGAAAAGTGTCTGACTAACCCTGCATCAAGTTGTTTGTGTTTTTACAGATAGAGTGTCTGCGTGTCATATTTATCTGACTATGTATCTATGGCTGTACACGTCTGTGTTTTGTATCCGAACATGTGTTACATGTACATGTATGTGTGTATTCCAAGTCCATTTTTCTTAGTCTTCTCAACTGCTGTTCTTGTTCATGAGCTTAGCTAGCATCTGTTGCACTCTTGATGCATTTAGAATGGACTGTCTGCTTCGAGGGCTGCCTGGTGTCGGCAAAGTGCCCGCGTGTCGTCGTCGGGCCGACGATGTGCCGGGAGTCATGTGGGCAGGGCTGCTTTCGGCGGAGCGGCTCCTCTGGATGAAGCTACCTCCCGCGTGAGGATAGTGCTCTGTCTCCAAGGTGGAGGAGGAAAAGACGTAGGAGGCCAGCCTCCTCAGCTGATTTGGACGCGTTTGGTGCCTGTCGTCCTCCAACTGCAAACAGTCCAATCAGAGAAAAGGAGGGAGGTTACGGATTGGAAGCTTACTTTACATAAAAATACAAAGTTTTCCTTACAGCTAATCCCAACACTCTGATTTGGCTTCCTGCCCTTGTCTCCAATCTCTCTCTCGCTGATAGACATTAGAGATGAGAGAACTGATTAGTGCTCACACATCTAAAGCCTTCAGCTGATTGGTCAATGTTCACAAAGGGAGGAGCCTGGGAAGAGAAGCCGAAGGGGTGTTGATAATCTGGCATTCACTAGTTACAGCTATAAAATTCTAGTTAGAGGCTACAAAAATATAAATCCTAAAAGGTCAGCAGAGCTGATAAACATATTAGCTGTGTGGGGTGCCAGATTAGTCAGACTAGCATCCCTTTATCTGGAAAATGACGATGAAAATATTTCCCCCCTAAAGCACCTTGTTAAAAGAATACAAAGTGACCAGCATGAGCAGTGCAAACATTCTATATTACTAGTTAATAACAGTCTGAGCCTTGAGCAAATTGAGCTTTTCATTTCTGAAGGAAAATTTACCACTGGAGATGCAAAAAGAATCAAGAGAACTTAAAATAGAGATGGAGTCAGCAAGCACACAAAACACAGACACACAACGGAAGGGAAAAGGGAAGAAATCATGTCTAAACAGAAGGAAAAGCAAAGGGAGGAACAGAAACTAAGTGAGAGAACAGAGGTAAAGGACTATTCCTAAACTGTGCTTACCCCGAAACATCACTTTATTTCTTCTTGTGTTGTCCCAATGGCACCCTCGCTCTTTTCTCTGTCTCCTCAGGTGAGTCAAACTTGACATACTGTGTACTTTTAAAGCGATAGATTGGGGCAAAGGCATCAGTAGTTATGTGGAAGTGGAAAAAGAATTGGAGAGGAATAAAAAATAAAGATGGCAGTCCTCAATGGTTGGCAGCGCACAAGCTTGTTCTGGGGCTAGTGTGAGAACTGGTGCAAAAATCAAAGCAAATCAAAGCAGAGCGTGCTAAAATGTCACTAAAATGGATTTGTGCAGAGGTTTTTTGCAAAAATGAGGCTTTAGACGTTGAAATTTACTCTAAGTACGCAAGTGGGAAATCAGTGATGGTGCTAAAATATCCAGCCTTTAAACAGAAGCCACCAATTATGGAGGACAAAACCTGATTGTTAAAAAAAAAGTTCCTGAATAAATAAAATGGTCACATAAATCTAAAACTTAAAGGAAAAAATGGATAAGGAAAAAATTATATCACCACATCCATGAAGCAAATCCTTCTGAAGGAAAATTAAATGGGAATACAATGTAAAAACAAAGTGAAATTAAAGGGTTCCACATTAATTTCCCAAGAGATATACTCTTGATAGGTCTACTGATATTCCCTTTCTCTTTTCTTTGTGGACAAAATTTCCACATGAAATTTCACAAGAAATAAAAAAGTACTATGTTTCTGCTGATGAAATAAATCCTTTCGATTTTGTGAAGTCTCTCAAAGACTTAAGACTTTGCATTTTATTTGTTTAATTTTCCTGTTCGATCCCTGCCTAGTCAGGTTTAGTCCTCCATTACAAACAAGTAATGTGAAGAGGTTCTTTTTTTTAATTGTCTTTTTTCATTTATTTGATTTATTTTGTCATGCTAAATTTCTTTTATGTAATGAGATCCAGAAATTCTGAGTCTTTTTTTCTCCTGAAAACAAAACATCATCATCTGTCAGGATTTTTCCCTACATCCAGTGTAGTGTGAAATAAACATAAATATGTAATGGTTTCAGTTAAACCTTGCCGTCACTTCATACTATGTCCAGATGATACACCTTAGTTTATTTATGGTTCCGTGAAATGTTATCGTGTTTTGTTAGGCACTTGTAATAGAACATGTTCATCTGAAACAAATAATTATGTTTCACATGAATCTCAGTGTTGTTGAGTATTTGTAACAAATAAAATCTGGTTTATGCTTCTTAGATGGACTTAAGGCTTCTCACTTTTAGGAATTATTAAAATATTTTTTTTGTATTAAGTTGAGTCATCTTTTACCAAGTCGTCATGGCAGGTGTTTAATGTATTTTCCATTAAACACCAAACCATGAAGAGTGTATATTTCATTCTGATGAACTGATGCAACCAATCTACAATTGCTAGAGAATCTCATTGGCACTTGTCAACAAAAAATGAGAAACCTCTGATATTCCTTTTGAGTTGGATTCCTAAACAAAACAACAGACGTCAAGTATTTTTGATCGTAAACAATGGTAATTGACCCAAAAGTACTAGGCTTCTCCCAAAAAAACATGTCAGTACACAATGACAAAACTTTGCCTACATTTTAATGAGCGCATATATATCAACAATGGACATTTAGAAATTAAATTTGTTGGTGATATTAGAAAACTGTGTTTGTCTACAAAATCCTGAACGATGCTCTACTAAGTCGAAGCAGTTTCAAAGAACTTGAATGTCAAATGATCTCACTTTATCTCCGTCTGATATTCTAAGCAAGTCCAACTGTTAAGTTTACCAAAGCGCATATCCAGTAGCAATTTCAAGGGAATATTAGTAACAACGAACAAGTATAAGTAGTAAAAGATAATACATAATATCTGCAAAAAATCAATACCCAATACTAAATTAAGCACACTGAGGAAATATTTCAACAACAAAGACCATCAAGTCCATTTTTATCAACACCTCAAAGTCAAAATAACCAGACAGGAAATTGCTGGTCATTCACTCACTGGTGCCAATTCTTTATGGGAACACATTTCAGAGTGGCAGAGACAGAATGACAATTACCATACTTTGATACTATTTTTTTGGACCCTCCATCACATCCATCTTTTTGTGGTTTGTGCAAATACAGTAAGCAGTAAGATCAAGCTGTTCTGAAATGTTCAGTGACCAGTAAAAGCATTTTCCCTTTTTTAACTAATATCTCAGAGTTGCTCCCAGTCCAAGTATGAAGAATATTTATGTAAAGACGAAAACCAGCTATTTTAAAACTAAAGCCATCATACCTTCATTGTGATACAACTGTTTCCTTGAGGAAAAGTTCAGTCATTTCCATTTTCACCTGAAATTTGAACCGTTCTTATGCGGTTTCAATATCTAAACCTGACACAACTATACAACAATGAGGCAACAATGTTAAGAATCCACAGAATAGCATTCCCTCAAAATCATTTTTGAGGATTTTGAGTTAGACACCAACAATTTATTAGAAGATATGTTACGCAAAAGAATGAACAAACAAACAAAAATGAAAGTAATTGCTCGTTGTTATTTCCCCATTATCCCCACCAGATTATCAAGCCATGCCACTTTGATTCGTATGTATTAAAACATCATCAATATTCTGATGTGGCAAACAAAATAGCTGCAGACTGGATCAAACAGGACATGTTATAGTCCTCCTGTTTCACATTCATTCCAGAATAAAACAATGGTCCAAAATAACACTTATGGAAAAAGCAAATGGATGGAAAAAAATTTGAAGCTCCGACCAACAACAAGGACAAGATAACAGCACTGTTTTGGAAGCTGAGCTGTAGAAATAGCTTTCTTTTCACATAGAAACATTCAGCATTATTTAGGATTACAATAATGCTGAGGTGACAATAGTTAGTAGATCATAAAGACACTGAACCCATTTGACCGAGTGGACTGTCACTTTGCATTGGTTTGACAATAAAAGTGCATGCAAACCCAAGACCATCTTTATCAAAAAAATTGATGCGACAATTTGAGATTAAAGGTTACTGTGTATCCATTTGGCCCATTATACATACACATAGATATACATATACACATATACAAACAACACACACACACACACACACACACATATATATATATATTTGTATATATATATATACATACATACTTTTTTGCCACTGAACACATTTGCAAAAGAAGACACACTAGACAAAACTTATTTTTGGGCGACTGAGTGTTTAGCTAGTTGTATTTGACTACGTTTCCATTACAGAGCAATGCTGCCACAAAGCTACAGACAAAATCCAGCCCGAGTCAATCTGAGAGAATTTGAGAGACCAGTTAACTGCATAAAATTGAATTCAATTGAATAATTGAATTCAATTGAATAAACAACTTCACGCATGTTAGTGTGCCGAGGTATGGTTATGTCATCAGCCTTAACCCTTTACTGCTGACCTAAACTCTCAACTACAGCCACTTGATGACGGAATAAAACCTGAAACATCTACTGAAAACTACTGACACATTTATAGAAATTGAGGGGGAAAAAAATCACGAGTTAACAAGATGTCTGATCAAGCTGGATTTGTCCTTTCCTGGTATAAAAATGATGTAGCGGTCCTGCTACACCTTACTATTACAGCATGCTGTACTACCATCCAATTATCAGAGTGAATTTGTAAGGCAGCAGCTCCACTCCGCTAATCTGTCCACCAACATAAGGAATCAGAGAGCCGACCTCTCGTCTGTTTGAATAGCTGGGCCTTACCGGTCTTTGAGGTCCAGTTGGCTCCGACTCTCTCCGACGAGGCCGTCCCGACGGCAGGGAGTGACAAGGCGACTGTGCAGGGCTCCCGCCACTCCTCCTTGATGTTTCTTCCTCAGTTAAGGTTAGCATCCCTCGGCTGCTTTCTCTAGTGTGAGACTTTGGACGGACCACCAACTCCCCACCTGCGGAAAATACAGCTGTTAAACATTACGCAAGCTCTAATGGACGACACTTAAACAAAGGCTCATATGATAACTTTTAGAAAAACAATCTCAATTATTTTTCTGTTTTCCTGTTAGGGAAAGAAGATTGCATTTGTGCCTACGCGCAGGTGTGTGTGTATAAGGTTCTATATGCATTCAGCCTCTGTACCACTTATTCCCAACGGGGCTGAGGAGGGGCTGCGGCCAATCCCGGCTGACAATGGAGACGGGCTACACGCTGGACAGGTCGCCAATCCATTGCAGGCCCACACAGATACAACCAACCGCACACACTTACATTTACTCTTAGGGGCAACTCGAGGTGCCCAGTTAAACTAACATGCATGTTTTTAGTTGGTGGGAGGAAGCCAGAGTACCTGGAGAGAATCCACGCAGACACAGGGAGAACTTGCAAATTTACACAGAAAGGTCCTGGTCGACCTGGGGACTCGAACTAGGAACCCACTTGCTGTGAGGCGACAGTGCTAACCACACCGCCTCCTTTCCATATGCAAATCTTATTTTAAAAAACTTGTATTGAGCTAAAATGATGCATGTATCATTTTTCCATTACATCTGTAATACATTTAAAACAGGAATGTGGACTTTGCAGTACTTGTCAATTTTTCATAGGGATGTAATAATGAATTCTTTGGTCCCTAAAAAATAATGCATCTTTCAACCAAAATACTATGCACATGTATCAAAATAAAAGATTGTCAATTTGAAACATATACTGAATAAATAGTATGATGTTCAAAGTAGTATTTTCAAAGTTTGAAGCCTTGCTGGAAAATTGACTTCCCTTCAGCATTTGACTTGAATTGTCTCACCCACTTTCCATCAAAAGTTCCTACCTCCAGCCCGGAGCCTTCTTCTTTCCTCTTGTTCCTCCAGTGGGCGGAGCTCCTCTGGCTCCTCGTCAGTAGTTCCCGATGTGGTTGGATGGAAATCCCTCAACTCTGCCTCTTTGTCAATGATCACCCACTCTTTGCTGTCAAAGTCCTCCTCCTCAGCCAGAGGGACCGAGCGGATGAAAGCATTGCTGTGTGCCTCTTGGTCAACAGATGCCACTGACATCTCTTGGCGCCCGCTGACCTGACGATCTCCACGGCAACCAGGATCAACGGACAGCATTTGAGCTGGCTGAGAGGAGTAGGCGTGGCGGGAGGGAGATCCCAGGATGTCCATCCTAGATCTGGAAGACACACACGTTAAAAAGAGATAGAAGAAAATATGATCATTTGCATCTTAAAAAAAAGAAGCATTGATTAAGTAAAGCTAGATAAGTATTGTTTAATTTATTTCTAAATCCAGTAAGGACCAATAGACATCCATTGACAAGTCAATGAGGGTATATTCAAGCTTTAAGTACTTAGCTATCTATTTCACAGTCATATCCAAACACAAGTTTAGATAAAATAAAATATATAATCTTTACTGTATAGTACTGTACTGTATTGTCTACAAAATAAATGGGGTGAATTTCAAGTCCACTTTCAAGTTAGTTGAAGCAAGTCCAGGACAGATTTAAGCTGGACGGTCAAAATATTTTCTTCACACTCATCACCTGAGAAGTTAGCATAATTTCACTGAAAGGCACCAGTGGGAGGATTCAGAACCAACAGATCATGTTAAAGGGAAATAAATGCCCAATACCATAGTGTTTATTAAATAAAATAGATGTGACAATTGGAGATTAAAAGTTATTGTGTCTCCATTTAGGCCCATTTGATTAATATCTATCTATCTATCTATCTATCTATCTATCTATCTATCTATCTAT